CGAGCAGCAGGACAAGATTACGGCAGTGGTGAATGTGCCGCAAAGCAAGTACACCTACACGGCATTGGAGCCGCCCGTGATCGAAACGCCACAGCTGCGGGACATGGGTGAAGCAACACCGCCACTGGAATGGATTGGGTTGCAGCGTGATAAGCTGCCCAATGTCACACACCAGATCATCATTGTGACTCTGTTGGAGATTGCAAAGGAGGTTGAGGATGCATATGGAACGATATTGGGGAGTTGAAGCATGAAAGTAGTATGGCATTATTGGAGTTTTTTGGAGGCATGCTGGAGCATAACTCGTTGCATGATTACTGCTGGCTGTGTATACCATAGTGTTGTCGAATCCATTTGGAGGATTCTTGTACATAGCTTCCCAAATTTGACTTTTTTCCTTTCTATAAAATGTACTTTTGCCATTCAACACGGTAGAATACCATAGTTAGTTCCATTTGCTTTATCTCAAGCAGGTTAATTTAAATTAATGTATTTCTGTATGGACTCTAGTTGTCATACAGTTCTACAGTATGTATTATTAATCCATCTCTGCCCCGCGCGGGCGGTGAGGGGCGGGGCTAAGAGTGAAACGCCGTTGGAGGAGGTGGTTGGGCGGTGTTACTCCTTCGTCCTGGTGGTAAGGTTTTTCTCTCCTCCGTACTCGAATCAGACACGGCACATCGGGTGTGTGGCAAGCTGGTCAGCTTCTGAGCTCTGCAAGCTTTCTCCGGAGAACCACGGATACGGAGATGAGTCAAGGTCTAAGCAGTTTACGGTGATTTCAAATCCGTAAACCTTTATATAGGTCTCTCTAGCTAAGAAGTAGCTCTATCTTTCTATTGTATAACTGGAGAGAGAATCAACGAGGACGAGAGATTGGTAATCATACAGTATGTAAGGAAGGGTATCCAGTGGTATCTAGTGGTATCGGGTGTAATCGCACGTAACGACTAAGCCTAGGTGTCTGCCAAAAACGCACAGAAAATCCCAGTCGAGCGGGGCAGCGAAAAAGGTCCCCACTTTTTCGTCTCTTTTTTTTCTCTCCCACTTTTCCCTCCCCTCTTCTCCCCTTCCCTCCTTCTCTTCTTTCCCCTCTCCCATCCCTCTTTCTCTCCTCCTGGAGCAGTTTACACTCAGTTCTTTTGATCTTCATCGGGCTCGTCCGTGAAAGATCATCTGTGTGTTTTCTTGCTTCTTTGATTCCCCCCTTCCAAAAAAAACTCAACCCCGCCTCTAGGGCTTATCTGAGGAAAAAAAACCGTCAAGATGGTTAAGTAAGTGGACTTCAACTCATCAGAATCATCCTCGATTTCAACGGAGACATGTGGCTAACAGGTTGTTCTTTACAGCTTCACCATTGAGGAGGTCCGTATCCTGATATTCCTGTCCTCGGAAAGAGTCTGAGGTCGAGGAGGAGGGGTTGCCCCTCCTCCCGGCTCCCAGCAGCTCACACCACATTGCGAACCTGATATACTAACACCATATCCAGATCCGGTCTCTGATGGACCGACCGGCCAACATCCGTAACATGTCCGTCATTGCTCACGGTATGTGCTACTTTTTCCCCCCCCAACGAATGCTTCGTTGTTCCGCTTTGGAGCCCCGTGTCTGACTAGCATCTTCTCTCTACAGTCGATCACGGAAAGTCCACCCTCTCCGACTCCCTTGTCCAGCGTGCCGGTATTATCTCCGCCGCCAAGGCCGGTGAGACCCGTTTCATGGACACCCGTCCCGATGAGCAGGACCGTTGCATTACCATCAAGTCCACTGCCATCTCCCTGTACGCCAAGTTCCCCGACCCGGAGGATCTCAAGGAGATCCCCCAGAAGGTCGACGGTTCCGAGTTCCTGATCAACCTGATCGATTCCCCCGGTCACGTTGATTTCTCGTCCGAGGTCACTGCCGCTCTCCGTGTCACTGATGGTGCCCTTGTCGTCGTCGACTGTGTCTCCGGTGTCTGTGTCCAGACCGAGACTGTCCTGCGTCAGGCCCTGACCGAGCGTATCAAGCCCGTTCTTTGCATCAACAAGGTCGACCGTGCCCTGCTCGAGCTCCAGGTCTCCAAGGAGGATCTCTACCAGTCCTTCTCCCGTACCATTGAGTCCGTCAACGTCATCATCTCCACCTACTTCGACAAGGCTCTCGGTGATGTCCAGGTCTACCCCGACCGCGGTACCATCGCTTTCGGTTCCGGTCTCCACGGCTGGTGCTTCACTGTCCGCCAGTTCGCCGTCAAGTACGCCAAGAAGTTCGGTGTTGACCGCAAGAAGATGCTCGAGCGTCTGTGGGGCGACAACTACTTCAACCCCAAGACCAAGAAGTGGACCAAGTCCGCTGAGGCTGATGGCAAGCCCCTTGAGCGTGCCTTCAACCAGTTCATCCTGGACCCCATCTTCAAGATCTTCGCCGCTGTCAACAACGACAAGAAGGAAGAGATCGGTACTCTCCTTGAGAAGCTCGAGATCAAGCTCACCTCCGAGGAGAAGGACTTCCAGGGCAAGGCCCTCCTCAAGGTCGTCATGCGCAAGTTCCTACCCGCTGCTGACGCTCTTCTCGAGATGATCTGTATCCACCTGCCTTCCCCCGTCACTGCCCAGAAGTACCGTGCCGAGACTCTGTACGAGGGTCCCGCTGACGACAAGGCCTGCATTGGTATCCGTGACTGTGACCCCACTGCTCCTCTGATGCTGTACGTCTCCAAGATGGTTCCCACCTCCGACAAGGGTCGTTTCTACGCCTTCGGTCGTGTCTACGCCGGTACCGTCAAGTCCGGTATCAAGGTCCGCATCCAGGGTCCCAACTACACCCCTGGCAAGAAGGAGGACCTGTACATCAAGGCCATCCAGCGTACCATTCTCATGATGGGTCGCTTCGTCGAGCCCATTGAGGATGTCCCCGCCGGTAACATTGTCGGTCTGGTCGGTATCGATCAGTTCCTGCTCAAGTCCGGTACCCTGACCACCGACGAGACCGCCCACAACCTGAAGGTCATGAAGTTCTCCGTCTCCCCCGTCGTGCAGCGCTCCGTCGAGGTCAAGAACGCCCAGGATCTGCCCAAGCTTGTCGAGGGTCTCAAGCGTCTGTCCAAGTCCGACCCTTGCGTTCTGACCATGATCAACGAGTCTGGTGAGCACGTCGTTGCTGGTGCTGGTGAGCTCCACCTCGAGATTTGCTTGAAGGATCTTGAGGAGGACCACGCCGGTGTTCCCCTCCGCATTTCCGACCCCGTCGTCTCTTACCGTGAGACCGTCACCGGAACCTCCAGCATGACCGCTCTGTCCAAGTCCCCCAACAAGCACAACCGTCTGTACATGACCGCTCAGCCCATTGAGGAGGAGGTCGCTCTCGCCATCGAGGCTGGCAAGATCAGCCCCCGTGACGATTTCAAGGCCCGTGCCCGTGTCCTTGCTGACGAGTACGGCTGGGATGTCACCGATGCCCGTAAGATTTGGTGCTTCGGTCCCGACACCACCGGTGCCAACTTGCTGGTTGACCAGACCAAGGCCGTCCAGTACCTGAACGAAATCAAGGATTCCGTCGTCTCCGGTTTCCAGTGGGCTACCCGTGAGGGTCCCGTCGCTGAGGAGCCCCTCCGCGCTGTCCGCTTCAACATCCTCGATGTTACTCTCCACGCTGATGCCATTCACCGTGGTGGTGGTCAGATCATCCCCACTGCTCGTCGTGTCCTGTACGCCGCTACCATGCTCGCCGAGCCCGGTCTCCTGGAGCCCATCTTCAACGTCGAGATCCAGGTCCCCGAGCAGGCTATGGGTGGTATCTACGGTGTCCTTACCCGCCGTCGTGGTCACGTCTACGCCGAGGAGCAGCGCCCCGGTACTCCTCTGTTCAACATCAAGGCTTACCTGCCCGTCAACGAGTCTTTCGGTTTCCCTGCCGATCTGCGCTCCGCCACCGGTGGTCAGGCCTTCCCCCAGTCCGTCTTCGACCACTGGGCCATCCTTCCCGGCGGTTCTCCCCTCGACGCCACCACCAAGCCCGGTCAGGTCGTCCAGGAGATGCGCAAGCGCAAGGGTCTCAAGGAGTCTGTTCCCGGCTACGAGAACGTGAGTTTCTATCCTTTTTATACATCTCTCTGCCATACATCTGCTAACCTATCTCTCTATTATAGTACTACGACAAGCTGTAAAAATGCTCATGACCGACCAGCATGCGTCTGGCAGTCAGGCGTGGAATCTTTTTTTATGAAATTGATGAATGCAATACAACTTCCCCGGTTCAAACAAAAATTTCATTCCCACTTCGATGTGGGCTTGCTTCACAGCCACTGTCGTCTCTAGAAAGTGCGGAGAGCTTCGAGGGATGTCTCGGGCACCTCGATAGCGGCCCGTTTGCTTTTGTCTCCATAGCTGTCTGTTTTGTTTTTTTGTTCCTTTGTTCTTTTTTTTCTGATGATTTTCCTTGTATGTGTTTTCGCTGTGTCTAGCTGTACCTTTTGGACATGAAAATCAATATGGTATACTAGGCACTAGCACTGGTTTCTGGATGCGTAGTTTTTTCCAACGAAGTAGAGAGTAAAAATACCTTCATCGGGTATAAGGTATAATTGTACCTCGCCATGACTGCATGCTTGATTCCAAGCAACAGCTACAGAGCTGGAGCTGTAGAGCTGTAGCATCTCCCATGTCCGTGCACGCCCTCTGACTCTGCATCTGTCATGCTCACGTGACTACATCGCGCGCCTTCGCGTTCTTTCAGTCAATTATTCTGCGCTTTCAGCATCCCTGCTCGCATCGACTTTTCGGCATGACAATAATCGACTGATTCTTTGTTGCCGCTCTATTCATTTATTGGGGTTATCCCATCTTTATCGTCCGCATTCCTACCCACCTCATCGTGACCGCCGTCAACCTGCCCCGGAAGAACGTCCTTCATCTTGCCGCAACACCCACCCTTCCTGCGCAGAGATCGTACGCCTCAATTCTCTTTGGAAGACTCCAGTCAACCTGCTATCTGGCATCCATTGGCTTTAATCTGCCACGATGCATTTCACGGACGCGGAAGCTGAGAATGTGAAGACTTGGGTGGTTAAGAGGTTGGAAGACATGTAAGTCCATTTCGCGCGAATCAGTTAGAATCAATCTTCCCGAGGGCCGGGCTAATATTCTTCACTTTGCCTCACAGTTCAGACGCAGATTCCGATGTCCTGGCAGACTACGTGCTAGCCCTCATTAGCACTGATGCGCCCGATGACGAAATCAAACAGACCTCCGTTGAGAACCTAGAAGATTTCTTGAGAGAGAGTACGCTTTGGCCCTGATTGTACTCTGCTCGCTCTGGCCGCTGACACAAACTAGACACCCAACCATTTGTGGACGAGCTCTTTACCAAATTCGGCCCTAAGCCAGCTGCTCCAGTGGCAGCTCCTCAACCACAGCCCATTCCCACCCCTCAGACGCAGCCAGGTTACGATGTCTCCGCCGGTCCCAGAACTGATTTCTACAACCGAAAACGTACGTACAACGAGGGCTTCCAGGGCGAGGAAGATGCAGGGAACGGAGTACCGCAGAACCGTGCCTTCAAGACTCCGCGCCGCGGGCGAGGTAATGGCCGTGGCGATTGGCAGGGACATGGTGTGCAGCAATATCCCCAGGGACAGCCTGGCAACTTCCCCAATCCTATGATGCAAGGATTCCCACCGTTCGACCCGAATGACCCGATGGCAGCGGCTATGATGATGCAGGGTATGCAGGGCATGGGCTTCCCGCAGATGCCCGGTATGCCTATGCCTGGAATGCCTGGAATGCCCGGTGCTCCTGGTCAGCCTGGTGCTGGCCCGATGGGCTCGATTAACCAGCGCTGCCCATTCTACGATACCCAGGGTATTTGCTACCTGGGCGCTACATGCCCCTACCAGCACGGCGAAGCTGGATCCCAGAATGAATATGACCCGAAGGCCGCATCGTCTGGTGCGCACCGTGGAGATTATGGTTCTTCCCGTGGGGAACGTGGCCGTGGCCGTGGGCGCGGTGGGCCAAACGCACGAGGACGTGGCGGCAGGTCCGACTTCTCGTCAGCAGGGCCGAACGAGGACCAGTCCATCACAACGATTGTGGTTGAACAGATTCCCGAGGACAAGTTGTCTGAGGAGGCAGTGCGTGAGTTCTTCTCGCAGTTCGGCAACATTGTCGAGGTGACCCTGCAATCCTACAAGAAGCTGGCACTAGTAAAGTTCGAAACCTTTGCGGAGGCCAAGCAGGCCTGGTCAAGCCCCAAGGTGATTTTCGACAATCGCTTCGTCAAGGTCTACTGGCACAAGCCGAGACGCGATGAGAAGAACGGTGACTCTCAACATGAAGCTCCTGCTTTCGACCAGGAAGAGTTTGAAAAACAGCAGGCCGAAGCGCAAAGGGCACACGAAGAAAGGACTAGGAAGCGCCGCGAGGCTGAAGAGGCTAAACAGGCTCTTGAACGCCAGCGCGACGAGCTTTTGAAGAAACATCAAGAAGAGAAGGCGCGCCTGCTGCAGCGTATCGGTGGTGGCGGGGCCTCGGACGAGATGGTCATCACCGCCGATGACGGTCATGAAAACTCTGGCGAGATGGCTGCTGCTTCCGATGAGAACGTGAGCGAGGAGACTAAGAAATTGCGAGCCCAGCTAGCTGCTCTCGAGGCAGAGGCGAAGACTCTCGGCATTGATCCTTCCAACGCCGATTCCACTCGTGGCGGTTACCGTGGTCGTGGTGGCTACCGCGGCCGTGGCACGTACCGTGGACGTGGAGGGTATGACCCTTCATACAGGGGTGGATCTCGCGGTCGAGGTGGTTTTAACCCCCGTGGTCGTGGCGGAGGCGTGCTTCGTCTGGATAATCGGCCAAGGAGGGTCGCTGTCTCGGGCATCGAGATCGGTTCTGATAACGACGAGGCTCTGCGGCAACATCTGATTGTAAGTTTTCTCTTGTTCATCACATGAAAGGAGCGAATGGCTAATGATTCACGTTCTAGGGCATTGGCGAGTATGAATCCGTCGAGCCCAATCCCGACCAGGCTGGCTCGGTGATTGTTGCTTTCAAGGAGCGCTATCAAGCAGAAAAGTTCATGTTCAGCCGCTGGAACGCACCCTCTGCTGGCGAAGTCCAGAAGTCCTGGGTGCCCAACCCACCTATCACAATCACGCCGACTGCGACGCCGACGGAGAAGAATGGTCTCGGCGATGATGATCAGGACATGTCCATGGACACTACCCCGGTACCTCAAGCGGCACCAGGGAACATGCCCCAACGGGAGATGGACTATGATGTTGCCGAGGATGACAGCTGGGGCGTTTAGTCGAAAATCTTTGATATTTTAATCTTGTGTATTTTTTTACTGGGACTCGTTTCATGTATCGGGCTCATATTTCACAACTACGTTGATTTTGGGACGGGATGCATGGTTTATTCCCCGTCCGTTTCTCATACTCATGGATCTCATTCGTCTTCTGATTGTAAGTGGAAGTGTAGATCTTGATATCTAGATATCTTGGGGTATCAACTCAACCGAGTAACCATCCTATTCAGATATATCAGTACTAACTCATAGAAGATAGACGAAGATATTGCACTCACCGGATCCTCGACCATAGCAAACTTCTCAAAGAACCAAGCATAATTCTCATGAATATCCCCCTCCCCAACCCCCCTCTCCCTCTCCCACTCGGACAACGGAACACTCTCCCTCTCACAAACCCCCATATCCTTCAAAATCCTCACCCCACCCCCCCTCAACCTCTCCACCGCATCCTTAACATCCGGCACCGTAAACCCGAGATGCGCAAACCCCAATTGCGGCGGTACGTTACCCGAACACACCTCCTCCGTACCATGCACATGATATAACTCGAGCAACCCACTCGTCCGCGTCATAACGGGGATCTCACTCGTTTTCTTCGCCCAGGTATCTAGATCCTCAGCTTTGGTGCCGGGCGGCGGGTGGCCGAGGTAGTAGATTGTAAAGGGGCCGGCGTTCATGGTGAAGATTACGCGCATGCCGAGGAGGTCGACGTAGAAGTGGAGGGAGCGGGAGGGGTCTTTGATGCGGATTGCCAGGTGGTTTAGGCGGTAGTTTTGGGTTGACGGGGTTGGTGGCGGGTTGAAGGTTGGTGTTGGGCCGCCTGGGGAGAAGAGGCCGATTTTGTTTGAGGGTGGGGTTTGGAAGGAGTTTGTTGTCATTTTGGGAGGAGGTTCAGTGTGTTTAGAGGTTTATGATCGTTGGAATGGGAGATGTTTGGTTTGAGATCTGTTTATCAGATGAGGGGGAATGGGGAATGAGGGAGGGGCGGGTTGAACTCCGCTGTGGGGATGGTATACTTCGGGGTGTCTTGGTATTCTGTTTCTAATGTTTATCCCCACAATCCATAGGCAATCAATTGATTGATAATAATACTGAATGATACAATGAACGGAATCATCTACTGATAGACAATCATATCGAGACCTCCTTCATAAGGAAGGGTCACCCGATGGAAAGAACTACCGGGAGCATCCACATAAGCAAACAGCTCCTCATACTTGGAAGCAGCCTTGACCGTATTATCAGCCATAATCACAGCTCCAGGGCGGAGGTACGGCTGCACAAGCTTCAGCGCTGGAAGGGCAAGTGGTGTCCAAACTAATGAAACAATGATGTTAGTCACTAACTCCAGTCCAACAACGACGAATATCCAGCTTCACTTACTGTCCAGCAGCAGAAAATCCACAACACCCAGATCCTTCGTCAGAGTCTCACGCAGATCACCGATGCGGAGATCGATAATACCGTCAATCTCCTTGCCAGCACGCTCCCAGTTCTTCTGAGCCTCGCTGGCCTTGGAAGGCTCCTTCTCCGTCGCGATGACCTTTCCTTTCACCGAACCTGAGGCATCTCGCTTGGCATTCTCTGCCACTGCGAGGGCGAGATAGATCGTGCTCACACCGAAGCTTGTTCCCGCCTCGACGACAGCCTGTGCATTGATACTCCGCAGGATATGATAGACCAGCTCACACTTGTCCTGGTCCAAGGCGATGAACTTGTCTCGCATAATATCATCAAAGGCATTGCTGCATTGCTCAGGAAGCGAGTACCAGTCCACATTTGCCTCTTGGGTGAGGGACTGGGAGTGAAGAGTCTTGAGGAACTCGAGAAGATGGGGGGATGCGTTGAGTGGGGTTGGATATGCCATGGTTGAAGATCAAAGTTTGGATGGGAAGTGGGACGGATCAGATAAGATTGTCCTGTTGATGGTAGATCAAAACTGGGGGAGATAACAAAGCTTATTAGGTTCGATGTTCAGCTTTTATGGTCAGGGTAAATGAGTCATTGGATATACGAGAGTACGGCACCACATGGGCTGATGGCTGCCGAGGTCGGCAGTCGTACAAGCCGTATAGACATCATTCATCAACACATGGCTATTTCCGCGAATCGATTGATTGCCAGAGAGGTGGAACTATGTCCTTTTCTGTGCATATTATGACTATTTTATTATCTGTTTACGGTATATTTCTCAACTCATTATGTACAACTATTCTCCGGTTACGCCTGCTCCTCCAGCAAATCGGCATAACTATTCAAACTCCGCCCAATCAGACTGACCATCTCCCAAATATAGTCTGCAGTGAAAAGGCGCGCCCAGAGGCGGGTCACCGCCGCACTAAGTCTAGTGTTGGTTGCCAGCAGCCAGTCGCGCGAGACACCGTGCTGCACCTCCATCACCATCTCTAGCACAAAGTCCCGCAAGCGGGTCTCCTGCTCCGTCAGCCCGGGGTTTGGATCTGGGACCGTCACCGCCTCAAGCCATTTAGCCAGTAATACGGCACATTCTAGCGAGCATAGCGCGTGTTGGTTCGACCACAGCGCCACTTGCGAGTGGGCGACGAATCCAATGCCCAGTTTGACGGGGGTGGAAAGGGCGTGGGCGCAGTGGAGGGCTGCACGGGTTAGCCGATCTCCGCGTTCAACGCGGAGATTGTCTTTAAGGCTTGTAGCGATCTGGACAGGGTCCCAGGTTTGTAGTTGCCTAGCTGACCCACAGTCTGCGTTGAGTCGGATGTATGCTAGCCGGACGAGAGCGGCCGATGTAAAGGAAACCGGGCCGTGTGGGCTTAGTGGGTCGATCGATGACTCTTGGTTTCGTTCCCAACATTGGCACCATCGTTCCAAAGCTTGTTCCATTGAGATGAGCTCCGGTGTCGATGCAATGGATGAGCCGAGGCGAATACCTCGAGAGAGGGCAAGGCGACCTGCTTTAGTCATGACCCAAATGTCTTGCAGTAACGCGTGAATTAGCACATAACCCCCAAGCGATGAGAAACGCTCCATGCCGCTACTGGGGGTGAATAGTGCAGTAAGAGCCTCTTGAAGATTCGGTTCACCGGGGCTCTGGGTACGTGCGGCTTGCCAGATATCGGCCCTGGGAGCTTGCCACTCTTTCTCCGTGCAAGGTAGATCCAGGGAAAGTTCTTCGGTGAGGATGATGGGAGGGATATCGAATACAATAGTGTGAATGTTAAAGAAACAACAGACAATTAGCTTTGTGCGCTTAACGCACTCGCGACGAATCCAGCTCGTCCACGTCCCGTCATACTCGGGGAGACGGTTGATCCCGTCTTTGCGAAGAAGTGTAGCCATTGGACTTCTGATCGACAATGACTCATGGTAGGGTGGGTTATTGATGAACCAAGAAGAAACTGATATCAGCATCAACAGGGCTTGTAGTAGTTCTAATGTGTCTTGATCATTTGCAACGTTGACAGAAGGCATTGAACCGGATAGAAACACGCGCCGAAATCTTTCAAGTGTGACTGGTTTGGCAATCTGATATAGACGCATGCTCGTGTCCGGTTCGCGAGAATACCTTGCACCCAGTGCGGCCATTGATAGGAACAGTGGTAATGACATTGAATCAACATCTAGTGTCGGCTTATGCACGATTGGGTAGTGATCATGGAATCCCATCAGATACCCTGTCAAGCAACGAGACAAGGCATGCCGGGATGGCAGTGACGGGTCTGATACGACACTGGCATAGTCCGCCAGGGATTCAAGGGCCTTGTCACGGCATTGAGCCGTGACCGGAACGAATCCTGTCGGCTGTCGCGCCTTGGGGGTTGTTTGAAAGCCCTCTGGCTGAAGAGATGGCAACTGTGCCCCATGGCGTGGCAGTACTGAGCTTGATGGCGTCGACGTAGTCTCGGAGGGTTGGCCTCTCTCCGAAGACTGGTCATAGTCTGTGACAGGGGAATATGTCAAGGGCGGGAACAGAGGCAGGGGCTGGAATGCCGGTGAAAATGGGTGGCTCGGTAGAGGCACGCTATCCAGAAACGATGTGAAGTCATTTCCCTCATAGGATCCTGGAAAGCCACCTAGGGAGTACCCAAACTCCGGACCCGGAAGAGGTGTTGGGGGCGCTGCTGATGGGGTTTCGGGGTTTGCCAGTCGCGCGCCCATCATTGGCGTTCGATGCACTGACAAACCCTCTGTGAAGTGCTGATTACTGGCCGACAGAGTACGGCGATCGGTTTGTACATGATCAGCGACGACAGATGCCAGGGTATCTAGCCCATCCATAGCTGTATGAGCGGGGGAAGGTGTCTGTGTCTGATTACTAGCGGGACTATCCCCAGGCTGATGAGCGAGCCGTTCATGGCGGGCCAAAAGATCTCTGCGTCGGATGTTAAAATCTGCTTTACGAGTATCTTCAATATCAACCTACTTGCGAGTGAATGCCTTGGGGCATTGGACACAGACATAGGGCTTCTCCTTAGTATCTGATAGAGATTAGTGGCGAACCTGATATCCAGTGGGGCGAAGCGATTCTCACGCGACCGGTCATGGCGCTGCAGGTGCTCGAGACGGGCAAAAGCCCGGGGGCATCGCTGGCAGTGATAGGGCTTGGTGCTCATGGCTCATGGTTCCGGGTTGTGACGTTTCCCCCTCTTTGAGAGGTGGCAGGTAGAGAGAAAGTCGGGGAGGACAGTTCCAACTCCGCAGTGGTTTTGCATCAAGTACCGACCGGCTCGTGACCGGCACCAAATCCGAAGGATTGACATGTCAAAATGGAATTCTTCATGAGATAGATATTCATTATTCAGCTAGGCTCTTTTTTCTAACCCTATTCTATGTCTATGATTCATTCGAACCAGGATCTCTGGTGTTGTTTGGCTTTCTCATTTGTAAGAAAGTCCTCGGTCGTCTCCAAATTGGAGAAATGCAAAAGTGCAAAAAGTGGGGAAGTTGCCCATTTCCCCAATTCTGACTAATCCTATAGTACACCTACCTATCTTGTTCTCGGAAGGCGTACCGGCATTGGCTTAATGATGATTCGGCTAAAACACCGAATACCCTGGCTTTTTGGCTTGTGAATAATAGAAGAATTGACTCATTATTAGTGCAGGATGTAACTATTCTCCATTACAATAACCAGCTTCCTTACATCTCTATCTTTCTACAATTTACACATCTATGAAGACCCATAGTTGAGTGGAGATGCCGCTTTGCCATCCTTCTCCAACTCCATTTTTTCATCAATCTGGGGCTCACGCCTAAACGGTCGGAGAAAGCCCTAGCCTTTTCATAAAAGCCAAATCGCGCCCCAAAAAAGTGAGGAGTAATTGCCCAGACAAGAAAGAGGTCAAAGCCATCTGCAGCACCGGTACAGAGTACCACCATATATACTCGAGTACATGGCCTCCAACACGACTGATTTCTCCAAACCTGGACCATTCGTCACTATGAATACACGCGAGGCCAGTCCAGAATCTCTGGTCGAGCCCCAGGAGATCGAATATCTCTATCTCGAGTTGGAAACGCCGTTGCCGACGCCATGCATCACTCTACCCCCTCGGCCCGGCCAGTCGGCCCCGCCTGAGGCTCCTAGCTTGGAAAAGTATACTTCGCCATTCCTTTGGCCTAAATGGCGCAAGTCGATGATGACTTGGATTTCGTGTGGTGTTACTGCCTTGGCGGGTTATTCGGCTGGTGAAGTCAGCCCTGCTTCGGAAGAGTTGTGTAAAGAATGGGGCATTAGTTCTGTTGTGTATAACTTGAGCATCACAGTGTTCTGTTTTGGCTTCGCCCTGGCACCAATGATTCTGGCACCATTCTCCGAAATTAATGGACGCAGACCTATTTTCGTCGCAAGTGGTATTCTGTTTGTCGGTACGTTGTCCTGATATCGACGACAATTTAACGAATCTATACTAACAATGTCTTTGTTAGCTATGCTTATTGCTTGCGGTGGAACACACTCGTTCGCAGGACTATTAGTCGCCCGGTTTTTCCAGGGCGTTGGAGGCTGTAGGTATTCTCTGCGCCTATAGTGGAAACATATTAAGCTAACGCTATACCAGCTACCTTCTCTACCATGGTCGGCGGTGTCATTAGTGACATTTATCACACCCAAGACCGAAACACCCCAATGGCTCTTTTCTCAGGCTCTGCGCTTTTTGGCACCGGTCTGGCACCTATGATCGCTGGTGCAATTGTCACTCGCACTTCCTGGAGATGGGTCTACTACTCCCATGCAATTGTCTCGGCGGTCTTCGTCGTTATCATCTTTGTGTTCTTCAAGGAGACCCGTGGAAGTGTTCTGCTAAGCCGAAAGGCTCAAAAATTGAACACCTACTATGAAAATCTCGAGGAGGCTGGCCATTTTGGTGTGATCATGTCGAGCGAGGACCCTTCCGACGAAAAGTGTGTTCGTCGTATTCGGTGGAAGGTTAAGAGCGACGAGCAGCGGGCGTCGCTGGCCAAGATGATCCAGGTCTCGCTGTATCGGCCTTTCCGTGAGTATTCCCAATGGCTACCATCTTGTGATAGACCCTAACCATTTAATACTAGATATGCTGGTCACCGAACCTGTCGTCTTTTTCTTCTCTCTCTGGGTTTCTTTCAGCTGGGCCACCCTCTACCTGCAGTTTAGCTCCGTCCCACTCGTCTTCCGCACCAACCACCACTTCAACGTTGAGCAAACGGGTGCTGTATTCACTTGTATGTCATAATGACCCGGGATAACAAGGTGCGAACAGTTAACTAACCATTCATATCTAGCCATGTGCGTCGGTGTCATCCTCATCACCCTGATTAGTATCTGGCAAGAAAAGATCGCCGCACGATTCGGATGGCTCAACTCATCCGCTGAAGGGCGTCTGTACTTCGTCTGCATCGAGTCTATCCTCCTTCCTATCGGACTTTTCTGGTTTGGTTGGACTTCTTTCCCCTCTATACCCTGGATTGTACCCGCCATGGCTGTTGGATGCGCGACGATGGGCATCTTTTCGATTTACCTGGCTACTTTCAACTATCTGGCCGATACGTACCACCGCTATGCCAGCTCTGCAATCGCAGCTCAGTCATGTTGTAAGTCGCCAAATTTGATTATAATAGGTGCCTATGGACCCATTTACTAACAAAGTGACAGGCCGTAATCTCCTCGGTGGCATTTTCCCGCTGGTGACTACCGCCATGTTTACCAATCTGGGTTACCCTGGGGCATCCAGTCTTCTGGGTGGAATTGTAAGTCGTACCGAAGGCTTGATTGATGTTCCAATCGCTAACGTCTGGAAATAGGGTGCCCTGCTCACCCTTGTCCCATGGGTTCTGGCCTTTTACGGCCCCAAGATTCGTGCAAAGAGCAAGATGGCTAGTGTAAGTGCTTTGCAACACCTCGACACTGGGCCTGATGGGTATACTGACTCGGCGATAGGAGCTTGCGCATTGAGTGATGATGAGACCCTTCCATAACGTGACCATACTTGCATTTCGGTAATTACCAATCATAGACATAGACTAATTTATAGAACTCTTGCATACGGATAGACAAAATTTCATTCTGCCAACCTCCAGTTACGACGTGATTGTGAAAAAGTAATGATCCAGTCTAAATATCATTAATTCGCATGTATACGATGCGAATGCAATTAGCCTGATAGGCATGAGTAAATGCATGCAATATGACCCCCCAAATGCGAACCGGCAAATCCAAATGCAAGCAAATATTGGCCATGATGATCAAAGAGATCACTCTGAACGTCCCTGGTGGCCTCTGAACTGTGTTTTGGCATGAAGACGGTGCGATGCATATCGAGCGTCGTCCTCGCTATCGCTTTCCATCTGGTCTAAGATGCGATCGATTTCATCGCCCGCGTTGGCTTCCAGCCCTAAGCCGAGAGTTTTGTGTTTCGTCGAATTCCCACTATTCTGCGACCCATCGCTTTGTGGGCCTTGGCTGGGATGGGGCCCGACTCCATTGTGGTTGGAATATATTGATTCGTTCAGAATCCTCTGCGTCGCTAGAGGCTGCAATGGCCTTGGACTCGAACGATAGCCTGAGTTTTCGGGACTAGACATGAACAGGAGCGTTTCAATTGCATCCTGCTCCATCGACGTATTTTGAGATTGAGTTCTGGATCCATAAAATCCCTCTTGAGAGGATGTAGGTGCACGCGAAAAAGGAGGAATAGATGGTGTCCCTGGCCCTATGACCCTCGGTGATCCATTAATTGAATTGTACACGGACAATTCCTGGGTTGAATGATGCCGTTTGTGATGAGAGTATGGACTCCGACCAACTGGCTTTTGGAGGGGCTCATTTGGGTTTGGCCGTCGTCGCTGAGTGTCTCCATTTGAAGATATGATGTCCACAGGCGGGGCCAATTTAGGAATAGCAAGGAGTTTACCAGGTGACGAAAGCGCCGACTGAGAGCGGTGATGAGACAGGAAAGGTCGAGGAGTCGTGGAGGTTGAATTATTGGGAGGGTGAGATGTCGGGTTTAAGTTCAGTGGTGATCCAGAACCACTTCTAGTTTGCGAGTCTAGAGAAGATAGGTTGTCTAGTCCACGTAGTGCGAGCTGAGAACTGGTTTGTGACTGTCGAGATTTTTCTATCTTGGCTGCCGCATAGGACAATCGCGTCCGAATGTGAACAGACAACTATCGATGCGTTAAAGAAGTACTTGAGAGCACACTTCGTGAAGAGATATACCTGTGCGATACGGCTCCCATGTGCAGGAGAGCCTGTGCTTTTTGAACGACGCCTTGAAGCCCCATTTAAATCATAGGATTGCGGTGTAATGAGCTGCGCCGAGATAGGCTTAATGTCTCCAGTTGCTGTCCTTTTATGCCCAGGAGCAAATTTTTTGTCGATGCCCGATCGCGAGGTATGATATTTGGGAGATCGTACAGGGGAAACCGAGCCATTGGTGCTTTGTTCCGATTTCAGCGGATGAAGTATATCTACTCCACTCCCATTAACCGACAGGGTATGCGAGGAGTCCTGTGAATTCTCCGAGTTCGGCTCTGTTCGTGATGACTGCGAGTTCTCGACGAAGGAATGGGGATTGTCCAACTCGGTAGGTTGCTCATAGTCGTTCGATAAAGAGGCTGGGAGGCTGGGTAGGGAGTCTGTGAAGGTGCTCGCGGAGTGTGGTTCTGGCCGTCGAGCATCTGCGGAGGCGTCGCTCCCACGTTCGGAGGGTTCAACATAGGCGGCACCGTGGTTATTCTTGTCGTGAACCCCGGCATTCAATCCATCGAGTCGTAAGGATAAAAGCTGAGGGGATCGTGGGACTTGAATGTGATCGGCGCGAGCCGGTTCCCTGGAATCTCGCACTGTTGATGTGTTCAAGTAGACGCCCTCGCTGTTCGCACTGGCCTCCGCATGGGAAACCCCACGATTCGGCAAGGCATCGCGACTGTCGTTCATAACGAAGGGTATATTGTGGCGGGAAGCAGTAGCGTTAGAGACAAGTACCGAAGACAAAAACATACGCAATCAATCTTCAATGGCGAATAAACGCGGCCGCGCCAGTTGAGTCTAAACACACGGGACTTTACTTCTTGCGCCGAGTCACCGCATCGAGACGGCAGCGGGAATGTCCGACGTGGAGTGATCAGGAAGCGCGCTAGATCAACGGTTGGGATCTAAATACCCTGGAGGACCTTCGGGACAGTGCAGAGATGCTGGTAATGCTTGCCGCGGGTGTTAGGAGCATCTGCTCAATCCAGTGGCGATCGACCAGTACGCGCAAACTTGACCACGAGCGGCAAAACGGCGGACTGGTAGCCTCCGCCCGTGGGAAATAATATTGCAGGAGACGGCTCTGCACGCAGTTGGAAGGTAACAAGAGGAATTATCAGTTCTCAAAAACTGACGAAAGGGTATATATCTAGCGTGAGCTAGGAAACGAATTGCGTGCGAGGTTAAGAACGTTCGTGGAAGTCAACGTCGCCCTTCGGCTTTCCTTCTTGCGGCGACGCGTTCGAGACACGGTCACGTGGAAGGGCACCACTTGCGGAAGAGAAAGTATAAGGGAAATGATTGTTCAGGACGAAGTTTTTTGATCTTGAGGCTAAAAGAAATGCTTATCAGAATATTTAAGCGTATAATATATGCCAGTTGGCTATACGTTAAAGACAAGGCACCGTATTCAAGAGCCGCTTATCCCGAACACTATTCTGTTCGCCCATGTCCTTCGAGATTTAACCAGAAAATTGATCAGATCACAATTTAACAATGAAACCCCTTTACAAATCTCGAGAAACAAGAGGATTTATAGACACAGGAATACTATTCACAGTTTGAATTTTTGACATTGCGCCGATCAACAGCGGCAATGCAGTCTCATCTGTATTTGAAAAGAGGTATGGATAGAATAGAAAGCCCCAAGGCCCCACCAAGTCACACCAAAGAAGAAACAATTATGACTTCCTTAAGGACAGCCGCTAGAAGGATAGTTGCAGCTGCTGGTCTCACCGCCACCAGTAATGGAGACATCAGTGAAGGTAAAGTCCGAGCAGCTGTCCGAGCCACAGAGAATGTAGTAGTCGTAGGCATCGTCAGTGGCTGTGCCCTTGACGTTATCGAAAGTGACACCGCTGATGGTGACGCCGTTGGTTGGGTCACCGGTAGCGCCGCCGTTGAGGTAGTCTTGCTGGACGTCGATACCGTAGTCGGTGATACCGGAGACAGTGATGTTCTGGTAGACGACGTTGCTGATCTGCGTACAAAGTCAGTGTCTTGTTTATAAGGTAAGAGGGTGAGAGAGTCGTGTTATCAACTTACACTGCCAGTAGTGTCGGCATTGCTCTTGATGCGACAACCGTTCTCGCTGTTGACCACCTGGGAGTTCTTGAAGGTAACTCCATCGACGGTGTTGTTGCTCTTTCCACCGACGGATCCGATGCTGAGACCGTGACCACCGGAGCAGTACACGTTGTCAACGACGATCTGAGTTCCACTGGTGACAGCAACACAGTCATCCTGGTTGTAGACCTCGATATCCTCCAGGGTGATGTAGTCACTAGAGGAGATGTCAAATCCGTCACTGTTGTGGGCTGCGGCCTTGCTACCGCTGGCAGAGTTAGGCTCATCTCCAGCAGTGTTGTTCAGAACAATTCCAGAGAAGACGACGTTCTGGCTTCCAGTGATATCAAAGCAGTGAACGGGCCAGTTCATGATGTTCAGGTTGGTGACCTTGGAGTTGTAGGTCTTTTTGACGACGATGAAGTGGTCGGGCCTGGGCATTCTGATTAGTGATGAAACAAAATGTGGATGATCTTGATAACTGACTTGTCCTGTCCACCGTTGGAGCCTTCGCCGTCCCAGTAAGCAGCACCATTGCCTTCAATAACGTGGCCCTCGGCACCGGTGATAGTGATATCGTGACCAGAGATGACAATTGGATCGAAGTCATCGTCGTAAGTATCACCGAAGGTCTTTTGAATGATTAGCGTTATGTTCGAGGGGTATCTATTGAAGTTTCACTCACAGTGGTACCCGCAAAGGTCACAACGGCGCCAGTCTGAAGGCTCTGCAGATCAATGGTGCTCGAGGGAGGGGCATAGAAATCGGAGAGCACGATGTTGGTGCAAGACGCGACAGCAGAAGAGAGAGATGCGTATTCAGAGACAACACAAGTAGTACCAGATCCAGTGGAGTCATCGGCGACAGTGGTAACGGCCTGAGTGGTGGTCGGTGCCGCAGTGGTGGCAGGGACATCAACGGAAGTGGAAGTGGTGGAGGAGGCCGGGCGAGTGGCCTTGACGAGAGTAGTCGAGATAGTAGACGACGCTTCGCTCGAAACCGCAGCGGTGGTGGTAGCTGCGCTGGTTGCAACAGCAGTGGTCTTGGCTAATCCGGACTGATACTTCTTATTAGGTACTGGGTTTGTAGATTCGATCATTGAAGACTTACTCCTGATCCGGCAGTAGCCCAGGCAGTATCGAGGCAGCTACAGGCACTCGACAGAGCCTTGGTCTTGAACTCACACTCAGAGGCGAAGCTCGGCAGGCCGGTAGTGGCGGTCACTATGCTAGCAGTGAAAGTAGCACAGAACTCTGCGGCAGCAGAGCTGGATGCAGTATAAGCCGAAGCACAGGCATGGTTTGCTGGGTTGTTACATCCCAGAACAATGGGGACAAGAGAAAGTAAGAGCGCACGGCGCATTTTGAAAAGAATGAATGAATGAACGAATGAAAGAGTGAATGACAAAGAAAACAAGAGAACGATGAGAACGAAAGGACTGTAACTGCTTGGGTCTGATGGGGCTGGCGAAGTCTTATACAATCCAGCTCTGCTCTCGGCACAATTCGACTCGCCTTGACTGAAAGCTTAGTCGCTATTCTGACACGCCAAGCCTACATCAAGAACTAGCCGATATCCCTGAATTCTCTATAGCTCGGGTATTTCGGATAAGTTGGCTTAATTTGACCCTCAAGTCCACCAATGGCATTGCCGAGCCCCTGGATAAAGGTACATTATATCTCCGGCGATTAGAGCAACCGGTGCAGATGACATAGCTTGAGCTTACAAGTTCCACAGAAAGATCAAAAACGGTGCGTTGGGCCCACTTGGTCCAGGGGCTCCATCCCCGGCGGCACTTCGGAGACAAGTGGTGGTTTCATATTAAAGGGCTAACGAACGCGGTGGCGTTTAATTGTGCACGGTGAAACGCAAGAATTGAACTAGGAGCGGAGCCAAGACACGTCCATGGGACTTCTTGCATTCAATCCCTGGTATTCGTATAGCTAGCTCGCTTAGAGGACGCGTCGTCAGCGTTAAAAAGTTTTACCATATGATCAGGAGTTGATAGAAACCCCCGAAGGTGTTTCTAAATCCAGATGCTACTCAGTCTACAGTACTTAGTATCTATTGTGTTTAATAAAGGTCAAAAGTCTAGCTATTTCAATATAGTAATACCTAGACACTAATGGATTCCGGATCTCTCTATTTTTTTCGAGAGCAATACAGAGGTGGAAAAACTCTCCTGTTCAGTCAAGTCTTAAAAGAAAAAGGGCTTAATTCTTAGAGAGATGTATGTCAGAAATCATATACAAGCGTTTTATTTTTGGTGCACGAACGCCATCTATGCAAAGTAAAGGATATCCATGCCCGTCCGAGGCATATACAAAACTAACATCTCGATCACCTGCGCTTCTTACCACCGCCACCGCCAGACTCATCATCATTCTTGCGCTTCTTGCCTTCACGGCGCCAGTAATCATCGCGCTCCCGCTTCTCACGAGCAGCCTTCTTCTCCAAACTATCGGCGACCTTAGCACGGTAGACCTTGCGGCGCTCCTCTTGCTTAGCTGCACGCTTAGCTTGCTTCTCGTTACGCATAGTAGTCAACTTCTGCATGAGATCGCGAGCCTTCTTCTCCTCGCCACCGAGAACGACGGCACGCTTCTGCATGTACGTCTTGTCGGTGTGCTTTTTCATCTTGGTGATCTGCGACTTGAAGGGGAGTTCGGCAGCCAGCTGCTTCGGCACACGAAGAGGGTTGAAGTGACGCTCTTGACGCTCGATCTTGCGGTATGCGGAATCCTTATTCAGGGGGTGGGGATGCCCTGGTCCCGACGAACTTCACCGGTGAGTCGCATGCCTTGCCAGCCACTGTCAGCGGCACTACCCTCCTCCTGGTCGAGCAAGTTGGTGACGGGGTTGTAGAAGCGGTGGGGCTTGATGGGGTACCAGGCGCGTAGGAACACGATGTCACTCATCAAGATCTTGTCCTCGAATGTCGCACGGAAGTAGCCTTCGGGTTTGCTCAAGGCCCTCTTGATCTGACCACGAATACCCGAAACTGTCTTGATGGATGCACCCTCGAACTTGGCAATCTCGAGGGAGGAGTTGAACATGTCCTTGATGAAGGCGGTATTCTTGAAGATCTTGTAAGGAACACCAGTAAGCTTCAGCTTCTTGACAATCTCCGTGTGTTCGTCCACGCTCAGAACGACACCGGTCGCGGCAATGCGGAAGCCAGGGTTCTTGTTGGAGAATGACTGGACACAGCAGAAACCAGTGTTGGGAGCAACGAGGGGACCGTAGAATACACCGAAACAATGCATGTGCTCAGGTGTATACTTGAGCATGCGGTTACGGGTTCGACTGTCTGAAGTACTGTAGATAGGCAATGATTGGAATCGACGCCATCCCAGCGAGAAGATCAGCGGGTCGTTGCTCTTCAGGATCTTCTTGTGCCAGCGGTGTCGCTTGATGCGGATCTGCACGTATCCGAAGCGATCCTCTGTAGGAGCGAGACCACCGACGATAACAGGGAAGCGAGGGTTGAACTTCGAGGCGAACTCGTAGGGCACGTTCTCGAGGACAATTCGGGCATAAGTTCCAGCCTTGTAGCCTTCAGCGCGAGCACGAGAGGCCGGGTCGAGTTCGTCAAACTCGGCACGGTTGATATCAAGCTGCTTCTGCATCTTCGCCTTCTGCAGGTCGTACCAATCGTCTTCGCCGAATTCGCCCTCGAGGCCGTCTCGTTTGCCATCTTTGGCATTGGCAAAACCTTCACGGTCCTCTTCCTCGAAGCGAAGCTTCAGCTCTTCCTTCCTCTTGGCATTGCGCTCACGCTCTGCGTCGAGATCGACAGGGCCTTCGGGTTCCTTTTCTTCGCCCTCCTCTTCATCTTCATCACCGTCTTTGTCTTCGTCATCATCAAATCCATCAAAAACCTCGCCCGTTTCCAGATCCTCGAAAGCACCATCGCCCTCGTCATCTGAATCAAGGTCGTCCAGGTCTCCATCTTCAAGATCGTCATCCGAACCACCGCCACCAAGCTTGCCAGTGACGAAGCGACGTTTCAGAGACTCAATCAACTCCTCATCTCGCCACTTTCGCTCCAGCTCTTCGTAGTCGTATTCGGGGACGGCACGGAAGTCAGCCTGATCCCGCTTCTCGTTATCGGTCTTCTTGAAGAAATCCTCGCCATCTTCATTGGCTTCGATGTCGGACTCCTGGCCCTCATCCTCGTCTTCAACACCGCGCCACATCTGGACAACGTCGACAGGAGTGATTGACTCATCGTAAATCATGCGAGACAGATCATTGACACGGAATGCTGGGCGCTTTCCGTGAAGAGCCTTAGCATTGGCCAACATGTTGTCCTTCCACCGAGCATTGCCCTCATCATCCTCGTCGTCCTCGTCCTCGTCATCCTCCTCATCTTCGTCTTCATCCCCACTATCCAGCTCTTGATCATCGACTGATGAAATGGAACCGAGATCAGAGTCGCTGTCAGCGAAAGCAACGTCTCCATACTCGCGGTTGGAATTGCCATTCTGACGCTCCTTGAAGCTCGATTCGAAGTCGGCCGGCGCTGAGACATCGATCTCGTCTTCCTCGTCGCCACTGAAGTCGTCATCCTCATCTTGGTCGTCTCCGAGTTCTTCATCGTCCTCCTCACCGCTTTCGAGACCCTCCTCATCATCGGAGTCGAGCTCAGTGACACGCTCCCCGTCAGCAATCCGGGCATGACGTTTGTGTTTCCGGCCAGATTCCTCAGCTTCCTCTCCCTGGGCGATCTTTTCACCGCCACGGAAAAGACGAATACCTTCATCGGCCTCACCAAGCAATCGTCGTTCGCCTTGCAAGCCAACCACCAGCTGCTCTCCAAGTCCGCGGTTCTCATCATCAGACTCCTCATCAGAATCACGGTCAAAGGTGTTAGTCTTAACATCAATATAGACGGCGTCCTTATCAACCAAGACACCACCAACATCGGACATGGGAGCAAACAGCAGCTTCTGCTTCTCACCCAGCTTACGCCTTGAAGACTTTCCAGTGGCCTTGGCGATCTGCTGATCCATATAGGGAGTCGGGCACGGGTCGGGAAGTCCTTCGATACCGGAGACTGTAAGATCGCCGACACCAGGAACGTGAACTCGTGCGCCCTGGGCTGGGAAATTGGTACCTCGGAGGTAACCATACAGCGCAATGGTACGATCGCACTTGGGGTTCTCTTCGATCTGAGTGGGAGGGGTGATATCCAAGAAGCGATCGGCAAGCGCATAAGGATGAGAGTTACGCCAGATAAGTGGACGCGGGTTCTTCATGACGGACAAGAATCGCGAAAGGTTGTGAACTTCACGGTCGGGGTAGCGGCCGTTAATAACACCGGAGAGATAGAAGAGCTTCGCGCCCTGGTACAGCTCACTCCAGAAACGGTGCTTCAGGCGCTTCTTCGTCATGCGCAGTGTGCTTTGCTTCTTGAAAAGGTCGAGATGGGTGAGAATACCGAAAACGTTACCAGGCATACCGCTGGTAGACAGTGCGTTCAAGAATTCCATAGTTTCCATCTCGAATCCGTAGTTTCCGTCGATCATAAGCAGGACGATATCGGCGATCTTGGCTACATCGATCATAGCGGCGAGGGAATCGAAGGGACATTCCAAAAACGTGAGGCGCTTGCGCTTGGTGGTGACCACAGTAAGCGGACCTTGCGGCGAGCTCAGAGTCTGCTTGGTGTAGCGACGGATCAAGGACTTGAGAAGGGTTGTCTTGCCGACCTGTACATGTAAAGAAAAGATTGCTGGTCAGATTACGACCCTCGACTACCGATTGGAGGTTAGAACTTACACCTGAAGGTCCAACGATGGCGACGACCGTCGGAGGAGCCTCCTCGGGCATACGATCCACCTGAGGGACATGCAATCTCTTTTCCTTGACCTAAAAGCAGCAATTAGAGTCAGCTTTTGCATGCCAGCACAATGGATTCGAGTGGCTTGTAAACGTACATCGTGAGATCGGGCAGCCTGCTTATTGAGTTTTCCAGGGTTGGAATACGCAAAGGCCTTTGGATTTTGCCCTATAGCAGTCACATCATCAGTATGCGTTGCAGACTTTCAACCGGGACGCAAAAGCAATCTCCGCAGATTCCATCTCGGAAGCGTTCTGGAGGCGTACCTTCAAACTTCTTCTTCTCCTTCGCGGGGCGATGCGCCCTATTCGACTGCTGCTCCATGATGGAGATAAAGAGGCCACAGACCTCACAGCTTCTGTCCCGCTATAATTCCAGGGACTGAAGTTCTGACGACAAGCCGACTACTGCGAACTGCGACTTGAACTGGCCCAAAATTATTATTTCGGGGCGGAAGAATATGGGGCCGCTCAAAAAAAAGTGTTTCCACGTTTAGTTTAGCGTCGGGGAGCTGGTACTGGCCTTAAAGCCTGAGGCATTCAGGCAGGAGACTCCAATCCCATTCTCTTATCGCTCTGGTCATCTCCAAACGCGATAAGGCTCCCATCGGCCCGATGTATTTAGATCTCTTTGGGATCTTATGGCTTCAAAACCACTAAAGTGGGGAGATCGGAGTTGACAAGCCGACTTATCATTGACTTAGTCCAGATTCAGTGCTCTGCTCTATTCATCTGGGGCAATTTAGGCAGGTCAAGGCGATTGTCTGACCTTTTTGGCGAGCCTTCTCGGCTCTACACTATGCGGGGCAAGCCCCCAAAGGATGGATCCTAGATAACGGCAATCCTCCGAGCTTGTAGAGCTTATTATATAATGGATTGCTTACCCCGGCCCGGGATATTAGGAGGTCTTATGGTTAGTATCCGGTGTTAAAGGCACTTTTACTCACGGCGCAACCGTTTTCCTGAACAGACTACAAGGATATACTTCAAAATGACAACCGCTCGTCGACCTCCCCCGGCCTATGACTCCGCACCGGACTCTGGCATCCATGCGACATCTGAGGTCTACCAGAGGATCTCCAAGACCGCATCGGACCCTGCCGCCCGAATCCCTAAAGAGTCATTCACGATCCGACCATGCTCAGGCCAGGCATGGACTGTGCCTGCTGGTCACATTTGTCGCCTGACGACGCCCAAGGGACCGCAAGTCGGCGACTTGAACATTTGGAACGCAAACAACCCGCGAGAACGGATGTGGGCTGCACGTACCCGTCAAATCCACGCATCTCACGTCTCCGTCGGTGATCGCTTGTGGTCCAACCTTCCATATCTGCGGCCCCTGGTGAGCATTACCGGCGACTCGCTTAATGGCGGGCAGTTGCATGACGTGCTGGGTGCAGATGGGAAGCGCAAGCCCGAGGTGGTCTTTGGCACTACGCAATTTGGAGGCCGAGTGCATGACTTGATGGGTACTCGCTGCGATCCTTACGTGAACCTCCTGATGGGCGGTGAGACGTTCGACTTCCACTGCCACTCCAACTTGACCCGATCAGTGGTGCCCTATGGTTTGACGGAGCTTGATGTTCACGATGTGTTAAACGTCTTCCAAGTAACTGGACTGGATGAACAAGGGCGATACTTCATGGAGACCTCCCCCGCCAAGCCAGGGGAGTATTTTGAGTTCTTTGCCGAGGTGGATGTTCTCTGCGCGCTATCTGCATGCCCCGGTGGTATGTTTCAATCCTTCCCCACCAGCACTACATTGGAAAAGCTACTGACCAGAACTTTATAGGCGACCTGTCCGAATGGGGCTGGGACGACAAGGAGGGTGAAATGGGAGCCACTTGCCGGCCTCTGGGCGTTGAAGTGTATCAATTGGCGGACGAGAAGACGATTCTGGATGGGTGGAAGGCACCGGAGAGCCCTGCATACAAGGGGATGCACGGAATGAACATGCCTAAGCGGGATCAAGACGGATATGTTGGGCTATAAGTAGCCCGCCACAACTTGAAAGATCATTCTTCTTCAAAACATTATCATATACAAATGCAAATGTCAATTGCAATGAAATAAAGACCGTTTAGGAGTAAATAATGGATCAACAATCCGTCGCGCCATCCGGAAATGACTTGCAGTATCACCACGTGACCTGCCCCGCGTTTGGCGGGAGCAATAGCGTCATCGCTGCATTGTTACATCGACGCCGAGATTTATCGTGTCTATTGTCAATCTGTGACCCGTAGCTGAAGAGGCCTCAAAAATCTGCAATCTGCACTAGGGTGGCGCAAGGGGCGCATGAGCCTCCCTCCAATGAGTCATCCGTCTCGTCAATCTACTATCTCATTCATCGGGCACGGCTGCCTGGCAAGTCTGTAACGCGAAAAGGAAAACGGAGTAGATATTCACGACACCTTTAAAAGCCAGCCACTACGGAGGGCTACTGTGGTGTAACATCTTTCCAATCATAATTTGCAAAATCGATTGCGTTTCGGCTGCCAGGGACGGGCCATAAACGGTAGAGCCGATAGAAATGGTAGAAACAGGGCGTGTCCAAGGTCCTTGTAAAGCTAAACAAATGGCGTAAGACACCAGCAAAGCCACGTCCTCTTATCAGTCGAGGGGTGTCCCACCAGTATAAAACCATCGCCCCCTCCCCCTCCACCTACCCATCCACTTACCTTATCTCCGCCATCTTAGCTCAGCTCTTCTCCTCTTTCCACTTCCACTCATCCGTCTTTCCAGCATCCTACGTTTCCTGCCTGCCACCACACTTCACTAGATCAACTTCCCGTTTTTTCTACTTCCCTCAACAATCATGCCTCTCTCATACAACGTATGCGACTACTAGTCTACTTCGATATGTCCTTTCTCCGGCTAACATTAATGGTGCCTAGGTCACTCTGAAGCCCGACGCCTCTCCGGAAAAGCTTGAAGCGTTGGTTCCCCATAATCACACCAAGTCCAAATAAACTCTCCGCTAATTCAAGTCCCGTTCGTTAGTGCCAAGGAGGAGGCTATTGGCAAGGGCGGTACTATCCAGCATGAGTACAGCCTGATCAAGGGCTTCGTGTTCGTCACCCGTCACGACATTATACTTCTTTGGGCATATTTACTCTCTCTTGTTAGATTCAACGCTAACACTTCATCTCCTTCTAGTGTCGAGTTCCCTGATGACCACGTCGATACCCTGGAGTCCAACGACCACGTCCACGTCGAGAAAGATGCCGAGGTCAAGACCCAGTAAATGGACCATGCCCAAGCGTATGTAGCTATGTCCAGCCGAGTGACCACACGACTCAGCCTCAGTAGGTAGTCGAGGGTCTTTTGCTTCGGCGCCATGATTTGATACCAAATGGCCTACGCTCGGCTGCTCCACGACTTCCTTGATGTACATATTATTATCCAGCCAGCGGCCTTGACTGCGGGGATGATTACTCCTTCCGCAGATTAACAATGAAGTAACGAATTACATGGAAATCGGAGAAATCCGTTTTAGTTCGTAGTGGTAAATAGTTCAATTTTGTATGTCATTCGGGGGATTTCTGTCGACGTCATCGGCGGGGGTCCACTTTAGAATATATAATGCTCGCGTTCAGCAAGCCATATAAGGCTGGTGTAATCCAATCAATATGTAGACTAGGGAATCAAAGTCCATCATTATTTACTTTCCATCTCCGGAAATGGAAGAGGGGGTTTGCCGTGTAAACCTGTCAGGGCCATCGGGGCCGAGGATATCCGGTCCAACCCCAACCCCAACATGCAGATCTCCTCGTCACCGCCCCCGTTGCCTCTAATTTCCGTGCTTCTCCCACCTCCCCCCTTCCACCCCTCAAAGCACGCAATGGCTGCCACAGTGTTATGGGCGATGCCAGCGAGAGGGCAGGCCCGGCTCATACGCACGAAATTGCGATTGATCCGTCATACCTCGACCTCACAGAAGACTTGGGATTGGACCAAGCGCTCAACAACTGGAGATGTTGCTAGAGATGAGGTTGCCCAGCTGGCTGCTAGCCCTCGTCGCCCCCTGACATTAGCAGACTTGTTAAAGTGAGCACCACATGAATGATTACACAATGAAGATCGAAACAAGAAAGCTGACAAGGACTGATTTGGGTAGACATGGGCGTCCACCACTATCTAAAGACGCGCTTCTAGCTTCGGCGAATTTCACTCTCTCCTTGCTCCCCGCACGGCTTGCCTCCAGAATTCAAGCATTACGAAATCTGCCTTTCATAGTCGTTTCCAACCCTCACGTGTCGAAGATCTACGAAAATTACCGCCATTCCCTATCCACCCTTCTCCCATACCAACAAAGGCGAATCACCACCCTCGAGGAGGAAAACCAATTCGGCGACGTGCTTGCGGACCTTGTACAGACCCATGCAAATACCATTCCGGTTCTCGCCCGAGGATTCCTGGAGTGTCGGAAATATGTCAGCCCCGCAGATGTGACACGTTTCTTGGATACCCATCTGCGTGCGCGTATCGGTACTCGATTAATCGCCGAACAGCACTTGGCGCTTCATTTTGCTTCTCAGCCAGTCAGCGATGAGCCACCTAACTGCTCCAAGCCTCGCTCGCCCAAAGATGCAGTTCCTTCGAATTATATCGGCGTGATTGATACTGCGATTCAACCCGCGCGTATCATCCGTCTGTGTGAGGATTTTGTTGGAGAGATCTGCGAGCTGAAGTATGGGGTACGTCCACGACTCGTGATTGGAGGCGAACCTGAGGCATCGTTTGCCCATGTTCCAGTGCACGTGGAGTACATCATCACCGAATTGCTGAAGAATGCGTTTCGCGCGACTATCGAATCTGGAAACGAGCGGGAGCCCATTGAGGTGACTATTGCAGCTGCCCCGGACGTGCCAGGGAAAGAGCCGCCGGTCGAAGGCGACGCCGACATTGGCTTTCAACTAGATGCCAATGATGAGGCGTACCCGAGTGAAGCAATGGGTGCTTCTAATCCCTCGTCGCAGAGCATTACTATTCGTATCCGCGACCGGGGTGGTGGTATTCCTCCGGAAGTCCTGCCTCACATCTGGTCATATAGCTTTACAACATTCTCGGACGTGGACTTTAATTCGGAAAATGGCAATTTGGATGCCCTGAACACAATCTCTAGCAGTGGTGGCCATCTAAGCAGCATTGCTGGCCTTGGATACGGACTACCACTCAGTCGAGCTTACGCAGAGTATTTCGGTGGGAGCATCGCTGTGCAGAGTCTTTGGGGTTGGGGTACCGACGTATACCTAACCCTGAAAGGTGTTGGCAAGGTCGACTGAAGAAAGAAAGTTTTGGACTATTTCCTTTGAGTGCACAGAGACTCCGTGTCTGTCTATTTTACAGTTTTGGTTGGTCTGCCGGACGCGCAAGCAAATTCACGAAACTCGTTACTTGCAGATCAGGACGGTGGACTGCTCCCGCGATCTGGGCAGTTTCTCTCGCAGAGAACATCCGCGCCATGTTTTGTGAGAATTTGGCTTCCAGAAACGCGTTCGTCCTGGGATTTCGCACATGTCCGAGAGGATACTCAACGAGTATCTCCGGAAGAACCGATTGGTTCTTGAGATGGATTGTGACACCCGTCCCCAAGCTCTTTTTGTCCAGGTCCAAATAATCATGGGTCAGCACCGGGTCAGGTGAAACCGTGATTTTGTCCATCAAGTACATCAGATCTTCATTGGTCGCCCATGGGCTTGTGTCGAGATAGTCGACAGCCTCAGGCGCACTACCCTTCAAACATGCCAAAGCAACAACGTACTGAATGCAATGATCACGGTCTGCAGCATTGCGCAATGGTCCTTTTTTGTTGATGATCAAATCGGCTGCGGCCGTAGTGCGCAAGTCGATCCGCTTTATGTCTTGCATGGGATTCGACAATCCTATTTCTTTGCAGCGACGCATTTGGAGCAGGACCGCTTCCACCGCAGATACGGCATGTCCCTCCACCGGCATGGCCTTGAATAGCACGTTTTGGATTGTCCATGTACCAAATGGTCGAGCAAACTGGAAGCCCGTTTCTCCAAATGTTCGAGCCCAAAACCCCCACGGTCTGGAGGACAAAGCTCCCGGCGAACCTGGCTGGCCCGCTTGGACATAAAGAGCAAGCTGTACAGCTCTCCGCGCAGCGTCTCCTGCAGCCCAACCTTTCCGTGGAATCGTATTATCGCGCACTCTGTATACCCTCGTGGGCTGCCCATCCATCCAGACGTGAGAGATGCATGCCATGGTCTGCTCTTCTGTGAGCCCCAGTAGCCAAGAAACGACGGCAACCGAAGCCAGTTTGACCAATACCACATGGTCGATGCCGTACGCATTGAATGCATTGCGCATTTGGTAGCACCCTTGTATCTCATATGCCTTGATCAGTGCGATCAATAATGTCCGCATGGTCAGCGGTGGTCCTGTATGAACGAGACGTCCCGAGGCTGCCATGCGCGACGACCAGTCCATAACAGCCAAGATGGTTGCGATATTGTCTTCAATCTAAAATTCAATCTGACTGAACATTTACATGAGTTATAACCTGGCAAACATCATACCTGATGGATGACCCCATTCCGCCCCTCCCAACGCATCATTATGATCCAAGTAGCGTATAAGCACTCCAAAATCGAACGCTCCCTCTAGAGGGTCGACCTGTAGATTGGTGCCCGGGACTCGAAATCCATCTGGAACGATCATGTCTTTACTCGTAAGACCTAGCAGCTTTCGGCACTCGTCGCTGGTAGCCGCAGTCTCAATGGCACAGCCTAGAGTATCGAGTAATGCCAACCGCGCCCGTGCCCAGACTTTTTCGTCTGCTTTGTCGATTTCATAGTGGAAAATGTAGCGTGCGATGTCGGTGATCGGTTGGTCGTATGCAGGTTCCATCTCGTCTCGCCAGCAAACCTAAAGAAGACCGTCGAATTCAACTTAGAGCTTTGTTGCCTTGAGATCGCCTGGGCAGCTATTTGGCTCTTGAAATACCTATATAGCGGAATATTTCCACTAGACACTCTTCGGCTCATTTTCACTACAATAGAAACTATCCGTAACGTATACATTGTGTAGGAATCTTGTGAGTATCCCCAAGTGTGAAATATAGGTCACTACTCTCTTCAAATCCTTCGCTGTGTTTGTTCATTCTTAATTCGATTCCATTTTCCCAGGCATCGGATTTACTCCGGAACATCGGTGTAGACAGCAGTCGGATTTATTGAATTTCGGCTTTGGTTACCTGAAACTGGCATAGGCTACCTATCTCCCCACTACAGGCTAAGGCGACATGGCTGCTTGCATGAGATCAATTGCTGCAATTTGCTTACGGAGCTGCATTGCCGAGGGAAAGCGTACCAAGTTTAGTGGAAGAACTGGGGCGATAGGCTGATGTAGACTGGGGAGCAAGCTGCAGGATGCCCCCACGCCTCCGCATTTGGCATTTGTAGAGCTCGGTCTTCTGTCCGGGAGGAGGGGGAAAGGCAATTCCGAACCATCCACAGACCTGTTGCTTTATCAGCGAGCAGCTCTCCGCTTTTTTGCTAATTGATCCTCTGGACCTTTTAACACTCGTCTCAACGCTTTTTTCAGATCAGTGTGTTTGTCGTTGTGAGTTCACACAATCCGCGAGAAAACAGTGATGTAAGTTAGACCGGACCCTTTACTATGGTACCCCACTAACGGCAAGATAGGGTATATACTGCATCTTTTGCCTTCTTCGAGGCCCTCTGGGAGGTTTGTGATACCTCAAGTCCTGTCAATGTGCGACGCTGATAATCAACTAGGGCGGCGTAAGCCATGTCTTCGTCAACCTCGGTTCCGACCACCCTTCCATCTTGGAGGCTATGGTGAAAGGTCAGAAGGAGAAAAGGGACCAATTCCCGAGAATAATTACTTGTCCCAATGAGGTACGTCTATCAATGCATGATCCCACGACCGATCGGTTCATCCCGCATCCATAACTCCTCCATCCCTTCATTCAGACATCGAGACTATGTAGTACAGACTAACACAAGCTGTAAAGATGGTCGCACTCTCAATGGCCGATGGCTACGCTCGCTTGACCGGTAAACCACAAGCTGTGATCGTACACGTCGATGTCGGAACACAAGGACTGGGCGCAGCAGTGCACAATGCTTCCTGCGGACGTGCGCCAGTCCTGATCTTTGCGGGTCTTTCCCCTTACACAATTGAAGGCGAGACTCGCGGCTCGCGAACCGAATATATCCATTGGATCCAAGATGTCCCCGATCAAAAGCAGATCGTCTCGCAATACTGCCGGTATACAGGGGAGATCAAGTCTGGCAAGAATGTGAAACAGATCGTCAACCGAGCACTGCAATTCGCAACTAGTGATCCCCAGGGCCCTGTTTATCTAATGGGAGCTCGTGAAGTGATGGAGGAGGATATTGAGCCTTATCAGCTCAATCAGAGTAATTGGGGCCCCGTGGCACCGACTGCACTACCTCCTTCGGGGATTGAATTGATCACGGCTGAGCTTGCGGCTGCTAAGAATCCACTGGTGATTGTGGGATATACTGGCCGCAATGCTCAATCAGTGACGGAGCTGGTGACCTTGGCCAACCATTTCAAGGGTATCCGAGTCTTGGACACTGGTGGCAGTGATATGTGCTTCCCAGCTGATCATCCTGGGTGGCTCGGCTTGCGGTACCCCGGACATGACCTCGTGAAGACGGCCGATTTCATCCTCGTAATCGATTGCGATGTGCCTTGGGTGCCGACGCAGTTCAAGCCCTCTGCTTCCGCGAAGATTATCCATATTGATGTGGATCCATTGAAGCAGCAGATGCCTGTGTTCTACATCCCATCCATGGCTACGTTCCGTGCTGATTCGGCCACGGCTCTGAGACAGCTCAATGAGCATATTGCCAGCAACAGTTCGCTTCAGCAGTTTGTAAGCTCAAGCGAAAACAGTTCAATGGGCCAACTGCGTGAGCAAGACTATGTGAAACGCCGTAAGGAAATTGCCGATTTGGCGGTAGTTCCAGCAGGTGGCGATAGTGCTCCTCTTAATATCTCCTATATGATGGCGCAAGTTCGCAAGGGTGTCCCCTTGGATACCATCTGGGCAATTGAATCTGTGACGCTCACCCATCAAGTTTCGGATCAGGTTGGTGCTACACTGCCGAACTCCTGGATCAACTGTGGTGGAGGAGGCTTGGGTTGGTCTGGCGGTGGTGCCCTGGGTATCAAGCTTGCTTCCGACGTGCAACATGGTGGCCCTGGCAAGGGCAAATTTGTCGTCCAAGTTGTAGGAGACGGGACTTTCTTGTTCTCTGTTCCTGGATCTGTCTACTGGATCGCACGGCGGTATCAGATCCCTGTTCTGACTATCGTGCTGAACAACAAGGGATGGAATGCACCCCGACGAAGCATGCTACTAGTCCACCCTAACGGGGATGGATCGCGTGCTACAAATGAAGATTTGAACATCTCATTTGCCCCGACACCGGATTATTCGGGCATTGCTAAAGCTGCAGCAGGTGGCGAGCTGTGGGCTGGTCGAGCTTCTACTGTTGCTGAGTTAGCTCAGAAGCTGCCGGAGGCCATTCAGAGCGTGTTGAATGGCAAAGGCGCGGTCCTGGAGGCACAGCTGGATGGAACTGCGGGCAAATATGTCGAGCGCTCAAACCTTTAGAGAGTAGGTTCTCTTGATACCGTTGAATGAAGACTTTCTTGAATAGATGAAAACCTGCTATTGTAGTCGTATACTTCCTCTCGCACAGTCCAAGCGCATTAAGCTTATCGCGCCGATGCCGGCGATAGCCTTATCTATGCGGGGGGACAATGTCCTCGGATTACAGTATTATAGTTCGCACACCGCCCATTTGCACCTGCCGATAACCCACTGCCAGTATGGTATCGTATCAGGACCCCTCCAACGCCCTACACCCTACGCCCTACACCTGACAAGGGCGTAGCTGCAGTGCGTCTTTGTCCACCAGCAACAACCCTGCGCGGGGAGAATTAGATAACAGAAACTCACCGCAAAGATGGCCACTGGCCCGTCCAACTCAAAAGCTTCTCCAAAGTTTGGATATTTGGGCTGCATTGATGAGTCATGCGTCCCCGAATCGGATCCGCGCTGCCGAGTGGATATCGCTGCTGTAAATTCCGCCCATCTGCCTCCAATTCGCCTCCACTGCCGCTCCAACTCCGGTATCACTCTTTTCTCTCCTGAACTTAAGTGTGTGCCTTTCACCTGAGCTCTGCGACCCTCAGGATACTTAGCCAGCTCCGCAGCTCTTCAGCTCCTCGCGCCGAACCTACCTCGCCACGCGACCAAACACACAAAAAGATATACCCCTCCGAACCTACCGAAGCTATACACTGTCAACGCCATGAGCCCGCCTGCGCCGCTAGATGTTGATATGGTGGGGGTCACCGATACCTCAGCTGTGCCTATTCCCGACCCGTTGACCGTCAATGGTGTCCCAGGATGGCGCGAGAAGGTGGCGAACATGCCCACTGGTGTCGCTGCGGCGTGCAGCAGTGATATGTTCAAGAGTCCGGTATGATACTCGCGGTTTGGTGGAGTTGGAATGATTATATGGGAGTTTCGAATGGGCAGGAGTGCTGATCAACTTGTTTGGGGTTATAGGCTTGCTATACCAAGCCAAAGGCCAAGCGCTTCGATCGTATGTCTGAAATACTTTTTGTGGGAAACCCGAACGTCAATTGACACAATTCACATAGACATGCTCTCTATTGAGGCCAAGTCCCGCAAGGTATGTGCTGATGGCAAGGGCTCTATCTCATTTGCATAGTTGTACTAATGTCATTCTAGGCCTCTACGTTGAAGACCGCTGCTCAGTACCTCAAGAACCCAGGTCTGATTACCTTCGTTTATACCCAGTTACTCGGGAAATTCTGCGGGACTGACATCTGCATCCAGGGATTATCTCTCTTGGTGGTGGTCTTCCCTCTGCCGAATACTTCCCCTTTGAACATATCGACATCAAGGTCCCTAACCCACCCGGATTCTCCTCGGAAGCCACACGCCAGTCTGGCTCGGTTGTGCGTGCCGGAAAGCATGATATTAAGGAAGGAACAAGTCTCTATGGTTCGTGATTATCTCGAACCTTCAGTTGGTACTCTACACAATACTAACATGGCTGTGTATTAGATCTCGAAATTGCGCTCAACTATGGCCAGGCTACCGGCGCTGCTCAACTACTCCGGTTCATCACCGAGCACACTGAGGTATATCTGGGAAAGGCCCTCAATGCTTTCAGAAATACTAACGATATCTTAAGATTATTCACAATCCCCCTTACTCTGACTGGCAATGTACCATGACTGCTGGTAGTACCTATGCTTGGGATACAGCACTTCGCATACTAACCGAGCGTGGCGACTACATTCTCATGGAAGAGTATACGTTTGCCAGTGCTGCAGAGACCGCTTTCCCCCTTGGTCTGAAGGCCGTGGGTCTTCCTATTGACGAGGAAGGTCTTATCCCTGAAGCTATGGATGAGATCCTTAGCAACTGGGACGAGAAGGCCCGTGGCGCACGCAAGCCTTATGTCTTGTACACCATCCCTACCGGCCAAAACCCCACCGGTGCCACCCAGTCAGCTAAACGCCGCAAGGCTGTCTACAAGGTCGCCCAGAAGCACGATATCTACATCGTCGAGGACGAACCTTATTACTTCTTGCAGATGCAGCCTTATGTTGGACAGGGCGGCGCTGCACCTCCCCCTCCCGCTAGCCACGAAGAGTTCATCAAGTCTCTCGTTCCTTCTTTCTTGAGTATTGATGTTGACGGTCGTGTGTGCCGACTGGAGTCGTTCTCGAAGGTCGTTGCTCCTGGCTCCCGAGTTGGTTGGATCGTTGCCTCTGAACAGATGATTGAACGTTTTGTCCGTAACTTCGAGGTCTCCTCCCAGAACCCCAGTGGTATCTCTCAGATTGTGTTGTTCAAGCTCTTGGACGAGCACTGGGGTCACTCTGGATATCTGGACTGGCTCATCAACCTGCGCCTGCAGTACACCGACCGTCGCGACGCGCTGCTCCACTCTTGTGAGAAGCATCTGCCTACCGAGATTGCCTACTGGGTACCTCCCGCGGCAGGCATGTTCGTAAGTAAACCATCAAGACACACATACCAAGACGAAGGGACTGACGATTATTTAGCACTGGATTGAGATTGACTGGCGCAAGCACCCCGGCGTCGCCGCCGGAAAGACCCGCGAGGCCATCGAGGAGGAAATCTTCTTGTCCGCCGTCGAGAACCAGGTCCTCTTGTCTCGCGGCAGCTGGTTCAAGGCTGACAAGTCAGCTGTCATGGAAAAGATGTTCTTCCGCGCGACTTACGCCGCTGCAACGTCGGAGAAGATCGACGAAGCCATTGCTCGGTTTGCAAAGTGTCTGCGTGACCAGTTCGGCCTGTAAATTTGGAGATAAATGAATACCTGGAATTGTCAGAACGCATAGTTGCATTTATGCACTGACGCTCGCTTTTTAGAGAAGATAGGAGATTGCCTTGGGGTTGGCGCTGTGTATAGGAAAATTTCGGCCTTAATGTTACTTATTGCATATACGATTTCCTTAGGTAAGCCTGCATGAAATGATGATTATGCAGTTAATCCAATGATCTCTCGTGTAATGTCCATAAAAAAGAGCTCCAACCGAGTTGAATCCTATCAAGTCAAGTCAAGCTGATTAGGGTATCCATCATAGATGGGCCCGTAGACACCTCATGCTTCAGGCATTCAACACATCAGGTCACGTGTTGATTACGCACCGCCAACGCCCATGAAGACGACGTGATGCAAACAAGACTTCGAGAAGTGAGAGCGATTATGATTTGATCGTATTTCTCGAGAAATCATCTTCAATGATTCTGAATATTGTGCTGAATGCGTCTTGAAGCGAAAAAGGGACCGTTGGGATAGTCAATTTGTTCCGATTGACGCGCCAGGGATCGCTCGAACTGCCCTTCCACGAATATCATTTTGGTTCTACTGGGTAAGCCGACTTTGGCTTCTTGCCTAATCCATATGTTTGCTTGATCACATCACTCGAATAATTTTTTTCTCCTCTCACACACTCTCCCTGGCGTCTTCCTTTTCTCCATCCTCCACCTCCACCCGCAAATCCCCTCTCACCTACAAGCAACGCCTTGTGTGAATGTGTCTATCCCTCGAATATCGACATGACTGATCAGACTTCCCCAGGCCTCTATCCGGCAGGATCACTTCGTATCGCACCTGGCAAGAACGCCTACTTGGTTCGGTACATCGACTCGTCTGGTTCTCCAGAACTGCCAGGCGGCCTGATTTACCAACGCAGGTCAACTCGTGGCCCTGCTCTCAGAATTGATACGGAAGACCTTGATCAGGCGAACTCTTCGTTTGCCCTACTGACGTGAGTATCTCTATCTTTTATCTGCAGACAATCATTTCTCTGACTCGGTTTTCGATCAGGGATTCGGCAACCCGCTTCCAGCTGCCGAAGATCTCGCCCTTGGATTTTGGACCTCACGAGAGTATTCTAACAGAAGAGGAGCTATTCAACGAGGAAGTAGAGAGTGACAATCACTCAGATACTGCCCGTGACTCCAGTGCGCTCATTTCTGATCTGCTTGGTCATCTTGAAGAGGAAGCAGCTCTTTCTCCAGGGCCTACTCCCCAGGCTACACTCACGTCCTCCTCAAGCCGCTCTATCTACTATAGCGTTGGACAAGAGACAGAAGTTGACACGGAGACAGATAGCTTGTCTAGAGAATCCGGTCATCTATCTGTGACTCCCGAAGACAGCCCGCCACTAGAGGGGAAGACCCCAGGCTGCGTTCTCAGCCAGTCGTACCAGGACCTCGTGCAAGACTTTCCACTCGATACTATTTCCGAGACTGTGGCCAGTCAAAACGACAGCTTTCACAGGCAGTCAGTGGACAGCTTTGTCTTTGACGCCCGTATTGAAGCGGACCTGCCGGTTACTCCGAAGAGGAAGCAGACAAAAAACAGCTCCTCTACACCTGTCCTGTCACCGTCATTCCTTGGCCCATTTCCAACTCCTTTCTCCCATCGGCAATTTATTGCATCCTCGCCGTCTGGGTCTTTGCGGTCTCCAAGCGCGCCCTCCATTCGCGATCCTACTTCACCTTCTCCGACAGCCCGACCTAGCCTGAAAAGGAAAGATACTACTCGTCCCAGACTACATCTTTCCGACATCTTCAAGCATCGGCAGGTTTCGAACAAGCTTTAGGCCGTCTGTGGCAGTGTTAGAGTGCTCGCTTGCTTTCCCTTCTCAGTTTTTGAATCCCTGCCCTACAATTCCCTTGTCCCTCCCCTTTCCCCTCCTGACCGAAGTATTGCTTAACGAAACGAACCAAGATGGATTCTCGTGTGTCCCGCTTCCTGGACCCATCGTCTGCCATGGCAGCGATCACCAGACATAAAGCGGAAGCGATCAAGCTAGCGCGAGAGCAAGGAACAGCTGTGAAAGAGATGTGTCGTCGTGCAAAGACGGATGTGCCACCATATGAATTTGAAGAATTGATTGGCAAGGGTGCCTATGGACGAGTTTACAAAGGCCGGGAGATGCCCTCCGGCCGGCTTGTGGCTATCAAAGTTCTCGACATTGACTCACTGGACTACAAGTCATTACGTGATTTCAGGGATGAGTCCATCAAGGATTTCATCCATGAGACTAAAGTCATGAAACAAGTCAAGGACTCGGGAGCAAAGAATATCAACGAACTGATCGAAGCCATTTCCATTCACTCTCAGTTGTGGTTAGTGTGTGAATACTGCCCAGGTGGAAGTGTACGAACACTGGTAAGCTCTGTCGTTTCATATCCCCAACAACAGAGTATTCAGCTAATGTGACGTAGATGCGGGCGACAAATGATAAACTTGATGAGAAGTACATTATTCCTATTGCGCGCGAGCTTGCCGTGGGCTTGCACGCGATCCACGAAGCTGGTATCATCCATCGCGATGTCAAAGGTACGATATTCTTCGCCAGTCTCAAGCTGTAGGACCTCTATTGACGGGTATCTACAGCTGCGAATATTCTCATCCATGAAGAAGGTCGACTAGAGATTTGTGACTTTGGTGTAGCAGGTGTTCTCCAATCGCAGCGCGATAAGAGATCGACGTGGATTGGAACACCGCACTGGATGCCTCCTGAGATGTTTTCAACTCGTGGGGAAGCCCACAAATATGGCAGTGAAGTGAGTCCACAAATTCATCACACTCGATACGCTTACTGACCTAGTTAGATTGATGTGTGGGCGTATGGCTGTACACTATTTGAGTTCGCTACGGGTAACCCACCTAACTCGGGGCTTCGTGAGCGTATGCAAATCGGACGACAGCTCAACCGGAATACTCCTAAGCTGGATAGCGAAGACTACAGTGAGGGTCTGAAGGACCTCATTGCATTCGCATTGGATTCAAATCCTGCCAGTCGTCCAACGATGGCGGATATCCTGGCCCATCCTTACATCGCAGACACTGACGAAGAATACCCCACATCGTCAGTGAGCGAGCTGGTGAGGAACTATTACCAGTGGTCACAGCGAGGTGGTCAGCGAGTCTCGCTCTTTCACCCCGGAGGTGCTGCAGCTGCCGAACTTCCCGGTACTGAAGAAGCTGAGGATGATTGGAACTTCAGCACCACGGATGGCTTTGAGCGACGGTTCTCGGTTATTGACCTTGACCAAATAGCTGCCTCGTTGGCTGAGATGGAAGAAGCAATCAGCCCAACCACCCCGCTTCCGGACCATGATTCTAATGAAGATGTCTCCGATATCGATATGGACCCCGAACAGAAAGCGAATTTCGACGAGCGGGTGCGACGAGGTGCAGCAGCAATGGAAGGTCTCTTCGACGAGGAGAAACCGAGCTACAAGTACGAGACAAAGAACGATTTTGTTCCTATCCAGCCGCCTCAGCCGGTATCGGATCTACCTCTACGCACCGAGACCGATCGCTCCTCCGTGACCTCAACATTCATAGATATCGATATCGGCTCATTCGATTCATCACATTATGCGGCTGGCGCACCTTCTGCGCAGCCGTTCCAGTTGGCCGATGCGGATACTATTCGTGCTAATCGCTCAAGTATCCGAATCCATCGCAACTCAAATGAAAACAGTTCACAGTCGTCTGGCAGCGACGCAGAAGGTGGTGACTCTCAGGAAGATAACTTCCAACCTCCTTCTGGTCCACGTCCTCCTACTATGGACTGGAAGTTCCCAGGGTTTATGCTGCCAGAAGAAGAGGTTGCGAAAGAAGAACCGAAGGAGGCACCAGCGCCGGAGCCCGTCGAGGAGAGATCCTTCCAGGCCGAGAAGCGGGCCACGATGGAGTGGACATTCCCTGTGATGTCAAACCAGCCAGGTGAAAGCAGTGCCAATGACGAACCTGAACGCCATGATACCCTCCGAGCGCCTATCATTCCTCCCCAGCAACAACCAGCCGAGGAGCCGGTTATCTCTCGCCCATCCACCTCGGCCTCTCATAATTCTACAATGTCAGATTCAGATTATGACCCCTTCCGTTTTGATCGTCCGGCCACTCCCCCGGGTACTTCCCCACAGCCTGTTAGCTCGTTCAACTCTGAATTCCCCACACTGACCGAATCGACGGATGATGATTCGGAGTCAGCTGGGCTGCTCGACGGACCTGGTCCGGACGAAGAAGAGGATACTCCATTGTGGCACGAGCATAATGATGTTGAATCCGAAGACGATGTACCCCCTCTACCTACGGCTATTCCTGTTCTTGGAAGCCCCGGAGGCACTGCACCTTTGGTCTCCGAGCCAGGCTCTCCTATCTACGAGGAGCCTTTGCAGACTGCTCGTCGAGAGGCCATGTCAGAGGTCTCCACCTTGAGGGATTCTGAACCAAGTGCAATTTCTTTCCCGGTTGTCCTCCCGCCTAGCATGGAGAGTCTGATGGAAGGAGCTGATGATGCTACTATTACGGCGGAGCTGGATCGCCTGTTGGGTGATTTCCTTGGTGCTCTTTCTGCAACTGGAGAGGCACTTTCAAGAGCTATCCCTGAGAATCACCTGACAGATGATACTACTCATGTTGTTGAAAAGGTCCAATAGTGAACTTGCCTTTGTTGGTGACTTTATCTAGAAACAATGGTAGATACGAAATCATGTTAACGTCGTCCTTTCACGCTCATAAGAAAGAGTTGCAACACCCTTTCTACATACCTGGTGATGTGTAAATTTTCTAATGTAGTTCTCCGGTTTCGAATGCTGTAACTTATATGTGTAAATATTTTATCCCGGATTTGAAAAAAGATACAAGACTTACTACGATCATACGAGGCTGGTGAAACTCTTCACTGGCGAAATAGAATTCAATTATAGGACATATATGGCCACTGACCTGTCTACCATAAAGGTACCCAAAGAGACCAGGAAGACCTCTTTTTTCTGCCGATTGCCCTTAATTCCCACGTCCAGGATGAGAGTATCCACGCCTTCCCAATCAGGAATGGCAACATCGTTCCTCCCCCATACACGTGCTGTTTACATCTACAACACGAACGCGAAATTATACATTTAAGTTGCGTTTAGATCTTTGAGTGCGTGTCTATACGCGTGTACGTCACCAATTGAATAAACGCTCGAGGCAAATCGCTCCAGATGACTCTGACAAGCTCTTCTCTCTTTTATATCCTCTCCCCATCCATAAATCTCGACGCCACTGAAATTTAGAGTCTTGAATCACATCCATTATGCTTGGAGGATTTTCTACAAAGAATCTTATGGCATCCTTTGCCTATCCGTCATCCCCACTGCCACCACAAACCCCAAAGGAGTGGAAGGTGGTTTTGATGGAGGTCAAGCGGCTCTACCTCGAACGGCAGTACAAGCAATGTGCAGCCCGCGCTACTGAACTCCTCGAAGTCACAAAGGAAGCAGCTGTAAGTATCAATATCTCAATATCTCTCTTTTGATACAGATACTGATGGCTTCTGTCTAGGTCCATCCGATCTACACGGCGTACTTGACGTTCCATGCGGCAATCTCTTTCGAGTTCCTTGGTCAAGCAGCTCATCTTTACTCGAACAACAAGGTCACCTATCTCCATGCCGCTCTGGACTCATTCCTGGATTGTCTCTCCGCTCTTCCAGAGTCAGTTCCACTACCAAAGCTGCCTACGGTCTACCCAACCCCTCCTCCCAGTCCTCTATCCATCTCGCAGTCGCAGACGCCTCAAACACCCAATACTCAATTCACAATTTTCGAAGATGGTGAGGACGATTCGCCTTCACCGCCGGTCATTCTCGACACCCTCACCCGCATGATTAATGTCTCTCTTGACGTCCAGGAGGACGATGATCCGTTCGTCTCTGACTCGGACAATGAAACTCCGAGCCCATTCGTGGACGCCTGTCTGGCTTCGGCTGAGATTCGCAACGGCTCACTACAGAACAATGCGCTCTTCCACGTGCGTTTGCCTGAGTCCAAAGACGCAAAAAAGTTCGAAGAATCCATTCAAATAGGTTCCTTGATGCCCTCTCCGCTTCGCGTTCGAAAGCCGTCGTGGGAATCCCCTCCGCAGATTAAAAGATATCCCAACATGTTCGACACTCCTACAAAGCTGGGAAGATCGAGTCTTGCACCTCGTCCGTTAAACCCTATCCCGGCAGGTCGGTTAAACGTTGGGAACATCAAGTTGAGTGCCGCCCAGGTAGCCAATAGTTTGGCTGCCCGTTCAAGCCCTAGCCGCATCCCTAGGACCCCTACAAAGGATAAATCTCCTGCAGGAAGCGAGCACATGGGCAACGAGAACCAGGGCAATGAGCACAAGAACGAAGAACACAAGGGGAAAGACAAGACCGTCAGGAATGAGGCTATCACGCCGGCTCATATGGCCCAGATTGTGAAGTTCAATCGTGAAATTGAATTCCTGCGCTCCCAGGTCAAGGCCAACATCTCCGACATCCAGAAGCACGTGGAGAAGGTCAACGAGATCCAGAGGGCTCGCCGCGCCCGAAATGTTCGACGTGTGGCATCCTTCTGGAGCTTTTCGCCCGTCACTTCGGCGCACGAGGCCGATGACGAACCTGAGCCGGGTCTGGCCATGGACCAGTTCGGGAATGTCTGGACCAAAGAGACCAGGGAGCAGCGCATCGCCCGGCTTCGGGCCGATGGCTGGACTACCGTGGGGTTGCGGTCTCCCCGTAGTACCTGGAAGGGGGCCGGGTACTACCAGGACTTCTGCAACATGGTCCTGAATGAGCTGTTTGTGGACAACTGAGGATTCTCAGTGTAGTCCTTTGTGTCATGTGTTATGTCGATATGATGATGTCAAGCTTTTTGATGAAGACGATGTGGAAGGATGTGAGGTGGATTTGTGGTGTTTTCATCTAAGAGCCCGTGTAATATGTGAGAACTAACGGAACATGTACGATATCATATGGATCTTATTTGTATCAAACACTTCCATTATTAGTGGATCATTGAATACATCTCCAAATAAGTAGTTGCTCCGTAGTTATGGGCCATTGTCTCCAATTGGGGCAGTGAGAGCTGTATAGTTCACAGACCCTTGCTGAGCATAGTCCCCAGTCCATCTCCCAAGCCTCCCTTTGCAAAAACACCTCCTAGCTGGTTACCCAATTGATCTTGGATCTTGGTGAAGTTCTCGTCTTCGATAAGTTTCTTGCCGATTAAACTTTCTAGAGAGACACCAATGTTAGTCACTCTTTTGCCGTGTTTATCTTTCTGTGGTATAATTTCAATAATGGAGATATATACTCTTCAAGCCATAGGAAACTTTCGTCTCTCCCATCGCCTCCAACAACAACTCTTGGAGTTTCTTCTGGTAGGGATCCAGGGCACCCGATACCCAGGCCCCGAAGAGGACGACTTGGAGTGCGAGATAAAGGATAAAGTAGAACATTGTTTCGATAGACTCGATTTCAAAGGTAAGTTTCTTTTGATAGATACAATATTTCTTAAATAGCCGTTCAGATGCGGTGTTTATATGCAGGCGGGTTGCAAGGTACATATACGTATGTAGGAGGAGCCTATGACGTGCAGGGCGTGGGATATGACGCTGTCGGTGCAGACGCTGGCTGGTGAGTGGAGTCGTCGGGACAATATACTACGAATCAGACAGGTGCCTTATATTAAGCCTGATCGAATTTATCTGTACAGTTAAGATACATTAACGCTTCATTTTCATGTAGTCCGTATAGATTACGTGGTCGGGTATCTAGATAATCGGTCCATCACCACCTAACAAGCTGCATGGCCGACCGGCAGATCTTTTTGTATAGGAGACTTCGACGGTAGGTGTTGTGCTGCTTGAAAGCTATCTAGAGAGCTCTAGATCAAGTTATTTCCTGGGGATACTTGAACAAGAGGGAAATAAGAAGAGTAGGTGTCCAGCCTCTATATAGGCCATCCGTAACCTTCTCTCTCTCTCGGGATTTCCGCTGCCTAATTTACAATAGCCCGAACTATCATCTCAAAAGGCTATTTTCTTTTCTTTTTCTTTTTTTGTGAAGATAATGCTTTGGTATGAGAATAGATCCTCATCCAATCGTCCATAAACAAGATCCACTTTCGAATATCGGGGCCGTTTCCTGACCTCGTATCCCGGTCGCGTTTAACATACCGGTTGGAATGTCCTCGTTGGATATATCGTTGCATAAATTAATTCTCGTTGGGCTGAGAAATCTGCATTGGGTGTGGCTGGGAGCTGAAGGAGCTGCAGACAATAATAATTGGTCGATCCGATCGAACCAGTCACTGTCCAAAGTATCCATGGATGGCCCCCAAATTATAGAATACTCCTGTTGCTTTTGAGAAGTTCAGCTGTGGCGGTGCAACGACCGTTTGATGGTTGGAATTACGCCAAGGGCCCACTAAACCCTACAGCCTTTCAGCCTAGTGGACTGCCCCAAATTATTTCGCTCCTTATCGCGTCTAGACCTCCTTGATCCTCCTCCTCCTCCTCTCCTCCTCCATTGCTACTTACTCTTCAAGTTTCCCGGGTCCTCCTTCTTCGACCTCCCATTCCACCTTCAACCTCTCTCCTGTCCTCGAGATCTGATAATCGGATCGGTAGAGTCCCCCCCTCTCTCCTGAGCTGCTCTCCTTCCCCCCCACTTGCTACTCCTCCATCGCGATAGGCTGCAAGCCATGATTCCCGCCCACTCAACCCCGCCGTCTGGTCGCTCGCGGCTGAGATCTGGCGTCTTTTTTATGGCCGCTGACACCTCCAATTCTCCCAGATCTTCCGAGTTTCCCCTGAATCAACTCTTTCGATCCTCTCTCCTCCCCCTCCTTCCACGCTCTCCTCTCCGCTGCGGGGTTCGACAAGCCCACCTTTGCTACCTAACCGGAGTCCTCTGCCCATTCCAGAACCCATCGCATACCCAATCCGACCGTCTAGGGTGCTTTCAGCCCTATTTCCCACACCATGAGCTGTGAGTCAATTTCGTGCGCAGTGTTTTGAATCATACAATCCTGCCGGTTTTTTGGGGGGTATACGAGGAGGTCCTTGCTCTCTCGGCCGTGCCTGGAGGTTTTTTTTCGGCTTGTCTCAGCTTTGACCACATGGCACGACTCCGAGCTGTGATTCAGTCGTAATGCTTGTCTTCGTATGCACGCCTCTTTTATCCGTTGCATATTACATCGCGGACTTTATTGTTGGGCTGTCCGCGCTTTATCACGATGGTCTGCTCTTTCAATGCGTGTTTCTTTTCTCAAATTGGCCCATATCCTCGGCTTTCCTCGCATCTGCCCTCGTTTTTCATGTGCTTTGAAAAGATCCCAACGTACTGACCCGTGGTTTTATAGTCGCAAACATGTTGAACAAGCTGTCTGGTCAGCCAGAAAGCTATGAGAAAAAGTATGGTTCTATCAACTCTCGCCGACAATTCGTTTACTCACACCTAATGCCTCTTTCAGGGCCCTCTATAAATTCGGCCGTACGCTCGGTGCAGGCACGTACGGTATTGTCCGGGAGGCGGAGACGGGTGATGGCAACAAGGTTGCAATCAAGATTATCTTGAAGAAAAATGTCCGCGGCAATGAGGGCATGGTCTACGACGAACTGGAGATGCTGCAGAAGCTCAAGCACCCTCACATTGTCTCCTTTGTGGATTGGTTCGAGTCCAAGGTGAGTCCTCCTCTGAGCGCATCTCTTAGACATTAGGTTCTGATGGGATTCAGGATAAATTCTACATCGTCACTCAACTAGCCGTGGGTGGAGAGTTGTTTGACCGGATTTGCGAGTACGGCAAGTTCACTGAGAAGGATGCTTCGCAAACTATTCGCCAGGTGCTTGACGCAGTTGACTATCTGCACAAGCGCAACATTGTCCACCGGGGTTCGCTTTCTCCCCATTGTCTACTTTGTAGCTTGCTCTAACAAACTTATAGACTTGAAACCCGAGAACCTCCTCTATCTCACACGCGCAGCCGACTCCGAGCTGGTGCTTGCCGACTTTGGTATTGCCAAGATGCTGGAGAACCCGGCCGAGGTTCTCACCAGTATGGCGGGATCCTTTGGCTACGCTGCCCCAGAAGTCATGCTTAAGCAGGGCCACGGAAAGGCCGTCGACATGTGGTCGTTGGGCGTCATCACTTACACTCTCCTCTGTGGTTATTCCCCCTTCCGTTCTGAAAACCTGACCGACCTGATCGAAGAATGCCGTGCCGGTCGTATCATCTTTCACGAGCGTTATTGGAAGGACGTCTCTCAAGATGCGAAAGATTTTATTCTTACCCTCCTGCAACCGGATCCCCACAATCGTGTGACCTCGGAGGAAGCTCTGAAGCACGTGTGGCTGACCGGTGAAACTGCCAGCGACCGCGATCTGCTGCCCGAGATCCGTGCTTACATTGCCCGTGCCCGTCTGCGTCGTGGTATCGAGATTGTCAAGTTGGCCAACCGCATCGAAGCGCTCAAGATCCACGAAGAGGCCGAGGAAGGTGAAGAAGATATCCCCAGTCCCATGGACATGGGAGCTGGCAGTGCTCCGGCTGAATCGAGCGAAAATGGTGATTCCGCTGCCCCAACTACCAAAAAGCGCAGTCTTAGCAAGGTTGCTCGTGGCGCTATCTTCCGAGAAGTAGTCTTGGCCAAGGTTCGTGAAGCCAAGGACAACGAGGAGCGGGAGAAGGTCGAACGAGAGGCCCGGGAGAAGGCATCGCATCATTAACCCTTTATCTATCGGTCTTGATTTGTCGTTATTTATTCCTTGTTACGATGTCGGTTCATGCTCCTGTATTTTGCCTTGATTCTGGATATAGTCGTGTGATTCCCCATCTTTCATACTTTCTCTGCACATAATCAGTTGATTCGAATGGATTCCCGAGCTCTTTGTCCTCTTTCCTATAGCATCGCTTTTGTTTCTATAGATTGTCTAGAACGCCACTGTCTTGGCACGGGCAAACGGTCCTGATCACGTGCGGGACAATCTTATCTTCCCCCGCAGGTTGCATCGTCTTTTGGACAGCTTTGTACTACTCGAGCTCATTCTGCCTCCGTGATCCCCCTAGCTTTCTGTCGAATTTGCTCTCGGTCAGACTGTTTGGACAAGCGGGGAGTCATCAGTTGCTCTCAAAGTATTACCCCAGTTCAGTGGATCATCGATCTTTTTGCAGCTTCAACCCCACGCGTTATCCTGGGGTATCCGATCGGCACCATCGCTATTTCTTGCTCGTGATCGAGGATCTACAATACAGCAAATATGTTCGCTAGCAAGCGCTTGAGCAAGGTGAGTAATCCGATCACTAATATGGCAGAAAATTTCTCTTCCTGGGATATACATTTATAGACATGGTTGCTAACGCGCAGATCCACATATTTAGGAGCTCCTGAAGGTACTACTACCTCCCGACCCCTCCACGATACCTTCTACCTTGATTGCAAGGTTTCACCCAGGAACATGCTTTAACACTGCAGCACTTTTCCCACATGCGAGACCCGATTATAGCTTGAGAACAAGACCTAACCATTCTATATAACTCCAGATGAAAGAGCACGTACCACCGGGAATCTCGATCGCCAAATCCGACAACCTAGAAGAATGGCAGATGGATATCAAAGTCCTCGACGACAACCCAATCTACAAGGGTCACACCTACAGGTTGAAGTTTACGTTCTCAAACAAATACCCGATCGGTAACTCACACTTCCGCTCTTTTGATAATAGCACTATAGCTAATGTGCTGTGCTTTGAACTAGAACCGCCCGAAGTCCAATTCATCGAACTCCCTACTACCTCGGATACCCCTCGCCCGATCCCTATGCATCCCCACATCTACAGTAACGGCATCATCTGCCTCGACCTCCTCAGTTCCTCCGGCTGGTCCCCCGTTCAAACTGTCGAAAGTGTGTGCATGAGTATCCAGAGCATGTTGACTGCAAACTCGCGTAACGAGCGACCCCCGGGTGATAGCGAGTTCGTGGCGTACAATCGTCGGCGAATTCGAGATATCCCGTTCGTTTATGAGGATGATAACGTTTGAGCTGGGATTTTCGTCGATTGGGATGTGAGCTGCGCTTTCGAGGTAGCTATCGCATTTGAATTGTGATGATTGAGATGCGAACTTCTTCCTTTGGTACTTTCCGCATTGTCTCTGGAGTTGACACGTGCTTTGTGACATGAAGTAATTGGCGGATTTATGGAGTTTTGGGTCCTTTATTAGCGAGTTGTAGTATTTTATCTCTTGCGCATTATTCGGAATTTGAGATTTTCACATTTGCGATGATAAACCTCGTAGAAACTGCCCCCGTATATGGCTCTGCAGGTTGCTCCTCCTTCTTAAGCCCTTTACTCCGTAAGCTTAGCAGAGATGGGTCATAGTGGAGACTGATGTCGACGGAGAAAGTATACTGGTGTGAGGATCCCGGAACACTACAATAGTAGTTTTGGGTTTCATCGGTTATTGAACCTATGGAAGACTAGAGAACCATTCTGAATTTAACAGCAAAACAGATTATCCCATGATGTCTAACATTTTCTGTGGGTCGTAGTTACGACGTTCGCTCAACAAGGATATGATTGGCCTAATCGCCTAAACTGCCAAACCCGAGATGTGTGGGTCTGTCATTAGATCCGAACTACGGAGTATATATGAATAAAAGCTCCTCGTAACGTAACACGATCTTGTCCGTTAGACATTGATCGGCCTTCATCATTCACATGGCTTCTTTACGCCCAATCGACCTCTTTCGAGGCTGGCCTGCTCCAGATCTGATCCCAGTTGATTCTCTCAAGGAAGCCGCGGTGACTGCTTTATCCAATAAAGCAATATCAGATGCCGGTTTTGGCTACGGGCCTGACGAGGGATATTTTCCATTGAGAGAAAATATTGCGAGATGGTTAACTCAGTTCTATGCTCCCCCAGAAGCTATTACTGCCAGTCGGATTTGTATCACGGGCGGCGCGAGTCAGAATTTGGCTAGTATACTGCAGGTCTTTACGGATCCTCTTCAGACGAAGCAGATCTGGCTGGTCGAGCCTACTTATCATCTTGTCTTTCGGTCTTTTGAAGATGCAGGGTTTCATGGACGGATGAGAGGTATTCCGGAAGATGAGTGCGGAATGGATGTCCACACTCTCGAGCGAGCTCTAGAAGAGTTTTCACATGCCAACGATGACAAGGAATCCCATGGAAGCTATGTACGTTATTCCGTGGTGTCATCGTATTTCTCCTAGATTCCTAACTATCCCAGACTGGAAAACCGGATAGACCATACCGGAAGATCTACGAACACGTCATTTACTGTGTGCCTACTTTTTCCAATCCATCAGGGACGACGATGACCCGTTCTAGGCGTGAAGAGCTTGTCCAGGTTGCTCGCAAATTCAACGCCCTAGTCATATGTGACGATGTCTACGACTTTCTCGCGTGGACTGAAACTCCGAGCTCAAACCCGATAGGTCCTTCTATACAGCGTCTAGTCAATATAGATCGTACTCTCGACGGGGGCCCAGCAGACGCGTTCGGCAACGTTGTGAGCAACGGATCATTCAGCAAGCTTCTCGGTCCTGGATGCCGGGTTGGATGGGCTGAGGGGTCAGATACTTTTATCTATGGGCTTTCACAGGCGTAAGTCAACCTTTCTCATCTAGATTTATGTATTCCATCTCACAAGTTGTCATTCTCTAGTGGTCAAACAAAATCTGGGGGTGCACCCTCTCAGTTGATGTCAACTTTTATCAATGAGATGCTGGAAACGAACACGTTACAAGAGCATATCTCAACGAAATTGGTCCCGGATGGACATCGGCGATACTCATTGATGATCTCTGCTATAAGAAAGTGTCTGACACCTCTCGCAGTTACGTTCTCTCCAGATCCTGAACGAACTACATTAACTGGTGGTTACTACGTTTGGGTCAAGTTACCCATTCCTCTTGATGCGAATCAAGTCTGCCGGGAAGCTATTGACACGCAGAACATTGAGTTGGGGAATGGGGGTCTATTTTCGGTCCCCGGGGGAGACTCTCGGGACGCGGATTTGCATCGAAGTTTGAGATTATGTTTTATGTGGGAAGATGATGAGCATCTGGTCGAGGGTATCAATCGACTGGCTACTATCATTGGGACTCTGTTAGATAGCGAGCAGAACCACCCTTGTGTTTGACGCTATGCTCGGTTGAGTCGTTTAAGATAGATTGGACTATTAGAAAGGAGTACTTTCTAGAGAGTTGAGAATGAAGCACCTAGCAACTTCCGTAAAGCGCTTGTACAACTCTCTCAACATCGCGTGCTTCAAGATGTCATTGAATTCTCGGCCGTTAAACAGCATATTCAATGGCAAATGCTCATTATTACAACCTACGGCGAGAGCTTCGATATAAAAAAGCCTCGGGCTTTGACCAGTGCTATTGTATGTAATGGAAAGCTCCCGCTCTGCACCTTTGCTTCAATTTCAACGATACCTAGACGTGTGGAAATCCAGATAGAATTTCTCTTGGAAGATGCTTCACTAAGAGAAAGCCGAATCATCTAACTTCATCTCGACCTGGTTTCGGATATCTTAGCGGACGCTGTGTAGAAGTAGAACTTTGGCACGGTGGGTCAAGCCATTTGAACTGCCAAAATCGGTAATGGACCCGATTCAACCAATCATTTCTATTTAACTCCAACTGGGAGAGATGTCCACTCATATTTCTCAAGTATAAAGCGCTGAATCTCATCGATTTTTTTTATTCAGGAATTTTCTTTTTACATTGTCACATCAGACTTCCAATCTACCCTGGCTCTATCTGTTTGGACATTCTACAATGGTGAAAATCGAGGAGTTCGCTGTGGAGCGAGTAAGATACCCGACAGCCCTGCCTTTCCTCTTCATATCAAACTAACGTTGCCAGTGGATGGATCTTTATGAAAATGACGCCAAGCATAATCTCGCCGAGACCTGTTGTGCTTCTATCTCACTGAATGAGCTACAGGTCTTCTCAGGTCAGGGAACGGACCTCATAGACTATTCGCAGAAACAGGTCTATGGCGCAATCCGTGGTTCTACCACTCTCCGGTCGAATATTGCTCATCTCTATGCATCAGAGACCTCGGAGCCCCTACGTGCGGAAGACGTACTTGTCACAAACGGGGCAATTCAGGCCAATTTCCTGGCTCTCTATACCAATGTTGGTGCCGGAGATCATGTCATATGCCACTATCCAACTTATCAACAGTTGTATTCCGTTCCTGAATCTCTTGGTGCCGAGGTCAGCCTGTGGAGGTCATCTGAAGAGAACGGTTGGCAATTGGATGTGACGGAGCTCAAGTCCATGATAAAGCTCAACACGAAGCTCATCATTCTGAAGTAAGTCATGTCAGACCTAGACTCGTGTTCACGTTGTTGATTAAGAGGTTAGCAATCCCCAAAATCCGACTGGTGCTGTCCTCCATCGTGAGACCCTGCAAGATATTGTCGACGTCGCACGGCAACATGACCTGATCATTCATTGTGATGAGGTTTACCGGCCGCTTTTCCACTCTCTTGACAGTCGTCAGCCAGATAATCCGCCGTCAATTCTTGACTTCGGTTACGAGAAAGCCATTTCTACTGGATCCATGTCCAAGGCGTTTAGTCTGGCTGGTATTCGTTTAGGCTGGATCGCTTCCAGAAATTCGGCAATGATCGAAGCATTTGCCTCTGTCCGGCATTATACCCTCATCTCCGTCGGTCAGCTTGATGATCGTGTGGCTACTCAAGCTCTTGCGAGTCCGACTGTCAACAATTTGCTCGAACGCAATTATGAGCTAGCTCGGCAGAATCTTGATGACTTGGAGGCTTTTGTACGTGAGTTCAAAGGGACTGTTTCATGGATTAGGCCACAGGCAGGTACGACTGCCTTTATCAAGTTTTCAAAAGAGGGGCATCCGGTCGATGATGTGGCTCTCTGTGAGCAGTTGCTGGAAAAATATGGGGTGATGTTCGTTCCAGGAAGTCAGTGCTTTGGCAATGGACGTGACTTCAAAGGGTACGTACGCGTTGGGTACGTTCCAGAACGCCAAGCTATGATCGATGGCCTCGACGCTCTGCGCAAGTTTATGCGTGACGGGTATTAGAATGTTCCATTGTAGTTAGATCGTGAAGAAACTGTATCAGGTCAAGAAACTTTACAAATTCCTTTTTTCTTTCTTTTTGCGCGAATCAAGGGTATCGTGGTCATTATGTAGGCTATCTAAAGGATTAAAACAGAACAAGTTCGAGGCCCAGTTTTGCGAGATAGATGTCCCAGGGTAATTTACTGCCAGATACCCAATATCTGTGTAGTACCTCCCTAGCTCTCGTAAAGTTACCCATGCCAAGCTTCTGCATGTTTCCCATGCGCGCTAATATTGTGTCTCTCTCTTCGCTCTCTTCAGTCTCGCATCCAGCACTGAATATTGGCCATAGAATGAGTATATTCATAGGCGAATGCGGTTCGATCAGGCTCAGGGCCTCGAGGATGTTCTGCACATCAGCTCTGACCTTGATATGGTCCTTGGGATGTAGTTGCACACGCCGGTGGAGGTGAAGTAGTGCTGAGTGTACGAAAGCGAGATGTGTGCCGTGTAGCTCCAATGCAAGGCTCCCGCCACGAGACAAAGTTTCGTCGCAAACAGGCCGATCAAAAAGTTGGAAAAGCTTTGATTCGAGGTCCTCGGCCTGAATCATTGTCTCTAGGGATGGTGAATAGTCCTCTTCGGTTTCTCCCGATGCATGAGGCCGTATCTGGCTGGCCAATTTAGATACTTCTGCGAGTGTGGGGATAAGCTCCAACGAGTAGCCGCTGATTTCATCCACATGCCAGGTTGCATAATCCGAAAGCCCATTCAGAGGTCCATTGCCAGGATTATGAATGCACTCGCCATGCGCTCCAGATAAGGCAGCTAGGATATCCATGGTTTTAAACCACTTCACAAGGCATTGAATAAAAGGGTCATCCATCAGCTTTAATGATACTCTTTGGTGTTGCAAGAGCGCCATCAAGATTCGCAAAACTCCACGGAGGTGAGTCCTCCATATCTTCATATTCCCATTGCAGACATCATTCGTGCACAAAGCCATTGCAGTCGTGACAGTCTCGGGTTTTGTTGCCTGGTCTTGGTCGCAGAGCGCTGCTCTAAGGCCGGCTATAGCCATATTCGTGTATTTCAGACAAATCATCTTTGACCTTGGGCCAGAATCCTGGATGAGTCGGCTATGGTGACTGCATGAACTGGCCAAAAGTGCATGGAGAAGATGCGGCGTCTCCATTGCAGCGCTGATCATTCTCTGGAGAAAGAAATCAGGAGCTGCCGGAAATAACATTTGAGCTGTCTGCGTTGCAAAGGTGTGCATCAAAAACCGGGATTCTTCGGAGAGCAGGTAAGGCGAGTGGTTGAGCAGAGGCTGATGCACAAGCGGCATAATGTCAACAACATTCTGAGTATCTTCAGTGGCAGCTATCGATGCCTTCTCGAGTCTAGCTTGGTCAATTTTGGCCGGTGATGGTCTTCGCCCAGTTGGTATTTGGGCGATAATACTCAAGTCGTAGTGACATCCTCGAGGATAACGCTTACAACGTGAACAAACTGGTCTCTGCATATCACACTGATTGGACAGTCGAAATTAGCCTCATATATGGCTGGATCTTTCAGTGGACAATCTTACTCTGATTTTCTTCCTCCGGCATTCCGTGCAACCGTCTCGTCTCCTTCGATGACATGGGGGGCTAGTATCTCGCCCCTCCGAACGCACCCGGCCGCTTGATGAAGCAACCATCATTATTGGCGATACTTCTAGAATTATATTCAAAGATTCGGTCACCAAGATGTATGCGATGTCTTGCTAGGTTCTACATGTCGTTCTCCTAGGTGAAGGGGTGCCAGATGCACTTCGTCGTTCCGATTCGCCACTGACATGGTCGAAGTGACCCACCAGCTCCCATTTACAGGCATATATGCGATCCCACCAATCAGACATCGGTGAGTGATCAAGCTTGATGACACCTAGGTAGTTAAAGAAGCTAGTACATATAGAGGGAAAATGACAGAGCTCGTTCTGCAAACTCTTGAATTCATTTACATATGACTCAAAGACTGCACAAAACACTACAGCATATCAGCCAGCGCCCTGATATCAATCATTGATCCTGAGGCTGTCGGCCATAGATTGGATCATCCTTTTATGCAGTGAACATGTGCTGTCGGCATGTGAATTACGGCACGGTAAACAAGTTCGCCTCTATATAGGAGTAGGCTACAATTAGAGACTACAAGGACTCGAACGAATAGCTCAGAACAATCAGATGGTCACTATACACAGGGGCCTAATAAGAGGTAGGAGGCAAGGAGACAAAGGGGAGGGACAGGACATAATAAAAACAACGCCATGAGAAGAAAACATGGGGGAAATTGGTACACCTGGGTTAGAGTCAAGGGGTCCAAGGGTTATCACATAGAGGACGGAAGGAGTCCTCCTCTCTGGTTTTTAACCCCCATCATGGCATAGAAGCCGTCTAAAAAGGGGGGGGCCATATCGAAGTCTTCTTCCGGATTTTTTTTTCGGATTTTTGGTTGGGATATTACGGTTGTGAACGGTGCTTTTACCGGTCAACCTCACCGAACACCAGATCCATGGTACCTGAGAAGAAAATATTAGCACGATGTGTTTTAGTATCAGATGAATATGAATAGACTTACCGATAATAGCGACCGCATCGGCCAGCAGGTGACCACGAGACACCTGGTCAAAGCCACCCAGATGGGCAAAGCCGGGGGCACGGATCTTGCAGCGGTAAGGACGCTCGCTACCGTCACTGACCAAGAAGACACCCATCTCACCCTTGGGAGCCTCAATGGCCGAGTAGGTCTCGCCAGGGGGAACAGAGTAACCCTTGGTGAAGAGCAAGAAGTGGTGGATCAGAGCCTCCATGTTCTCCTTCATGGCAGCACGGGGAGGGGGCATGATCTTGTAGTCCTCGACACGGACGGGGCCAGCAGGCATCTTGTTCAGGCACTGTTGAATAATGCGGAGAGACTGGCGGAACTCCTCCATACGGCACAGGTAACGGTCGTAGCAGTCACCGTTGACACCGACGGGAACATCGAACTCAACCTGGTCGTAGGCATCATAAGGCTGGGACTTGCGGATATCCCAGGGGACACCGGAGCCACGGAGCATGACACCAGTGAAACTCATGTTCAGAGCGTCGGCAGCGTTGACAACACCAACACCCTGGGTTCTGGCCTTCCAGATACGGTTATCCGTAAGCAGCTCCTCGGTCTCGTCGATACGGTCACCGAACTGGGTGGCCCACTGGTAGATATCATCCAGAAGGCCGATAGGAATATCCTGGGAGACACCACCGGGGCGAACGTAGGCAGCGTGGAGACGGGCACCGGAAACACGCTCGTAGAATTCCTATAACAGTGATCAATGCGTTAGAAAATGGTTTGACACTTTCCCGAGGCAATTCAAGCAATTTCTCGGTAACTTACCATCAGCTTCTCACGCTCCTCGAAACCCCACAGGAAAGGAGTCAGAGCACCAACGTCCATGGCGTGGGAAAGCACGGACATCAGGTGGTTCAGAACACGGGTGAGCTCGCCAAACAGCGTACGGATCCACTTGGCACGCTCAGGGATCTCGATGTTCAGCAGCTTCTCAACAGCCAAGGAGAAGCACTGCTCGTTGGTCATCATGGAGACGTAGTCCAATCGATCGAAGTAAGGCAAGGCTTGCATATAAGTCTTGTACTCGATCAACTTCTCGGTACCACGGTGGAGCAGACCGACGTGGGGATCGGCGCGAACGATCTCCTCACCATTGAGCTCCAGAATCAAACGAAGCACGCCGTGAGCAGCCGGGTGCTGGGGACCGAAGTTGACAGTGTAGTGACGGATCTTGCGGTCAATGCCTTCGGCCGCGGACTCGAGGGCAGCAGCCTCGGGGTCCTCGGGAGAACCCTTGTTGGCGAAGTGAGTGAAGGTCGGGTCGGTCGGAACCAGTCTCGTAGCCTGGTAGCTAGTGGCCTCGGCATGTCGGCGAGGGACAGTGGTCGCGATTGAGCGGGATCGTGGCACAGATGTGTTGATCAAGGTGGAGGGGCGGAGACAGAGTCTTTTGGGCGCATTGCCCGCGAGGCGGGCGAAGGAGGCGGCCATGAGGAGGTTGAGAGGGGAGGTTCGAGGAGAGGAAAGGAAGACGGCTGGTCCTCAGTCCAGACGCATTCAATGGCTCGGTGGAGAGTGGGCTCGCTGCGGGTTAGGGAAGCCTGCGGTTTGAAGATGAAGATGAGGTCGCGCTCCAATTTGGCCAGTCACGTGGGGGGAGCTGTCCGGTCATCAGGCGACTGCTGGTTGGCCAAGCGACTGCTTTATAATGCACTTATTATATCCATTGCATTAACCCGTTTTCGGTTTAGTGTCTTTTTCTTCCGCCAAAAGTCTTACCTAAGGCAGCCCTACCATTCACAGAATAGACACTCCCCTTCTGCCTCAGGCTTCCAAGAAAATACTTCGAGAAATTATTCTTATCGCCGGTCATCGAACTTCTACCTTTACCCTCATCTTATAATAGCTTTGTCCACCATGGCGCCTCTTGTCCCATCGCAAGGGGAGCTGCAGCGCCGCCGTGTAAGAAAACTCTCAGGGTCAATATTCACTAAATACTAACGAGCGCTAGATCATCGGCATCAACGCAGAGACTGTCACCAACATCCCCTCCACCGACTTCCCTGGTCACTGGCCTGGAGAATCGCACGGCTGGGCGCTTGACCAATTCAAGGATGTATGTGCTCGCTATCATTCAAATCGCCTCTTTGCAAAGCGCTCTTTCTCACAGCTCTTGACCATCAGAACTTCAAAGTCGAATACCACCGCAATGACCCATACGAAGCTTCGTTCTCGCTAATTGGACTCGACGCCGCGGTCGCCAATGCCTTCCGCCGTATTCTCATGGCTGAGATCCCTACCCTGGCTATTGAATATGTTTTCGTTCAGAACAACACCTCGGTGATCCAAGACGAGGTCCTCGCATCTCGTCTGGGTCTGATTCCACTTAAGGGTTCGGTCGAGGGTATCAACTGGATGCACTGGTATCGCAAGCCCTCAGAGGATGATGACGGCCCCGCTCCTCCGGGTCCCAGCGATTTCAACACCGTTGTCATGCACCTTATCGTCGAGTGCACGAAGAACCCCGCCGCTGCCGACGACGAGACCGACCCGCGCAAGCTCTACCACAACGCCCATGTCTATGCTAAGGATATCACATTCGCCCCGGTTGGTCGCCAGGAGGAGTTTTTCACTGGCGAGGGTGCTATTCAGCCTGTCAACCCGGATATTCTGATCGCCAAGCTGCGCCCCGGTCAGAAGATCGACCTTGAAATGCACTGTATCAAGGGCATTGGTGCCGATCACGCTAAATTCTCCCCCGTTGCAACTGCGTCTTACCGTCTGATGCCGGACATCAAGATCGAGCGTCCCATCATTGGTGATGATGCTAAGAAGTTCGCCAAGTGCTTCCCCAGGGGCGTCATTGCCCTGGAGCCCGTTACCGCTGAGGAGGCCCGCCGTAAGGGAAGTGGATACGAGGGTCATGCTGGAGAGATGAAGGCTGTTGTTCGGGATGCCTTCAACGATACCGTCAGCCGAGAGTGCTTGCGCCACGAGGAGTTCCAGGGCAAGGTCAAGCTTGGTCGCATTCGGGATCACTTCATCTTCAACGTGGAGAGCACTGGCCAGTTCGAGAGCGATGTTCTCTTCCTGGAGGCCGTGAAGGTCTTGAAGCTGAAGTGCGCCCGGTGGAAGCGCGGTCTGACCGATTTGATGGCATAAAGCCGTCATTTGGGTCATCGGGTGCTATTTCTTATATAATGCATTTTACTGGCGTTGGAATTGTTTATTTGAGCTCCGTTCGCGCTGTACATTTACGAAAAGTTCGGTCAAAAGTTAGGCTTTACGAGGCCGGAGTCCGGATATCACAGTTATTGTTAGATCACAGAAGGCTGGCAGCTGTCTTTGAATTCTGAGAGTTGAGACTTGAAGCTCAACATCGTTTGAGTCATGTCACCGTAGGCCCCTGCATGCACAGGGGATTGAATTATGGGATGTCTATTTGAACACCAGCCTGTACCGGAAGTCGATAGTGTAGGCCGGGTCGCTGACGGCAATTTCTTCGCCGTTCTCCACCAATTCACGCAACTTGAGGCGGAGGTTGGGTCTCGTGTGCTCCTCCAGCTGAGGTGGGAATCGTTGGTACAAAGTCTTCTCCTCCGTCCGCATACTAGGTTTCTTCAGCTGCGCTTCAGCCCTCTCGCCGAGGCTCTCGATAAAGTCTCCCAAAGTCATATCGGGATCCACATCCATCTTCCGAGCAAGGTTGCCGCACACCGGGCAATCCGGCTTCTTCTCCGCCTCAAAGGTGTATGTGTAAACACCCTCCTCACCTGCATACATCATATAGTTCTCGAGGTAAGGGTTGCATCCAGTGGCGATCTTCAACACCTCCGAGGTTGTGGATGCGGCAATGACGGCGTTTGTCGATGCGATAGCGGGGATGATGTTCTTCACGACACCTTGGGTCATCTGGAAAGTCACTCCATGGATATGGAACTGCTGAGCCCGCTCCAGAGCGGCATGGTAGACCCAGGAGATATGCTCCATGTCGTCGCTGTCGAAAGTGTCGTCTTTGCGCTTATCCTGCCACGCGATCTGATGAGCCCATTCAATGCAATGCTGGGGTTGACGCGGGATGGTGGCGATAGTGCAGAGCGGGACTGCCGGGCGAGGAGCATGCATGTCAAGCTGGCATTCGATACATGATGATAGGGTGGGTAGAATGACACGAGCTTGACCTTTGAATCCTGTTTGGCCGTCAGTTTCGGTGGTTCAAGCTTGGAGAACAGATGATCATCATTACCTTCAGTTCCACCGTCAATCAGAGGCTTGAGGCTCTCTGGGTTCTCCGGATCAACCATTCCGATCAACGTTGCGTTGATCCATCGACGAGCTTCGATGCTATCCAGGCCGCAGATGATAATCTTGAACTGCATGTAGTAGTCTTCATCTTTATCCTGGATCTTGCCAACAAATGGTGTGATCTTGACGCCTTTCACTCGCTTCTCTACAAAGGCAGCGGCAACTTCTGCCTTTGGTTTGCCAATATCAGCTTGCCGGAAGAGGAACTGCCGGTTCAGGTTCGAGATATCGATGGTGTCTTCGGCACGCGATTAGCGATTGACATTCAAAAGTACAGTGGACATAACCCACCCATATCAATAACATGAATGTCTTTGAATCCAGACAGGGCAAGATTCTTCAAGATTTCACAGCCCAGTCCACCGGCTCCGCTAGACTAAGGTTAGCCAATGCTTTCCCATGGCAATCATTGCGGTTTATTAAACGGACATCACCCTAATTTGAGCGTCAGCAATTGTATCAAATCTGATAGGAGGAAACTTACAGAATCTTTGAGGACTCAAGGGTGTCGATTGTGTCTGATCCTGGGACCCAGTCGTCATCGCAGTAGGGACCAGGCTTAGACATCACCTTATAAAGGTGCTTCCTATGCTGTGTAAGAACATGGAAATTGATCGAAAGCTGGGGTTTGCATCTTACCATCGGCCCTGCTGACTCATGCTGACTGAGCTCATCAAGAATTCGAAAAAGGCGGCTCAAATGCCGACTCGCGATAGAACGTCCAGGATGACAGTAAATAGACCCACCCCACTCGTCAAAAGCAGAATCCCCGTATCACACTAGGAGGCAGCAGCGAAGGTAAATGTAGAGGGATTTCAATGCGGGTATAAACCCACTTTCCAGGAATCCAAGGAAAAGACGCAACGGAAACAGCGACGCTGAGATGATGAGAGGTGGAGGAGAGCATCGCGGCGTGGGATGGTGAGGCAGATGGGAATAATCACGTGATGTTCCGCATACAAGCTCCGACAATCAACCTCAGGCACAATGACTTCTTTTCAATATCCCGATTTTCGAGATGGATGGTCTTTTAACTGCCGTTAAAACCATCAACCGGGATTCTGAATCCCCGTTGGTTGCTGTCGAGATTCAGAGTCGCAATGACGGTTTCATCAAACCCGCTGTCGATCTGAGCCAAGATATATCAGCGGAGCAGCTGGTACAAATACTGAAATCGCATCCCGAAAACGACGAGCTTGCCGTGGCCCTTGCAGCCCTGGACCCTTTCAACAAGTCAAGGAAGATACAGAATCTTGACATTCGCATTCCAGGCCCGACAACGGCTCAAATTCTCCAGGTTTTAGTCAGCACCACCATCCCAGATCACTGGGCATTTCTGAATGGCAAGGAAAGCAAGGCAAAGGACGCAAGATGCCGAGCAGCTCTGCTGCGCTGTCTAAGCAGCATAGCGGGACTTGGGTCTCTTGTGGCTCAACTTCGCACTCTCATCGCAAGCTCTCGGGCGGCAGCTCAGAAAGCCGAAGGCTCAAGCAGCCATCTCATGATCCGAGATCTCTTGTCTGTCCTTGCTGCGCTGCTAGAACCGAAGGACTTCCTTTCTCGCATCTACACAGATATCTTATCCCTTTATGAGAATAAAACTCGACAGCAAGTTGCCTGGAGAGAATTTGTGTCCCTCGTTGCTGCTGGTAAAATACTTTCCACGGCAGCAGAAGCGCTCACCGTTGCCAATACATCTGAGCCTGTGCGATCCGTCTCATGGATCGGTGATGGCCCTCGCTATGCGTCCTGGTTAGGTGAAAACATCACCTATCTTGTCTCAAAGATTAAGGCGGGGGATGAAACTGGCTGGACCTCGCTCGCTTTCCTCACTGGCCGAGCCTTGAGCCTAGGCTATGCTGGTAAGCTTCTTCCAGTGTCAGCTGGTTACGATGAGAATCTAACAATTCTGTAGATCAACTGGTCCGAGAAATTTACTCGGGATGGCTTTTCGAGCAGCTATCCTCTGCTAACTTTGGCTTGCTAGTTGACCATCTCAGACAGCCAGAGCAAATTGCTGTAATGGAAGCTATTTTCCGCGATGTACAGAAGAAATACTTCTCGGACGACCTTTCAGAAAACCTTAAACAGCAAGATGAATCCAGCAGCGTCATCTCAGGTGTGGCAGCTCTTTGCCAAGTTATCATTGCAGACCGTCCGTTTTTGAAAGATCAAATACTGGGTTGGCTCTCGAAAAGCCACGGTGGATCAATCCAGACAATTGGTCTACGTCGTGCTTTACTTGCGACTTACAATAATTCTGCTGGTGAGTTTGGATCAACTTCCTGCAGTTGCTGAATCTAATCATAGCGATCAGAGACATTGAAGTCGTTGCTTGTTCGCAGTCTTGAGCAGTTTGGCGATAAGTTTTTCATCAAGCATGTTCCAAACATCACCCAAAATAGTATGTCCAATCTGAGACGTAAACTTGCATAATTCAGAGCTAACGAGTCTCCAGCGAACGCCCAATTGATCCTTCTAGCAGCAGGCCAGCTAAACCGGCTGGATCCACTTCAGTTGCACGGTATTGGACGTACGAGTGTTTTCCTAAACGCTGTTTCCAACCGACTCGCGGCTTCTTCAAATCGAGCGCGTTTTCTGGGAATGATTGTAGGAACCGGGATCTCCCAGCTCATAGAAGAGCCCGGGAAGGCCATGAAGTTTGACCTTGAAGAAATGCAAAGCGAAGAGGCACTCTGGTACCTGAGTCTCACCACGGTTCAAGACAATGTTGGACCATTTGAATCTATCAAAGCACTACAGAAAGCACCTTCGAGAACCCAGCAACCGATTAAAGGCACTCAATTCGCCCAGAATTTGAGACCAAAGGCACACTCAAAACCACCTCAAACAAGCAAAATTGTCGCTATTGAAGTAATAGATGACAGTGAGGAAGAAACTGATGAAGATGATGATCTCCTTCCATATGAGAAACCCGACGACGATGCGGAGGATGAGGAAGATGACCCGACATTAATCCAACGAAACAAGCCAAGCGCGCCCGTGTAAGTCATGGTTGAGAGCTCGAGGGTATCATTGTCCATGATCTCTAACAATTATTCTAGTTACATTCGCGACTTGATTGCATACCTCCGTGATACTGAAAACGTCGAACGCTACCACCTTGCCATTAGCACTGCGCCATCTTTAATTCGCCGGAAGACAGGATTTGGCACAGAACTTGCTGAACAAGTTGAAGAACTCGCTTTGACTCTAGTCAGTTTACAAAATGACAACAATCACCCATCTTTCCACGAATCACGTCTGCAGAGTATGATCGCCCTCATAGTCTCGCAGCCTCTTAAAATGGGCCGTTGGTTCGCTGCAATCTTCTTTGATGGAGACCTGTCTCAAGTCCAGCGATCTGCCGTGCTTACAGCCTTGGGTCTTAGCGCGCGCGAGATTGCTGGCAATGGCGAAGAGGATGCTAAGGCACTCAGTCTACCAACCCTTGGGGATACGTCATTCCCTTCCAAGCGGTTATCGCCTGCTTTGGAGGCTGTATTCATGGGCGCGAATGAATCTCCCATTGCGGCCCTCACAAGAGAGATGTCGCGAACATCTTTGCAACCGCTAGCAGCCGATGCAGCAGACCGAATGACAGGACCAAACGCGCTCAAGGTGCGCACCTTCTCATCGCGCATGGAGATTGAGAAGAAGCGCCAGCAGCGCGAGGCTGAGCGGAAGAAGAACGTTGTGAAGGATGTACACAAGGTGCTTGCCGAGGGATTCTTCTATCCTCTTCAAGGCCGATTTGAGATTATGATGCTGCAATTCGCCTCGTATGTTTAATCCCGTTTTTTCTATAGCCAGTCTGCTAACCTTTACTCTATAGGTCGTCAGCCCCCTCTCACAATCCATTCTTCGTCCCACACATTCTCACCCTCTTCCTTCAAACACTCTCCCTTATTTTCTCGACTGCAGGCCCCCATAGCCCATCTCTCCCAGGGCTTACACACGAAACGCTATCATTGCTTCTATCACTACACACAGCCCCGGTTTCCAGTGAACCTACCGTTACTGCGGCTTTATTGAATCTTTTCCTGGCAGTTGTGGATGTAAACATTGCATCTGGCTCAAATGGCGAGGAACGCCTCGTCACCGAACATGCTGCTAGGGTCATGGAGTTGCGCGAGTGGGCTTCCGAAGTCTTTGATCGCGCGCCCTCTGGAAGCAACAAAGCAGACTCCGGTCCATTTGCGGATCCGCAGGAACAAGTACGAACGTTGTCTGCCGGAGTAATGGTGCGGCTTGGTGAGGTCATAGAGCGATATCAGGGTCGTTTGATGGGTGTGAACACCGGGTTCAAATACTAATAGATGATACTACGAATGATAGACAAGCTGGATATTCTGAAATCAATGGTATCATGAAAATTATTACCAGCAACGAACGCTAGACTTGAGATGAACATAGACTACTCCGCCTTCTTGGCAAAACTCCCCTTCTCAATGGCAGCTTCCATCATGCGGTCGCCGCTGATGACTCCCGTGGAGCAGATGATAATCTTGCGCCGCGGCGCCTCCTGGGCAGCGATGAAGCGCAGCGCGGCAATTTCGGTGAAGGTGATTCCACCCAAGAAGAAAACGTATACAGTCTTTGTAGCAGAATTGCCGCTAAGGGTCTGGCGAGCTCGAACAGCCTTATCATCACCCTTTTGGACAATGCTGAAAGTCGAGCCCCGGGCGCTCTTGACCATATCCTCGAAGCCGAGCCACCCAGGCGATGCAGTGCTGGCATTGTTTATTGATGCAGCGGGAGAGCCACCCTTGACCAGGGAGAGGATGTAGGGTTTTTGAAGTACGCATTGAACCAGGCGAACGCTAAGTGGGGCGAAGCCACTGTAGACATAGGAGATGTCGTTCGGCTCCTTCTCGCTGACCTCTTCAATCACTAGTCTCAGGTTCTTGCGTAGATACCCATAATTAGTCTTCGAGCCGGCCTGCGCACCGGATGTAGGAAGGAGCATGGCCGTGGCCGAAGACCGGGGCTGCAAAAGTTCCATCTTCTCAAGGGCCCAGAAAGTCAGCAGATGTTGGTGGCCATAAGCTTGCACGACTTGTCTCTTGAAGTTCTCCAGGTCCCGCGGCCGCAGTCCGCCGGACATGCAGGACTCCAGGCATAACAAGCGCAGCACGCTCTTCAAAGGGACGTCTCGTGAAATGAGTTCTTCAATAGTCTCATGTTGGTAGATTGGATCAGCACCGGCGGCATTGTTCTGTTGTACTTCGAGGATCTTCCGGAACGTCTCAGATCGTGTAAGCCGCATGATTTCCTCGGCGAGATTAGTGTGAATCCGAAGACTTTGGTGCTCCAGTTGGTAAGTTGGTAGTTTATTGACGAATTCGCGCAGTTCATTTGTGGTCTGAGCTGTGTGCCGTGTTTCATACTGATTTTCCAATCGGCGAGCCACTTTGTTTAACAGGTCACCCACAATGGCAAAGTTTGCATCTCGCAGCTGGCTGAAGAGTTGATCTGATGCATCAAGCTGAATCTTCCTCTTCAGACCTTGCTTCACCTGCTGTGGTGTTTTTGACGACTCCTGGGGCTGTGGTGCAGACGCTTGTCCAACTATGCTAGTATCGACATCGGCCTGGTTATTTTTGATGCCCACGTATTCGTCAATCAAGCCCTCATAAGTAAGTTGCGTAAGAAGAGGTGTTCCAAAGTCCACGTCACGGTCAATAATAATCAAATTCTCAGTATCAGCGCTAGGAAGAAGGCCTCGAGCAGATGGGTCAGCCAGCCCAGAGCTCTCTTCCGCATCCAGTTCTTTGCGCATTCGCAGCAATAGATCTGCTAGGCGGCGCGCATTGTCGCCTTTGCCAACAATGCGAGGGAAGTATCCATGTCTCTGCTGGATACCCATGAGAGCCTTGGCGGCATGGAAGATAGAGCCAGGGTCTTTATGCTAAGATAATGTCAACATTGCTTTCTGGGTCACATGAAGAACCAGGGACCTACCAGGTACAAATCACTGAATGCATTTTCAAGCTCCAATGATAGGATATCTTGCTCCAGTGGCAAGAAGTAGAGTGGGAACTCGGCAATGTTGACATCACCGATAATACCCGCCTCCTCCAGCACCGCATTGCTTACCAGGGTACGCCGAGGAGCGAAGAAGATGGAGAACTCATGTTCCACGTTTCCATTGTTCTGTAGGCGCTTAATTTGCTCTAAGGAGAATGTTAGCCCACACTGATGGCACTCAGTCGAGGTATAAACGGAAAGCAAAGCGCCAAATGAATGAGCTTTGGCTCAATCTAGGGAATTCTTCCGTTGCGTGGATTATGAAACTCATCCGCGTAATACTTAAGGTAGGGTCTTCTTAACCCCATTCCCATATTGACATTCTCGCGGGTAATCACGATATCAATAAACAAAAACAAAATGAAACGAGAACTGCCTTACCTGCCACTGTCCGCACATGGCTGGCTTTTTCACCGCGGACCAAGAACACGACATTGCGTTGCGACGAGTCGATATTTGCATTTTCCAGCAAAAAGACACGGTCTACGCCGTACTGTTGGAGTTCGGAGAACTTGACGAACAAGCCGACTGGACCCGCCAGCTCCTGACTGATAACGAGGTTCTTCTTCCCGCGAGCCTACACGCCATTAGAAGAAGCCTAGAAACGTGAATGTGGTACTCACGCCTTCAAGCAGGACCAGCAGATCCCTGCGGGCCTTGTCTCTGCAGTGGTCGGCGTCTCCCAGGGGCGCCATTGCTGAAGTGGCTGTGGGCAGGCAGCGAACGAGACCCAAAAATAACCAAAACTCGCGGGGAGGCGAAGCTGCCCGTTTTGGGCCTAGCGCCGCCACTGTCGCTGAGTCAGCGGTACCGGTCTTGTCACGTCCCTGCCACTTCCATTGAAATATCCTCCAATTTAGTGGTGTTATTTTGGTCACCGGGTTACACCAGAACCACCGCCGGTCTCGACTGCCTGAAGCTCCCCTGAAGCGCCTTTAATTCCTCGTTCGAAACACTCTTTTCTCCTTCGTTCTCCTCACACGAAACAAAGGGCAATAAGTTCAATCGAGTTGTTCTTTTCACGGACTCTTTTCATCTGATTCTCTCAATCTTGAAACTCACACTCGTACCTCAACATGGGCCTGTTCAAAAAGTCCGGTGACGACGGCGACGACTCTAACCGCCGTGCCTTGTTCGGCTCTCGATCGAAGAACAAGAGCCCCGCGCAGGCATCCAACCCTTACGCCCAACCCGCTCATGTCGACCCTTACACCAAGGCTAAGATCCAGGCTGGTGTTGCGTCGCCCCCGGCCGATTACAAGGGCGGCAACGGATCCCCCGCCCCCGCAGGAGGACCCCACGCCATTCCATCCGATAACAAGTACTCGGGCTACACGGCAAACGCCTACGGCAACCAGGGCGGATATGGCAGCGATCGGTTCGGTAGTGGGAGCAACGGCGCTGGCGCCTCGCGCTACGGTTCGGGTGGCTATGGAGGATTAGGCAGCGCCGATCCCAACGACCCCAGCGCCGGCGATGCTGCCCGCAATGAACTTTTCGGCGGTGCTAAGGATCGTGCGCAACAAAATCAGGGCGGTGCGCCGCCTCCATACTCGCCGGGTCAGGAGGGTGGTCAGGGGGGTAACTACGGTGGCGGCAGCAATGAATACAGCATGGCCACCTACCAGGACCGGCAACTCACGGCCGAGGAGGAGGAGGAAGAGAACGTCCAGGCTACCAAGCAAGAAATGCGGTTCGTCAAGCAGGGCGATGTGGCATCTACCCGTAATGCCCTTCGCGCTGCTGCAATGGCCGAGGAGACTGGACGCTCGACGCTCGCTCGCCTCGGTGCCCAGGGTGAGATGATCCACGGTGCGGAGAAGAACCTCGACATGGCCGCCGTCGAGGGTCGTCTAGCCCAGGAGAAGGCGCGCGAATTGAAGACACTCAACAAGAGCATGTTCGCCGTGCACGTTTCCAACCCATTCACCAGTGCCTCGCGCCGACGAGAACGTGACGAGCGCACTATCAACACCCACCGTGAAGAGCGTGACCTCCGCGACGGCACCCGCTCCGAAGCCTACCAAACCAACGCACGCATGGAGAAGGTGTTCCGCGACATTGACCGGGAGGCGAACAAGCAAGGCAAGGGCAAGAAGGCGAACGTCACCGAGCGTGCCAAGTATCAATTCGAGGCCGACAGTGAGGACGAGGCAATGGAGGACGAGATCGAGCAAAACCTGGATCTTCTGAGCGGTGCCGCTGGTCGGCTGAACGGTCTTGCCAAGGCCACTGGCCGCGAGCTGGACGAGCAGAACAGACATCTGGAGCGTATCACAGGCAAGGTCAGTACTAGAATCAACATCGTCGAAGTAAATGTGGAAATCAAACTAACCTTCTCTACAGAGCGACTACGTCGACGACCAGATTGCCATGAACCGGGCCAAGCTGGACCGTATTCATTAAGTCTGATCCCTATCGTATGGAGCTGAAAAATGCCTGGTGCTGCACAGCTCGTTAATCATCATTTTTTCTTGTGAATTGGCCTATCATTCATGGATAATCATCACCCCCTCGGCGTTTGGGCTCTCTCTGCTTTCCTCCTGCTGCGGTGTATATCGAAGCAGGATCTCGACCTTGCAATTTAGACTATGGATTTAGTATCATAATTGCGACTTTTCTTTTCACTTCGCTGTATTAAATGGAATGGACAAAATTTGAATTACAAAGACTTGTGTGTGCTATCAAGTGCACTGTTCGTACCTAGCTTCCTTCCACTACCAATCCTCGAAGTGCCAACACCACGCATCTAGGTATAGCACTATGGTGCAGTGCAACCTAATGTTCGAAACGCAACTACAGATTCATCGATCAATCCTAGCTACAATGCAGGGCAAGTTCGGTCGGGAATCCACCATCACCGACTAGCTTTAAGCTTAACTCGGCGATCGTCAAGCACGAGTTGAGACCGAGACTCCCAGTCGATCAGCAAGACAATCAGTCAAGATCAACAAAATGTACCAATCTACAGACACCAAATTTGAAATTTCACATGAGCGCTCGATTGCGTATTAGACAATATCTTTACTATAGCGACTGTATTGTGAAAAAGAAAACCACCAGCAGGTCCCGGAATCGCAGCGGAACACAGCCCAGATTTCACCGAAAAGGATCAAACCAGGAACCAGACATGAGAAATAAGTCAGAAGACAATAAAAAGCGCTTTCGCACCAATGCCACGGGTATCACATCAACACCATACCGACCCAAACATTTTGCACAAACCCCGTGCAATCATCGAGAAAACATGAACAGACCCGGTGGGAACAGAGGACGAGACCGCCCTTAAAAAACAAGAAAAGAACAAGACCCAAGTAATAAATGCAGCTGAGAGAGTGATAAGAATAGAAGCGAAGCAGGTAAGACGAGGACAATGAGAATGGAAAGGTATGAATGGTATGAAGATAAGATGGATCTAAACCATGCAAGATATTGATGCAAGGTAGAGAGAGAGAGAGAGAGAGTATTAGAAGGTAAACATGAGCGCTGGATGAAAATATGATCCAAACCCGCTGCAACATGAGGAAATAGAATGTAGAAAAAAGAAGAAAAAGAACAATGAAGTACCCCGAAATCAGAGGGGGGCCAACACACACAAACGCATCAAATCATCACAAACCCATTGGTATCGAGGAAAAGCACAGGTGACTCCCAGGTCTAGCGAAAGAATAAGAAAGGTAGAAAATAGAGCACGAGGCTCGAGAAGAAGATAGAAACCAAAAACACAGAACGAATCAAGCACAACCAGGAACGCAAACCAGCCGGTACCTCTATGGTCATAACATGGGAAGAGACAAAAGAAAAGAAAGGAAAAACATCAAGAAAGGCCTCTCTCCCTTTCCCGGGGCAGCCTTGCTTATGTCGTGGCCGCGTGAAACCCAAAATTCAGAACCGTCCCAGGGGTATATGGTATATGACGAAAGAATCTTCCGGCACCCGATCAGAAGACTGGCAGCCGGAAGGTAAGAAAAAAATGGAAGATGGAGGTTTGAAAAATGACGAGAGAATAGAAGGTGGAGGATGAGGAAGGGTAAATCCATGCTGTTGTACAAGGAGTCAGAGCCGGAGGGATTTTTATCCAACACAGTTGGAACGGCCTGCGCGGCGGGACGGTTTCGTTGGGGGAAGGCGGAGTGAATTGGGTATCTGGGGAATTGGCGCGTCGTGTCGCGCAGAGGAGGTGGATGAGGCGCTCGTGCTTTGAGGCGAGCAGAAAGGTATTTGAATCATGCGGCGATGAGGTTGTGTAATTTACTCGTCCTCGTCGGGGGAGCCGCCTTCCTTCTCGCCCTTGTGCACCTTCTTGTGTCGGCGCAGGTTGGAAACTACTGAGAAGTGTCGTCCACAGCCCTCCACATCGCACGCGAATGCTATAGATAATGCGTTAGTCTAGAAACTCTTCGTATTGTGGTCAAGGTTGCAACTTACGCTTCTCGCCAGTGTGGCTGTACATGTGCGTTTGAAGGGAAGAGGGACGAGTGAAGCGCTTATCGCAGACCTTGCACTTGTGCTTCTTCTGGGTGTTGGAAGGCATCTTCGAGCTAAACTGGCTCATCATGGACTGCGGGCCAGGAGGTGCACTACCAGCCAAAAGGCTCGTAGGCCGGGGAAGCGTGCGCGACTCATACGACTCGGAAGTAGTCGAGCTATAGTCCGTCACTGACGAATCCACAGAGCCAACAGAGGCGCTGTAGTAAGGGTAGTTGCCGCCCGAGGAGATGGAGGAAGCGGAGGAGTGAGTGGAGGGGAAGCCGTAGGAATCAGCAGAGTTGCGAGCCCCGCGAGGACCGTAGACGTTACGGGGAGTCAAGTCCTGGCTGAGCGCCACCATTCCGCGGCTTGCATCAAGTGCATCGCCAAAAGTGGGAGTGGGCGCGGGTGCTTGAGAGGATCCCACACGGTCACTGTATGGAATGTTGAGTCAGCCACCGAAATCATCCTCCATATTCTTGGCGTTACGAGCCCTCCCGATCTGGAGGGCGCCCGTACTGAGCATGAGGAGGGATGGCGGGGGGTGGTACTCACGAATGCGAAATGCGACGAACATCTTGAGGCTGGGAGGGGTGAATTGGGGCGTAGGTGCCTGGCGCATAGCTAGCCGGGGCGAAGTTGTTCATGGGAGGGGCGGTAGTGTATGTGGGGGTCTGCTCGAAACCAGTACGTGGGACCTCATGTTGCATACCCATGACTTCTGTGCCATAACCAGCGGTGGTGTAGTTGCTGGCAGGGACGAGTGAAGGAGCTGAGACGGGGATACTGGGGTAGGGCATGGACATGGCGGCGGAACGGCCGACTTCGTCTTGCTTGACGGTGTTAATGGGGATGCTGGCGCCGTTACCCATTGAAGTCGCGTAGACTGGGGGTGTGGAGTGTGAAGTAGTGTGAGCAGCAGCCCAGGGATCGGTGAATTGTGGTGGGTTGTGGTGGTAGACATTGTCGAAGCTCATGCCGCCATATGGGCGGTTCTGGTTTTCCATTACCATCGTCATGGAGGGTAGAGCCGCGATGAACGAGTCGATCGCGGGAGATGAGAAAGATGGGTAGAAGTAGTATGGTGGTTAAGAGCGACAGTTGAAAATGTTGTCACTGCTCGTGCTGCTTGATTGTGTGATATTGGTGGTATACTCGGGTTGAATTGTATCGAGTTTGTTGATGTCGGTGACGATCGAGGATGATCCGGGGGAAATATTGAAAGATTGAAAGGAAGAAGAAGTGATAAGCCCGAAGATCAGGGGGGATATTAATTGTTTTTTCGGTTGGAATATCTTTATCCCAAGTGAACACAAGTCGAAGGGAAGTAGCAAGTAGAAAAAAGTTCGAGTCTGGGGAAAGGGGATCGGCGAAGCTTAAGAAGGGACGGGTATAGACTACGGAGTACTATTATACTATTAACATGCGCGCCAGAGTCTCCAACTTCTCAAAACCACCTCCACGACACAAAAAAATCATAATAATAATAAAACCAAAAAAAGAAAAGCAGAAAAAGGGTGTGCCACTGACGACGTGCCGTCGGGGGTCGCAGATCGTCGGAAACGCTAATACCGCGGGTCAGTGTAATTTAAATCGTGCCCCCTCTTTGCCTGTTTGGTAAATCTGATTTCGCTTTTTCTTTTTTTGCTTTTCTTCTTTTTTCAGATGATTTTCGGATTTCCCTTTTCTCTCGACTCTTAAATTCTTAATTCTTATTCTTATTTCTTATCATGCAGAATGGGAGGCATTGCTTAGTGCCAAAGTGGCCCTTTCAACGGGAACCAGTTCCTCGGACCCTCCTGGACTTGGGCTTGGAGTCGGGAGTTGTTGCATGGTTGAACCAACGAGATCACTGCCTATATAGTAGTATATAGTGTGTTACAATATATGATGGTTTGATGATTTGTGGAGGAATTAACCCGCAAGTTTCTCAAGGAGGATGCACCTAGAGTACAGAACATACATAGTCCCTACATCAGACACGGAGAGCAATCTGTTTAGGTTGAGGAATGGAAGATCGAGAGAATCTAACATTTAAACGCGGCAGCAAGAATGTGTGCACACGCACGCCTCGATAGAGTACTGTAGCAGTAGCAGCAGCATCTCTTTCCGTCTCCCTCGTTACTCGGTAGTCGCCATCGACCCGTCCGACATCTCGTTCTCGTTCCTCGTTGCCATTTACCCGGTCAAGTAGAACGTGAATTACCAACTACAGTAATAATTAGGTGGTTTGAACTACTCCATCCAGAATGCTTGAACAGGGGCCGGGATCGGAACTCCCCCTCAAAAAGTTGACCCAGCAAATAGAAGACAATGGGTATGGAAAAGGGGAAATATCATGGGACCCAAAAAGCAGTCGGTGACTCTCGGATATCCTCAAAAGGGGGGTGGAGGAGAAGAACAAGGTGGTTGGTGGTTGGTTGAATGAATAGAGGTGGATTTTGGGGGGAGGATGGGAAGGCAAGTGGATTGTCAATTGGGGGGGGGGGGACTCGAGTCAAGGATTATGGAGACAGCTCAAGGGAATGTGTCCAGCACAGACTAAACCGGGCTACCGATGAGTGGTCCATCTGTGCCGTGTCTGAGAAGCAGCTAAACTTCAATAAGCAGGGTGCTCCTAAAAAAGAAAATGAATTAAAAAGAATAACCCCAAAAACGGATAAGGAAAAAAAGCAAAGTGACGCCAAGAAATAACCTCACGATGCAGCGACCAAGGTTCGCCCTGAAAGAGCGTGTTTCAAAGTAGCGGGGAACGAGAGACCCCCAGCGATACGTCAAAGGGTATACCCGCGCCCGTGGGGGGTTGATAGTAGAGGGATACAATGTTTAGGCAGTACTATAGGGCAAAATAGGTTGGTTCTATTCTACAAGGATAAACGACACCAACTATCAAGACAGGATCTATAACCATCTCTTGTTGGTGTCCGTTGATATTGAATTTAGTACAGATCTCATTTTTTTTGGAGGGGAACAAGCTTGAATTGAACCCCCCTCGTCCTCCCATGGCTTTTCAGGCAAACCCAAATGTGGGAGGGGCCCACGGGGACATGTTTAGCTCTCTCATCATTGGTTTAGAATCTTGGACCCTCCCGGGGAGAGGCAAAGAGGAAAAGGAAAGGGAAAAAGGAAAAATAGAAAAGCAAAAAAAAAAAAAAAGGCCCCCCTAAGAACAGATTGTGACGATTCACACGCAGGGCTTTCAGCCATGTATGTGGGATGAAGAGAGGGGGCCTTTGACACGGGCCATAGATGGTTTAGCGTGTGAGGCGACCTTACTTCGAAAAAAACTGCATTTACAAAATAGGTGGAGAATCAAAAAAGAAAATGAATATACTGCTCCTACACTCTCCTACGCCATACATGACAATTATCCAATACACCAATGATAATAACCCTAGCTCCAAATGATGTCGATAGTGCCTTCCCGACAATACGGAAGATGCTGTACATCCCAATAGACACTAGAGAATGAAATTACCAGCATCATATCCATTCAATAGCTTTGAACATTATTGACGACATTTTCTACGACGGTCGGACGTAACTATTTCTCGGGTGCTCCATTCTCCCTAACGGGCTGGGATCTCGAGGAATTTACGGGAACAAAAATGCGCACGATGACGACGTTGACACCCACGCGCGTCTTAGCAGTGCTTAGCTAGGTTTGGACTTGATAGGGCATGGTTCTTTGCTGCACTGTTACTAGACTTGTGATCTTGATTTTGTATTTACGTAGATTTATTGCAATTACGTAGCGAACCCACAATATCTCCTGTACGGAGGACCAAGTGCAGCGGCAAAAACAATGACCGAGGAAAGAACTACATGTGTATTCACATGGCATCAAGAGTCGTTCTCATAGACTGTAGTTTACCGAAGAGCAGACTACATTGACGTGTGGAGGATAAACGATACGCCACTTCACACCACTAACCATCGGACTTGTTCCGGCTTTGCCCCCGGTGCATCTCCCATCTGCATCGACTAGTGCTCGAGAGTTCTGTGTGCTTGCAGACCTGAGACTGAACCCGGCCCATCAAAGCCCCCATATCACTTCTCACACTAAACGCCACTTTCTATAAGGAGATACGGGGTGGTAGAGGCGTATACAAAACACCCTAACTCGTGCGATGACGATATACTGATTTCCCTCCTGCAGGACATCACTCTAGTTTCCAGCATGCCTATTGCCCAGATTTGCCGACCGGGAGATGGCCATGCGACCTGTATCACTCGAGGGAAGGGTCCCAAGAAAACCGTGCGACGGGGAAACAGGGAGGGAAACCGGTGGGGTTGCAGTCTGGAGGACGAGGAAAAAGGCAAAAGGGCCAAAAAGTAAGGCATACTCTCTGTACGAAGACCACCCATTCCACACCTCGTATTGTTCGCCATTTTGCCATTTCATGTATCACCTTGGGTTTGTGCTGGTGCCTTCGGGGGTTCCTGCAAGCCATCGCCGCCTCATCCCATCCTACTTCCTCCGTAACTACTCCTTCCCACCAAGGGCAAGCACTCTTGTCGCCAATTGAACAACAACGTCAGAGCGCGGACCAGCACATCCCGCCATGGGGGGCATTAGCGGCGCGGCTCCTGGAATAGCGCGGCAGATGCGACCGCGATCCCAGGATCGAACTTGTCACATCTGGACCGAGTGTGTCCGGATAATCTAAACTTTGAAATATAGTACAATATAGTAATATACCGTGATAAAGTAATAGTTCGTCGTCCACGGCTGGTAGTTCCTCTAGTACCCGTATAGATTAGAGTCTATAATCTATCTTACTTGGTACTCGGGAAATAGGCACAAGGCCAAGCCAACGAGGATTCCCAGCTGCCGCCGTTCCTCGGAAAGTGGAGCATCATCTTATTTTCGCCCGTGGCAAATGAACCACCGCGGGCAAGGAAATAACTAATAGGAGTCTTTGCCAAGGTCCCCGATCCTCCAAGCAACCAGATCCCCGAAAAGTTACAGATGGGATTTTCATCTGCAACGTTCCCGAGTGTCTGGTTCAACTTTTAGAACTAAACATAACGGAGCACGCACTAACCACCGAGTTAGTGACTCGCTCATCCATACAAAGTTCGAATTGAAGTCCTCATTCTCCGCAACAATTTCCCCCCTCCAATGACGCCAAGCTTCGTGATCACAAGGATCTGAGGGAGGCAGCCGAGGGAGGCTGAAGAACTAACTAACTAGGCTAAGTTATTTACTACTTATGTACATTACCTGGGAAACTCCATATTTTTTCTCAATGTTTAAACTTTGAACCAATCTTCGAGCGCTTCATCCCGCCTAGGATGGAGTTCGTTTCCTCCCCTTTTCACACTACTGAAGCGGTTAGTTAAAACTAGTCCAGTTAGCTCGTCGTGCTTTTCCGATGGAGTAGTTATATCCCGTGATCACTACCCTAAACCAGCCCAACTCGAACTTCCAACCAATAATATCATTCCCACGGCTATAATACGGCGGATCACTTTGGCGTACTCCGGAGAACTTTAGTTGAGAGGGGGGCGAGGAAGATTGTAAGCAAGCCACCGCCACTGCGGAGAGCTTGTCGGAAATCACCCTCGATCCCGGAACCATGGGCGCTGCAAAGAAACTCTCTTTCTCTCTACGTATAGAAGGTGCACTTACAAGAGCAGCACAAAGGAGTAACCAGTGATAGTTACTAGTTCCTCCATAATCGTGTCCACCGGTCCACACTTGGTACCGGGGTGCCTTCTCACAGGCGTTCCCCGTTGCCGGATCACCATTGGCTTTTTCTCCGCATTCCCACCCAACGCCACAAAGGTCCATGGTCGCGATGGTTTTCTGGAAGGCACACACGGAGCATTCAGAGAGACTAGAGGGAACCATAGGACCACAGGACGGGATGGCTGGCTTTCCAGCGTGCGAACCGGCGACATCTCGCCGGATGCGGTAGGTCTGAGCGTTTCCCATGGGTCGAATGGGGGTTGTGCCTCAATGGCGCGCCGTGGGTCTGCGGGTGTTGGCTGGGTATGCGATGGGATGCGCCGTTGGAAAAATGTGGGATTTAGGTCCTTGGGACTGGGAACTTGGGGCTAGGAACGAGGATGAAGCTTTGACAGGGATTGAGAATTTCTATTCAAACGATTGGTTGTTTAGTTTGAGAGTTTGGTTCTTGAGTTCAGCTGATTCCAGTGTTGGATTCATAGACTCGTCCTTGTATGGTGCCGAGATAAAGCTAAGTTCAATTATTGATCTGTTCCTCTGAAGTTTCGAAATTTTCATCTACTAACTACTGTAGGCAACTTAACCATGCAAGCTAAATTATGGGTTCGGGAACCGTCCCGATCGCAACTCCCGAGCTGTGTCTGTCTCGATATATATCTGTAGCTCCGAACCGTGCAAGCTCGGGGAGTTTCACCTAACAGGGACTAACCCAAGACAAACCAAAAGAAGACAAGAGAGGCTACTGGGGCCGCGGAAATTACTCACTTACAATTGGGATGGATCAAAATGGAGCTCATGGTGAGACCTTACTAGAGTTGCTCAAGTTCAAGCTCTGGCGGAGTTCTAGTTAGCAGAATAATGAGAATGTAAACTTAATTCAGTAGTCTAGACGTTCGCGTGGGATGCGTGGGATGGCCGAGACTTCAGATCACTCCAGTAACTATGGAGTAATCGCATCCACTATGTTAACTACCTAAACTGTTTAGACTAGCTCGAGTTCAATTCAGACACCCAACGACCGTCTATGCTCGATGGTCTACGGACTTATGCACTAGACTATGGACTATGGAGATGGAGACCGGCTCATTTCCATGTGCCCCATGGCCAAGACCAAGCGCGAACATGACGGGACCATAGGAGAGAGAAGAGAAGAAAAAATCAAAAACGAAAAACAAGCAACGGGGTTGGAACTTGGAGTCTTGGAGGTGCCCATTGTCTGAGCGTCGTGCCCCCCTTTCCAGCCATGCCGTGTCTCTGGCCCACTCGACATCTCACCGGCAGTACCTACTTTGCTGTATTGCATCATTTTCGCATTGTAGTCCACGGTCTTGAAGGGGGTTGAAGTGGGCAACAATAATGGTATGGTTGTATTCATTGCGGAGCGAGGAGAGGGGAGAGGAGTGCTGTTGGACCATAAGCTGACGAAGATGGGCCCCGGTTTTACATAAAAACGTATGCCTTTCCCACGCTGAAACCAAGGTTCTAATGTATCTCTAACGGAGGGTGCAAGCCATGTCCGTAGGTCGTGCATCATACTCTTGAAGGAGTACAAGCATCGGGGGATAGTCAAGAGCAGTTAGGATGTTAGGGTACGCATGTTTCACCGCCGACCGTTGGAGCCATCGCCATGGGTTTGAACGGAGTGAGCCGGATGGACAGGGTAAGAGGGAGATCGTGCCAATCCACAAAGTGTATCTCTCTGAAGAGACTTTTCGGTCTTGGTCGGGCTCCACCACGACAGAAGAGGCCCAAGCTTATACACACGGGAGAAGTGGAGACCGAGCAAAGAGACGAGGAAAAAGAGGGAGGATATATGCTAGACAGCATCGACATCGTTTATGTTGCCAAAGAAGAAGTACACTACATACTATATGTAGTTAGTTGTAGTCTATAGAGACCCGTTGACCGCCGTTCTTTGCTAGACGCTTAACCCGAAAAGATAATTCTTATGGACCTTCAAGTCCTCCATACTCCATACTCTAAATGGAGTCACGACTTGTGATGATGATGAGTGGACGGATAGAATGGAGTCAAGAGACGGCTCAGACCTGGCAGATGTCCTCAAGTTCATGACGCGTCGCTAGCGTGTCGGGATTTTCCTCTTGATTTCTGCTCTTTTGGTCCTCTGGTCCCCTTTTTTGCCCCTCCAAAGTCCACCATATCCACTTTTCTCCTTAGATCCTCCTAAAAGGGCAAAGGCTGTCCAGCCCCCGGAACCCCGGCTGCGATCTGATTCGGCAGTCTCCTCCCTTCGAGCTTTTCCCGAGAAACGCGCTGAAAAAAGGGTAAAAAGCGGTCAACAGGACGAAATAGTGTCCAAGTGCTGTAAACAGGTGTATGGACTAGTTCGAGCTCGCCAAACCTCCTTTTCTGGCAGAGTGTACTCCATACTGTAGACTCCTAGACCAAATGTACCCCAAGAATACACGGGGATCGGACGCAGAATTATCGGAGAATTTTAGTTCCCAGGACCTTGATGCGGGATATTTACATCCCCAGTAACGATGGAGAAAGACGCATGTGCTGATCCGATGTACACCGATCAATTTATGATTCTACAATAGTTCTTACCAACTAATACTCCGTCGTTAATAGCAAAATGGCTATGTACGTACTATACTCCATACCCATAGATTTGCATCCATAATGACGATTCAGATGGAGTTCCCTTTCTGGATTTGCACGTTATGACGATCCCCGAAACGCCCCTCCCCTATCAGCCAGGAACCAGCCCTAGAGCAGCCAAAAAACCCATCCTCATCTGTCATCTGCACGGGGCTCCGATCTTGGCGGTGTCCACCGCGGCAGATCGTCCGCGATTGTCCTCTTAATTTCAAGGTTGACTTCTCCTGATGCACATCACCGTTCGGATCTGGTCTTCCAATTCGGGCAACCGACGTTGCATCAACGATTACTTCTCTACAGTAGTTAATGTATAACCTTCCTCGTTACAGAGTAGATAGCCCATGCTGCTTGGGAGGATGACTTGGCCATCTGCGCAAACCCTACATACAGTAGTACGCTTTTACCGTATCCACGCTCGGTCGGGTGCTAGTGAGCAGCGTCATCGGTTCTGCAAGACCTATTTCTATACATAGTAATCGGTCCATCGTCATTATGGAGGCAAAAGGAAATTGCTTTTTCGTCCCAGGACCACTTTGGCGCGGTGGTTAACCATCGCTTAACCCGGTCATTCGAACCATACACCCTTGAGGAAGGTCCAAGGTCCTCGACGTCGACTGTACCTCACAAACACAGAATGCCCACCCGGGTAAATTGGTTAAATGGTATAAAAGGGGGGATGGAGCACGGGCGAGTGCCACCACAATCGAGGACATGTGTAATTGTAGAGTGCACATCGCCATCCGCAGAACATGCCTCCACTGCGGCGTTCCCTGTGGATGCAGATAACCATTGAAAAACAACTCAAAAGAAATAGAAATAGAAACAGAAACCAAGTATGATGGTCCGATGGAGTACACAGGTTAGACACTGGAATGACGGCAAGCTCTCAAACTAAAGTATAGACAAAAGGTGATTGGATAAAATTGGGGAAGTATACTCCCGTTCCAATCATAGCAGAGGAATGAATACATCGGATACACCCCGATACCGGACCCCCGAAGTCCCTGCTCCTCTCCTCTTCAACTTTCCCACCCCCCTCCAGCCTCTGGGGGTTTGTCCGTCATGGGTGGGTAGGAGTGGAAATATCCACAATTCGATTCGTGCTGTCTGAATGGTCGCACGGATCCACCACATTCTTTTTGTGTTTGTGAAGAGACGGCAGATAGTCGATAGCCGAGCTTGGCACCGTAGGATCGACCAATAGTTTGGTATGCCCCACTAGGAGCTGACGCGTGCTTGTCCCGTCGAGTTGGGTGGTATTTCCTGTTGAAGTTTGGGGGCTTCTTTCCAGGTCGTTGCTGGTTAACGAAGTATACACTTGCTGGGTAAGGGTGCAAGTTTGGATATGTTGGGGGTCGTTCCAATCAAGAGAAAGGTATGGATTTCCATAGGAATGGCGGTAATAGAGTTTCATTTGTACCGTATTTGGTGATCACGATATAAATATACATTTCTATTTTAATCAGAAGATCGTATCGACATTTACGGAGTAAATAATGCATGGTGACAGATGATGTAGAGCTTCAAACTAGGTTAACTAACTAAACCACGGGGCACTGATGCTGACAAAGTATAGAGCATAACAACCACACTAAGTAAACTAAATCAATCAGCAACCAGTCAATCGTCAAGCCTAACCTTGGCATCAAGCATATGACGTGAATGGCACCGCGCTAGTCGCCCTCCTTCACCCTTTTCCAGCCCGGCCCTGGATCCCCGCAAAAGCCCGTTGGCGTTAGTCCCCAACAGGCTACAGTAAAAAGGCGCTAGGGCCCTAAAAAGCCATTTACGGAGTACATACAGAAGTACTAAGATCCCTGCGTGCGATCCTGGTTAGGGCCCACAATCGGCGCTAAGAACACTGCCACCATCAGGGTCAACGCTAAAGGTCAACCTGAAACGCCCGGCGCATCTTGAAGGATGGATCGAGTCTGTTTGGTTTGGGCTCTGGGTCAACATCCTTGAACTCCTTTACAGTACATGGAGATCCACCACTTTTTACTTGCCTCGTGACGTGACTGGCCAACCGGGTCGATTTGGCACTGGAGATGCTTTTCCAGTCCCCCCCAACCGTTCGAGTTCGACTGCTCCGTAATTGACCTTGTTGATGCTTTTTTCTTGACTCCGTACTTCTAACTATTCTAAGTAACTTGCCCTTGGTTCTACAGTATTAGGGTTTCTTTCCGGGAATGCTGTTTCAATATTCGAGCTAAATAATCTGATTGAGCTGGATCTCTACTCCTTCGTACTAATCCCTGTCATAGTTAGCCATTCTCTAACTATTCTTGAGCACACGGTTCGAGCAGGCCATACTGCTTCTGGCAAGCCCAGTCTCCATTCCCGCTGGGGCAGGGAAGAAGCGCAATTTCCCATGGTCTTCGTGACTTCGTGACGAGCCGGGTTATTCAGCGGAGCCCTTCGGAGGTTGAGTAGTGCTAAACTAGCGGACGACTACTTAAAACCCATTCCGGTCGCGATGTCATCGCGCCTCCTAGAGCGCTACTGTATAGCTCCGGATAGTTTTTTCCCAGAACGATGCGATGGCTTTTCGGTGGCTGCTGGATGACCCCGCCACCAAGGTTAAGTGCCATCTCCCCCATTCCTCTTGGAAGGTTTCCCGTACGCCTCTTCTCCGCACGCCAACCCACTAGTTTGTTATGTACGAAGTAATCCGTACTTCGGAGAACTTACGGTGTGCGCTGTCCAACGGCCCAACCCGAACTAACAATCCAAAATTTTGAAATGCTATGCTCGTTTCTGTTCCACATCCACTGGTCCCCCTCCCAACTTCAATAATCTCTCTCTTACTCTCCGTCCTTTCAAGAGGACCAAGCTTCCACAGGCAAAAGTGCACTTGCAGGATGTGAAGTGCTATTGGCCTTGGCCTATGTCACGAATCCGACCATTTGGGGGCTAGCTGAGGTCAGCCCCCGGCGTCTTGAAGGGGGCATGCACCAACACAGTAAAGTTGACATCGGCTGGGAAACAAACTAAAGTACAGTAGTGGGCGATCCACCGGGAACGCTCTATCCCCCTCGCCTCTAAATTGACGGGAAAGACTCGGTAAATGGCCAGTCGCTGCAGGGTCTCAAGTCCCTTGCAAGAAGTCTATGCGATGTTAAAACTATGTAATCGTGATCGCGCCAACGGCAACAGCAAGAGTAATGGCACAATCCTGTGTGGAAAGCTAGAGAGTACATTGTGCAGTACCGACATGAACTCGTCTTTTTTGCGCCCATGACCTAGTAGCACTGAAGCACTGATAACAACCTTTATGCTGGGGCTTAGTTGTGCGTGCTGCATTGCAGCCTTGTTGACCTGGTCCAAATCATCTCCAATCATCTGAAGGCGCAACCCTTCTCCCCGACAGTCTGATCCCTGTCTCTCGCGCAATCCGATCTGAGTCAATCGCATGATTGGCTCGAAGCGCAAGATTCCTCTCCGAGCTTCTCACATGAATCCGCGGTATCTCGCATGCTTGACAGGTACACCTCTTAGACGCGATCCTGATAGGCCGCTATAATCATGTATTAAATGCAAATACCAATCGATTACCCAGTAGGCAACACGCGACATTGATCCTGATCCTGCTCGCTGCACCTCTTGCTTCTCTCTGGAAAGTACCCTATCATGCATTACTAACTCACTGTATGATGCGCGCAAAACATCTTGTAATCGGAACAATATTCCAACCCACGCACCGAATTTACAGAAATAATCAAAGGCTGCATCGCATGTTTAAAAAGGCACTGGCGTTCCTCTATCAGAGTGGAGTTCACTATCCACCATCCACCAAACCCCCCATCTCGGCGTTCATTCCCTGCATGTGCCACCGACGCCTCCACGATCTCTTGGAAAAAATCTCCTGGATAAACCTTTCAGCTTGGATCCATCAACCTGGCAGCGAGTCAGTAAAAGGCTAAAGATCCGTTGGAGTCGTTCAACTAGAGAGCCACTTCTCAGCCGTGTCCGCCACCGACCGCACCAGAAGTACACAAGTCAAAAGCAAATATGTAAAAAAAAAAATCAAAGCACCAAACTCTAAACTTTGATCCCCAGCGTGACTGCCCCCCCCCCCCCCCCCCCCCATTCAACGGGACATTTGGACCCTGAAAATCCACATTACTAGACTAAGTAGATATATAAGCACACTAAGTGAAAAGGGGCGCGCGCCATGGCGCCATGATTGTGGGAAAGATGGGGACAACCATCCTCCTCATCCAGTCATAACATCCCTTGTGTAGTGGGTGGGTGTTGTGCTCCCGTCAAAACTACTCTGTCAAGACTAGACTACAATATTTACTATTTACCAAGCTCACGGTTCGAGGTGTTCCTGGAACCGAACAGTGCTCTCCATCTCCATTCCCGGGTTCAGCGAGAAGCCTTTTGATTGGAAATTATGAATTCAGGGGGAGGCTGTGTAGTCTATCGTGCGTGTGTTCGACATACTCTGATACCGGGAATCAGGAAAGAAAGATCCCTTTATTTTAATGGTATTTTGAAGTCTGTTTCTACGTCGAGTCTCCGACGATACAGAATTTACATACTAGAATATGATAAAGCATCATGCATGATACTACCATCCTTTAGTCTATGCAGGATAACAAGATAACCAATGTAAATAATCAAACGGTGCTCTTCCCTACAAGTCTTTCTACAACTAGAATTCAATATTGACAAATGACTATAGCACTCACTGCACACCCAAAAAACGGGTCCCTGACTTTGACCTCTCTACATGTACCTGCAATCCAGCCTCACCTACTATTGGCTGGACGGAGTATCCAGGGAAGATTTTCGCCAGATTACCAGATTACCAGACTCCCCACAACGAAAAAAGAAGCACGCCTGACGTCCCTTTAATGGAGAGCTTACGCGGCCACATCCTATGCCAAGCCCTTCCCACGGCAAGCTTAGGCATTTGGCGCTCCTTGGCACTGCGATTTAGTGGGGACGTGGCTGCTGCTCCATCCCCTCCTCCATCCCTCCCTCTCGTGGTGCACTGTGCGCTGTATGTACGGAGTAGTAACTAGTAAATGCGGTTCTTGAACTCTGCGTTAACTTCTGCTTTACCTGCTTTTTCTCGAGTTATGTGGTGGATAGGAAACCCAAAAAACCTTGCCTACGAGTAGAAAATGACTAAAAAAAATAAGCAATTAGAGCTCCTCGTTTCCCCGGTTCTCTGTCGAATAATTCCAATTTTCCTTCTTTCAGCTCTTTGTCCCATTTTTCCCTATCATCTATTACGTTTTTGCGTTGTTTTTCTTATTATTTGCGTGCCTGAGTGTGGCAAAAAGTCGGGCAGGAGAATGACGATAGGAAAAAGGGGGTCTCGTAGGATCCCCGAGTCATTGCTGGACAAGTTGAACGTGGATTGACTACACTACCTAGCCCTATCTATCTCTAACCTCAATCTATAATACAACGTTGATATATACTTTGATATTTTCCGAGCATCTGTCTCTGCAGAAGTCAACCCCAGACTCTGCCTCCCCGGACAGGAAGAAGATAGTCGTGATTGACAGTGATTGACGGTGTCAAGAGCGATCACTACCCAATTGCCCCCTGTCACTATGCTTGGCCACGATGGTTCCCAGGGGTCTGGAGGATCGGAGGCGCTGTGATCGACTTTAGGCGTTCCTGGTGCCTTAGTCAAAACGCCCTGGTTTTTGGGGATCGTGGACAAAATTTGATATATAGATGCGACCGGCGCGCCCCCAGCATTAATTTATTGAAATCTGAAATCTGATAGCGCGCCATCCCGATCAATTAATCTATTTCTCACTGCAACTATAGACTTGACAGGCCCACTTCAGTTTATAGTAGTATTTCTGACCAATTACCCGATTTTAATTCCTTCGAGAGGATTTCCACCACATCTGACATACTATTGAGCGAAATTGAAGTCAGATTGTGGTTATTGTTGGTGGCGTTCGTACTTGGTCCGTTTCGTCATGGCTGTTGATGGTGCGACGGTCGCTGCCGGAGGCAAAGACTCGGAGTAAGACATTAAGCGTTTGTGGAGGGATGACCTCTGATTCGAGATGGATTATTAAATTGTACTAAATCATTATGCTACGTGATTCAAGCTCATTTTTGAATGAAATAAAATTCCCTAGTACCTAGCGACTTTTAAAATCTTGATATACAATAACCGCGCCGAACGTCCACTCGTCTCTGCATGAACAATGGAACGAAGAGAAAAAGTAGGAAAGAAAAAATGACGCCGGCTTGTAAAAACACAGAATGGTCGTCCCAAAAGAGTAAAAATACTTATGCATCGAGAGAAAGAAGCAGATCGAGAGTCCAAATTACATAATCATCTTCAGAGCATGTCTCTAAACGATGATATCAAGCTCTGAACGGTCCAGCCCATCGGCCTTCAGGTCCGGATAGTAAGGTACCATCGCGTCCGCACCCTGGACATAGGCGTCGTTGTACAGGCGCCAGTAAGGTGTGCGCACCTTACGGGCTGGGTGGAACAGGCCCGCCCAGACGTAGTTCATGACAGTGCCCGTTCCAACGGCCATACGAATAGCGTCGATGGCTTCGATGATCCGATCAATGACGTGAGGGCTAGTTTCGAAGATGTTGGGGAACACCAGGTTAAGGAGATGGACCATGGCATCCTCGCAGCCCAGACCGACAACGCCGAGCGCAATATGCTTAACCACGCTAGCTGCGGTCTGTCGGTGAACCTGATCGCGGTCGATGAGAGCATCCTCGAGCAAAGGAGTGACGGCGTAAACGTAATCCTTGGCCATCTCGCCGATGTATTCAAACAGGAAAGACATGGCCTTGAGAACACCGTTCTGCACGTTGAGCTCGGGAACGCGGTATTCGTTCATCAAGGCTGGCAGCACAGTGAAGGGAGCACAAGTTTCAGCGACGATACCAATAGCGACAGCCGTGCAAACACGCGACTGACGTTCCTGGACACGCAAGTTGTTCAAGAGGGTGGCTAGGACATCCTGAGGACCGATGGCCTTGGCAATGAAACCGAATGTGTTGTTGGCCGCACGCCGAATGCCCTTCTTATGGGCCTTGAGCATATCAAGCAGCTCAAAACAGATACGCATCCACTCACGGGCATTGACCGACTCGGGACCGCGGTCTGCGATACGACCGACAAGGTCGATGGTGTTCTCCTGCACCTTCTCGTGACGGTTACGCAGAATAGGCGTGAGACGGGGCAAAAGATCACGGATGGGTGGCTGCATCTGGTTGATGCCGACCACAGTCACGATGGACCGCAGGGCGCCCAAGATCGAACCCAACACTTCGGGATATTCTTCACCCAAGTATTCGTAGAGTACAATACCCAATTTGCCCATGAGAGCGTCCTCGCCACATTGCTTCATGACCATTGCAATGCGAGAGATTAGGTCCGCTGCCTGTTGACGAACAGTGGCAGACTTGTTGTTCAGCCGCCAGAGAATGGTGGAGACGATCTGCGGGAGGTATGGCTTGCATCGAGTGCTGAGGGCATTAACCACAGTACCAAAGCCGTTCAGGATGACAATGTCTTCGATGCTTTGTTCCTGGAAAGCAAACAGTACGCCGTCAATCAGTCGTTCCTCCAACCGCTCTGAAATATCGGCAGCGCCGAGAGAAGCAACCAGCTTCTCGATCGTTTCGACAGTCATTTTGCGGTACGGCTCACTCTCGTCTTTCAGATTGTTAACGACGCGCTCGAGGATCTCGCCAACGCCGACTTTTTGACCGAGATCAACGGTCGTGTCGACGACCTGGCGGTAGTTTCGTCGATCTAATGCCATGCGCCGGACCCAGAAACTCTTGAAGAAATCGGTCAAGACATGTTCCTTGAGATAGTTGGCAGTCACGCCATCCGTGCTAGAGCACTGGGAGACCACCTTTAGAACTACCTTCTTCATTTCCTCATCCGGGGACGAGAATTCTCGAAGAAGAATCTCCATGATTTGACTGGTGTAATAGTTGGCATACTCCTCGTCCATGAGTGGAATGATGTAGCCAACGGCCTTCAGGAAGGCGGCAAGACCCTTGCCACGTTGCTTGCGGGCACCGGTCCAGAGCGGGTTCAGGATCTCATCAAAGCTTTCGATACCGTAGGGGTTGGCAGCCTCAGCCAAAGCAGCCACGGCCAAAGCAGTGACAGTTCGAACCTTGGCCTGTTCATCACTAAGATTGTCTGCGATGCAGTCGACAAGACCCTTGAGATGGGGAAGAATGGCGCAACCCATCAAAATGGGGATTTGTTGAACAATCTTCACACCGGTGTGACGAGCCTGCCAGGACTTCTTACTGCGGCAGACAGCGCGAAGGAATGGGAGAAGGGCTGGGATACCCAGGGCAGATGCCACGACCGCGAACGCTCGCGCCGTGGTGTTTCGTACATACTCGTCGACGTGATCGATATCGGGACGCATGGTACTGATCATGGTGGCGAGACCAGCAGCCTTGGACAGGTTCGAGATGATTTCCCGACCTTCAACACGAGCATAGTAGTCTTGGTCAATGAGCAATGGCTCAATAACGACCAAAATTTTGTGGACGTAAGGACGAACCAAGTCGTCCAGCTTATAGAGGACTCGATCAATGACCTTGACCAGCAAGTGACGTTCTTGGTCCTCCAAAGACTTCTCCATGAGCAAAGGAAGAATCTGGTTGAAAAGGGCACCGGCTCCAAAGTTCCGCGCATTGTCCGTAAGCTGGCGCAGCGCTGTCTTTCGCATAGGAGGTGTGCCGTTCTTGACCTTGAGCAGCAACCTCATAATCTTGCGCTCTTTCATTTCCTCGACAGTCATGGTACTGTCGTCTCCTGCCTCCATGAGCTTTCCAAAGTAAGCCATATCCTCTGGCTTGAAGAATTGCAAATCGCCAACACCAGGAATATCAGTGGGAAGCTCCTTGCCCATAGACCGGACGCTCTCAGGTTCTTGCATCATGAATCCACCAACACCAGCTGCACCAGCCAAAGGCGCCGGAGTCGCCATCATTTTGCGTGCAGGGTTTCGGATTGGGGCGTATCCTGGGGGAGGCTCCAAAATTTTGTAGCCTTCAGATGGCAGCATCATATCGAGTTCCTCATCAGTCCAATCTCCAGGTCGGACAGCCACGTCGGTTCCGAAACCGGGTGCCCCGGCCGCACCTCCTTGAGACGGGTGCATAGGAGTGGCAAGGCCTTGGTTGCCAACAGGAGTAGCTGCAGGTGCTAGATCCCATCTTGATCGGCGCTTGGGCTCCTCAGACACTTCTGGGGCGGGTGTTTCGTCCCATCGGGATCGCTTTGTCTTCGTTTCCGCGGGCTTGGCCTCTTCAGAGGTTCCATTTTCGTCCCCGCCGACGTCCCAACGCTTCTTTCGCTTCCTGCCGGCTGCTTCAGCGGTAGCACCAGTGTCGGCCATCTCCTGGTCACCTTCCGTAATCTTCAGTGTAGCCTGGTGTTCCGGAACTGCAACATCTTCGCCCTGCTCTCGCTTCTCAGCGATCAGCTTCTTAACACGCTCCTCTTCTTTCTCGAGTTCACGAAGGGCCATGACCTCTCGGTATGTCTGGCCATCTCCCTCCTCCATATTCGCGTCGGCGTTGGCAGCGAAGGCGTCGGCGCGCGTGGGTGTGAGAGGACCGCGGTTGAATCGACGCTTCTGGTAGTCAGATTCTCGATCAGAGATACGAGCAGCCTTCTCACGGCCTAGTAAGATGTCCTCTTCCTCCACTCCGTTTCCATGCGCCATCTCATCGATCTGGCTTCTGGTTGCGGTGTACTGGCCGACCAAGCGATGGCCGCCATTCGCATCTTCCATATCTTCATCATCATCGCCGTTCACTGCAATCGATGTATCGTAGCCAGCGAACTTGTCAGGTCCGTTCCGATCGTACAAAGTCGTGTCGAAGGATTCAGTCAGGGAGGCCTTGGTCGAGTTGTCAGTGCGCTGACTAGATGAGTCAAAGGTCCTAGAACCTTTTTTGGCAGCAGCAGCGGCATTGCGCTCAGCTTGGAGCCGCCGGACAGCTTCGATATCAGCTGGAGGAGTGATCAGCGTCAGGTCAGTGGGAAGAGTTGAAAGACGCTTACCGTCAGACATGGTGGTGGTGAGAGGTCAGGTCCAGAATGACTGTATGATCACACAAAATCGGTAGCAATAGCTACATTCGGATCAGGTACCGTTGGAACGGCAGCATCGATGATGGGGTAGCTGTCGCGCTGAGGTCTTGCGATGAGTGCAAAATGCACGACGCCAACGAAGTCGCGCTAGCGGGATGACTAACTTGTCACGTGATAACGAGATTCTGGACCCAGCTACCGAACGTCAGCAATTTCATATCGAGGCAAAGACCTGGTTAGAGTGACAGATAAGGGTTCACTAGCCCGATTACTATTTTCAATAATCTGAAATCCAGAATTTTTCTTAGCTGGATGGCAGTAACAGTTGTGGAAAGAGGGATTGGGTCGTGGCGAAACGAGGGTATCTCACGAGGGATTACTAGGTGCCGTAAGGGCGCTTAGAGTCTATTTATGTCACACACGAAATGTATCAGGAGTGCATCACTCTAACCTTACTGCAATGATCATGTGTGTCTCTCTAGGCAAACTTGATTTTTTGACTGATATCGTGGAGCATGACCTCTAGTAAAATGCAACATGTCGAGAAGATCTATTATTTGCACAGTAATAACAGTCGGCTAGGAGGGCATCTTGAAAAAGTCCGGGACTCAATGGATAAATTTACTCGTACAACAATGATGCTAATTGCTTATGGAGTGTTGACTTGATTCCTGGACCCTGATTTGTGGACTCTTGGCTATTAATACTTGAGTAAACATCTATCATGGTAGCCGCCGGCACTAGGATGGAGATGTAACATGGACCAGGCTGTATGAAATGGGTAACATCAACTAGGCTTTACATTGGCTGTGAGTAATGTTCAAACGGGGCTTTTTCCTTTGCTTGTGAGCTCCGTGCTTGCCATACTCAGGCTCTCGGAGGAAGGATGCCAACAAAGAAATTAATTCACCTATTAATACCTCACTGGCTAGAAAACTGCCACATCAATGCAAAAGTACAACAGAGATCTATCTAAAATCGGGTGCCTTGTCGAGCTTTATCTGGTATAAGGCTAATAGGGGTTCTCTAAGCCTCGATACGCAGTAAGAACTGTTGGTATATGTTGGGTTTGAAGTACGCCTTGCGGGTTGGTTCCAAGATAGCCTCTTTCCATCAAGGTAAACTTTCTTTGTCCCGACTTGAAGCAACAACACGGATGGTTTCACTTATTAAACGAGAAGACCGCTGCTAGTTCTGGTTGTTGCACCTGACATTCCCCATCTTTCCATTCATACCACTTTGCAAACTCTTCCCTGACCACGGCCTCATCCTCGAAATACCATCCTTCCAGACTACCAAGGCCAGCGTTATCATCATGCGAGTTCTGGCAGGCCTATTTCTTTTTCTGGCTATAGTGCTGGTTGATGCAACTTCGAGCCTTCCTGGTCCATTAAGACTCGCTGCCACGTTCTCACGCATCTCGAATGAACTCGACCACATCAGTCTGGGGAACTGCTCTCTTGCCAACGCTACCCTTCCCCTGAATGATACCAAAACCAAACTCCCAAATCCATCGTCAAATCTAAATCTCAAATACATTGCTTTGGGCCGTGGAACTCAAAACTATTCTTGTCCATCCTTGAGCGACTCCCACAACTCCCGCAACACTAGCAAACCTACTGCAACCGGAGCAGCAGCCACACTTTTCGATGCTTCCTGTATTGCATCACAATCTCTTACTCTTCTTCATGAAATGCCCGTTGTTATCGGGGGTACTCCTCTGGGGTCTCTGGCCCTGTTGGCGGAGCTGTTGAGCCACACTACCAACAGCTCAGATCTCATCATCGGTGAACACTACTTTAACGCCGCTGGTGACCCTTTCTTTAACCTGAAGCTGAGTGGCTCCAATGCTTGGATGGTTACCAAGAAAGATGCTTCAGTGACGGCACCGAAGAGAGTGAGCCACATAGCTGCTGATAACGGAGATGAAGATGTGGCCTGGCTGAGGCTTAGCTCCACGGATGGTCATGGTATCAAGGTAAGTTGAGAGCAATCGCTTGTGGTATTTCTTGTTTCCACGCCTAGCAGTCTCCCTGACATTATTCTAGGAGGTATATCGAGTGATGACGTTTGAAGGCTCTCCTCCGTCAACTTGTGCTGGTCAGAACGACACTATCCTAGTTGACTACGCCGCAGAATACTGGTTCTATGGGTGAGAAAAACTGGGGCCTGAGATGGGTCGTTTACTTCTATACTCATTGAACTTGCTTCTACCCCATTATGACTTAATTTTACTTGAATTGTGGGCCAATGTTGCAAATTTTAGTATATGTTGGAAATCTCATAAGTCTGAAACCCCGACAAATGCTTCAAAAACATCTTATCAGTCACGTCAAACCAAGACAACTCCCAAGCCACCAATAAATATGAGTAAGCGATTTTTAGAAAGATGATTTAAAAAAAGAGGAAGTTTGAGCAGTTCTAGTTAGGCGGCTTCTCTTGTCTCTTGAAGTAGCGAGTGGATGAACCCGACCAAGTGGGCTCTTTCACAAATCTGGCAATTTGAGATATTTGGCTTTTCTCATCACAGGATCTAGTTGTAGCAATGGACCCAGATCTGATCTGTCAGTACTCACTTTGCGAAGACCTAAAGTCTACAGTGCTTGTTCCTCCTCGTCAAGAATGTGATGCCTCAGGCAACGATAAGTGGCGCAAACTAAAGGAAGCCCGAATGTGGCGCAGTGCATGCAGCATCTTCCACTTTCCACATGGATGCCAGCGAATATTTCAGCTATACCTGGTCAGACAACTGTCAATTATGACTCACAAGTGTACCAGGGACCTGGAAATTCGTTTTGTTGGGCCCAAGCTTCAGCTTCTTGTCGGGGTCATATCCCGCCCATGTGGCGCTGATCGGAGAATTTTGTGTTGTCAGTGGCGTCTACAAACGTAGATTCGATTTCTTATTGATACAATGCATCATGACATATGACCCAGGTCTGAGAGCCTCTTTGATTTGCTGGCACCTGCTGGATAGCAAGGTTTTGGAGGTCTTTACAAGTGACCAAGTTCACCACTCGGAGTTCCCGATGTATATGTTTGTTGCTGCCGGGGGCTATCAGTCGTAGGTACTACTCTGCCAATTTTTTCTGTCGTACAGTAAAGATCTATGTATGGCTACCGAAGGAAAGACTGAACAGCCCATTTCTGAATATAGCTGAAAAAAACCTAATTCTTAGATTTCTATCTGCGTATTGCTAGCATAGCTATAACTAACGTTAGTTAAGGATTGTATGGTAACAGAGCTCCATGGATGCCTCAGGTGTCAATTACCCGTCACCAATATCACGTGATAACCATCATGACCAACGCGGCACTGCCCCCAGGGCGCGTCTCTGTCTCAAGTCAAAGCACCATCTGCAATTCTATCCGATTTCTGCCTGCGAATTTGTCGCGCTATGAATGCTAGTCAACAGTGAACCTCAATATTCCCTTCTCAACCTTTAAAGCGACCGCTCGTTCCCTCCGCGCATCACCCAACCTCACCACATACCACACTCCCTCAATTCCCGACCACCACCAACAAGATGGCGACCGACTACAGCAAGAAGACCAATGCTGAGCTGGTCGAGATTCTGAAATCCCGATCGCTTCCCCACACTGGCAAGAAGGCCGATCTGGTCGCGCGAATCCAGCAGGACGACGAGACCAAATCCGCGGAAGCTGCTCCAGCTCCAGCTGCCGCTCCCGCTGCTACCGCCGAAGATGTCATTGACTGGGACGACGATGTCCCCGCTGAGACTGCCAAACCTTCCACGGAGGCTTCCGCGACTGCCATTGCTGCTGGCGGCAAGGGCCCGGTGGCCAACCCCGTTGCCGTCCCGAATCAGAAGCTCGACGTCGACCCTGCTACGACGAACGACTTGAAGGTGGAATCGGCAGGTGGTGCCGACACTGCAGCTGCACCCGAAGCTGAGACTGCGCCTGCGACCGAGAAGAAGCCCGCTGTGGATTACACTCGTGGCCTTGCAGCATCCGACCTGGAGGCCGAATTGGCGAAGCGCAAGAAGCGCGCTGAGAAGTTTGGCATCATTGAAGATGATGAGACTGCCCGCAAGGAGGCTCAGAAGCAGTTGGATCGGGCGAAGCGATTTGGCACCGGTGCCGTGGCCGAGACTAGCTCTAGTGTTGGTGTCAAGGGTCTTGACGAGGCTCTTCCCGAAGAACGCTCTCGCAAGCGTGGCCGTACTGAGCAGGGTGGTCGTGGAGGCAAGCGACGCGATGTCGGCCGTAACCGCAACCGCCGTGGAGACGGAAACCAGAACCGCAATGCTGGTGGACAGAATGGGAACAGTGGGAAGAGTGCACAGACTGGACAGAGCACGCAGCAGAAAAGTTGGGATGAGAAGGACCGTCTAGCGATGGAAGCTCGCAAGAAGCGTTTTGCGGCCGCCAATTAGATTGTTTTCATTCCCTTTTGTCGCTACTGCACTTCTTTGGCCCATTCGGGTACTTTCTTTTGTGTTTTACATATTCTGGTCTTTCGCAGGGCGTTTGTGACGGTACGATATCAAGGAATTTGAGGGGCAACCATTCAAATCGAAATTTCTTTTCTTGATATTGTAATATACTGATGATATGCTGAAAAAAAAACTCGTGTCTCCACACCAGTAGTGTATACTTTAGAAGATTGATCAAGACTCGATTATGTAGGGCATTGAAGTAAGATATCTGTTCAAGATAGCCGATAGCGAGGGTAATCTATTCTATTGTCATATCATCAACATCTTCTGAAACATTCTCAGCACTTTCTTAATATGTACAAAGGGCCGAAAGGAGCAGCTTCCTCGTGTGCAGTCAGCTGAACTGTGCATTAGCCTCTCGTTCCTGCAGCACCCGCGCTGGCCAGTCTGGCTTCAGAACGGGGCTTCCAACCGGACTGGCCCCTCCAGATCGGCGCCTCTCATACGGGGATCGACGAACCCACACGTCCTGGTAATTGTTGGTCAATGCGAGTGTTGGATACGATCAAAATCCCACGACATGGCTTTTGTCGCACCGGGGAAGACGAGCCGCTTCCAAGTGCGACACCCAGACTCTGAGCTCATTCGCCAATGGGCGAGGCCATCACGCCGTTTTACCGCCAGGACCCACTTGGATCGAGCCACCTCTGGCGAATCTCAGGCCTAAGCTGCTGTTTTTAGAGTGTGGCTTCATGGATTCGATCCAGTCAAGGCGGCAAAGAGGTCAATGAGCGCAGCGAACGCCTTTATTGTTGGGATGTCGAGTGGAGCAGCACAATAAACGGACCTAACCCTGCTGCAGCGGTCCCAAACGGGGGTTAACCACGGATTTGGAGATGAGGTTATACACTAGATACTACACCCTCGAGACCATTGAGGATGGTTACTGGCTGACCCGATTCATACCAGTCCAACAAAAGATGCGAGCTCATTACTCTTCCAGGAAAGAGACTGGACCCCACAATGGCTTTTTGGGGGCGATCGGCCCTTTGTCCTGAGTCAGATTCTCGGAGATTTTGGGGGGTCATTCTGGTCCAAAGCTGGTTCAACGCCCAAGGCTCGGGACGGCCCTTTGGTTGTACCAGACTTCAAACAAACGGCGTTATGGGTCTGTCATATCTACTGCAAGGACAGGTGGAGCGCAGTCTACAAACCTCGTAAAGAGTACAGAGTGCCCGGGTGGAGAATCAGTGACAGCTGAACCCATACAAGCGAGGGTGGTTTCATAATCATCTATGACGACTTCTGCACCAGGCCAATGCATGGCCCTTCAGAAGAGGCACGTTGGTTAATTCTCCGAACTCTGAGGAGGAACGCCCCAAGCCTCGCACGTTCACCTTCGATTTCCATGGCAGCATGGCTACTGCAGAAAATTAAACAAAACCGAGCAAACCTGGGAGCCCCCAAAAAAGCAAAGCTCAAGCCATGCTTTTGGGGGAGGATCGACGGTGCAGTCAGATCGGGGTCGGCGTCCCCGATCGATGAGTTGTCAACGAGGCGAGGCAGACGCAAACGCGGAACTACTGGTTCCTGGCGGCATAATCGCGAAGAAGGATACAGTCATTCAGCTTGATTTACTAGCTGATCCTTCGCTGGTATTTACCAGTAGATAGAGTGCGAATCGTGGGCTTTATTCTCCGGCAGTTGCTCAGTGATGGTCGATAGGCGGATGGATGGGCCGCCCATTGCACGCCACTCGCGAAACCGCATCCTGTCATGCTGTGTCCACCGATCCTGGCCAGTCTCATCGGCTAGCGACTCAGGTGATTTGGTCTGCCCGGGCAAACGCCGCTGATAGCCTTTCGATCCGTCGATGGGGTTCTGACCAACGATAGCGACTTGTATCCGGGGAAAAATGACAGTCCCGAATAGGCTGGACCCAGTTCCCCTCCATGCGGGTCTCCGTGCGCGAATTCTGGTATTCACTGGGCTCCCTGGATTATTTTCTCGGTGCTCCGTCCATAGAACGATAGTCCCTCCATCGGGATAGGACTAAAAAAGATTAACTTTGGAGACTCGTTTTGGGGCCGTTGCTTCAAACTGCATTCAGCGGCACGGCTTCTGTTCACAGGGCCCTGGCGCCCACACAGTCTCGACTCGTCACAGCCGTAGTCACAATTTCTCTACCCAATTATCGTACAGATTTTGGGTCTTCTCCTGTCTAAGACCGGGACTGCCGTCAATCGCACAACCCTTCGAATGCCACTCTGTGCATTTTATATGGCCAGGGCAGACTAGAGGGCTTTTTCCAAGTCTTGACAAACCCCCACTTTGAAGGGGGGAAATCCGAGTCAGCACCGTACAAAACGTCCACTTTGCGGTTTCTACAGGGATTTCCGACCTTTTCACTCCTCTAGACTACGACTTTCAATGCCCTCGTTTTTTTTGTTCATTCTATTCTCTTTCATTCTTTTGCTCTCTCTCTCTGCCTGATTTAGGCTCGTATGGATCGCTTACCTCTGACGTGGCCGAGACTAGTGGAAAACCCTGAGATTTCGGTGCCACACTGCTCCAGACTGTGGCGAAGCAGCTGCAGCTCCTGGCGTGGTCGATCAGCGTGCTAAAGTCGGTGAATTTCCATCTTTTTATCTACCTGACGTCTGCTGTTTTTTTCTTGATAGTTTCTATGTCTCATGCTTAATGACCCCTTGCAGATAATGTTGATTAATTTTTTTTGTTTGATTCTATAGTTCGACATTGCACGTGTTCTGGGATACCCTGGACGTCGTCTACTACTTCAACCTTTTCTTTTACTCCTCCTTCTGTCCCCACTTTACATCTATTAATACTTCCGAAGCTCGTGTCCTGGAGACCCTTCGTCAAAAAGTAATGAGTTGAATGCTGTACGTTCAAACTATGTGGATTATCTGCTACTCGACCCTTTGAAACTCATGAAACCAGGTATCAGTTTAGCGCCGTTACTTTCTACACACCTCCCATACGCCCGTGATGATTACGATTCTGGACTACATGAGCCCATTCCTCAAATTACAGTCTCAAGATTGGAACCGGAGACTCCTGACAGTGTCGCACCATGTCGTCGTACAATATGGGCGGCCGTCGTATGCCGTCGAATGATCCTTTCCTTCCTGCACCTGCATCACATCCAGGGCCAACCAACTCAATGTCTACCTATGCCCCACGGCTTCCTCGGTCTCAACTAGCAAGACCAACCAACTACACAACAAGAACTGGTCGGGCATCTTCTCTATCAGCTGCGGAAGATTCCCGTTCAATTACCGCATTGCCACCGGTAACATACCAGCTATCGAATCATGCGAATCGGCTGTCACTGTTACCACGTCCAAGTACTGGTGGTACAGGATCATCCCCGTCTCCTGCATCGACTGTATCGCCTCACACCCCGGCTTCATCGATTCCCTCATCTCTCTCCGCCTCCGATCTAACGACCCCTTCTCCATTTGCACAAAGCTATCAAGCTCCACCGGTCAACCCGCCCAAACGAACACGCAATGTTCTTCGCAGAAGGGCACCGACAATAGGAAAACATGTGGAGCAGAACCAATCTCAGAAGCTTAGTCTGGTCATTCCGCCAACCGTTCAACCTGTCGATCTGAGGGAGCCTAGACTGCCGAGACTGCCCGACACCTATTCTGCGGAACCTCCATCATCATCCCAAAGTACGTCAGATAGGATGGAGAATAGTGCAGTGGATACTCCAAGAACCCAGGAGCCGATAGAACTGGCCAGTCTTCGTACTACTGTCAACCCTCAGAATTTACCACCGCCTCCCGTTCCTTACTATCCCTCTGCGAGTACGCCATCTACTCGTTACTCCGAGTCTCCTGGCATGTGGAGCCGGGGCTCGACCCCAACCTCATTATCTTCCTACTCGCCGGGAATCATGCACTCGTCAAAGGTTTCACGCATGAGACAGCCAAGCCCATCCCAGACCCGACTTCCAGTGATCTCGCCACAATCAGCGCATGCAAGCCCCCAAAGTGCTCCAGCCGAACAAGCGCATCCAAAGGGTTCAAGGTCAGGACTTCCGAGGAAATCACCCGCACTTGGATCTGCTACGGTTACGACAGGCAAAAGTCAATCCAATGTGAAATCCACCCCTGGAAATATTCGAGGCCCTCCGCACAGTCCCCCACCGAGGAAGTCATCCGTCAACTTTAGTCCACCCAGAGATGCCCCTTCTAAGAATCCTGATATAGACATTGACCAGGCCAGAAAGGAAGTCGAAGAGGCAGAGTGCGAGCTCTTCAATTCGCAGAGACCAAGAGCTCCATCAATCTTTGAGATAAGCATGCCTAAAGTCCCAAAGACACCACCACGGCCAAGTCGAGAAGGCACCCATCGCTTGGATCTAGAGACGTCCCCTGTGATTCAAAGCAACCTACCTTATCTACGGTCGACTGGTCACAAGCGACGCGAATCTATGGAGAAGAATCGGACCACCCAACTTCCGTCTGCTGTCGTTTCAACAGACTCTTTACTATCCAAGGACTTGTCTCGAATTCCCTCTCGAGAGGCTGGATCTCCAGTGCTAGCCCGGAAATCACCCAAAACCTTGACCAAGGAGCCACCAAAGGAGAAACTCGACCCGAAAAAACCTGCAGCTCAAAAGAAGTTTGGTCTGTTCTCCAAGAAGTCAAAGCCAGACCTTGATGCTGCCACTGATGACCAGGGTAGACCTACGAGGAAAGGACCGGCTGCTGGAACCGGTCATGAAGGATATGGAAAGTACTCGCAGCGTGGTAGGAAATCGAGTGCTAGCAGTGCTAGTGGTGTCAGGACCCGTTCAACTAGTACGACACGAAGCACATCCCGTTCGGTCTCAAGCAGCAAAGGGAGTATGTCATCTAGTCGTCCGGATCTCGACCTGGATGATTTCCTCGCAAGTCGTCTCGAGCCCGTTTTCATCAGCGGTGGAGGAATGGACGGTGCAACGCTTTCACGAACTGTGAGTGAGCAGAGCATTAGTAGCATGAGTGTGACGTCTTCAAACCTGCCTCGCCCGACACCCCTCACATCTTCTACTGTTCAATCAACCGAGTCATTGGCAACTTCTACTGGCACCTTTGGTGATGCGGCCCCTCGCAGCGAGTCGACAAATAGCCTCAGACCAAGCAGGAGTAAAAGCCCAGAAAAGAACCGGACACCGGCCACTCGTCAACAACCAAAGTCTCGCATGCCAGTTCCCAAGAGCAAGAAAACTGGTTTCTATGCCAATCCAGATGCTGCAGCAACCAGTACATCGCTTTCCAGCAATACCTCGAGCACTGTCGTCATGCAGAAACCGAAACCGATACCGGTTGCGACTACTAAACAGGAGGAACCCACAAAGCCTGAACCACCACAGCCGAAGAAAGGGAAATCTTCAAGATGGAATTTGTTCCAGAGAAGCCGTACCAATGAACCAAGCGCCGCTCCACCGGCTTCCCTCGCTCCTCCATCTCATACGGCTCAACTTCATGCTGCGATTTCTCCGGTGCTCAACAGCCGTCCCATCGCTCACTACGCTCTTGTGGATGCCGATTCAGACGAGCTCGATGATATTCTCAACCACATTGAAGACTCGCCTCCAACGGAAGAAGAGCAGTACATTGCGCCAGTCGAGGTACCTGCCAGCCTGAACATCAAAAAGCGACATCCCTCCATCCTACTACCATCGCCCCCTAAGCTGCATGGCGAGTTCGAGCGAGATAATCGACCGTCACCAAGAACCGCCATGTTTAACCAAAACATGACGGGCCCAGATCCTGAGAGCAGCCCTGAAGATCGTCGCCCGAGACGGCTGGCTTCCGTGGGCCGAATCCCGAAAGTGGTGTCGAGACGCGATAGACACCATATACCGGCCATGCATTCATTCTCTCGGCCATTCAGCACCTCAGAGTCGCCGTCGCTGGTGGCACCAACATTGGAGGGCACAGGTGATTTCCCTGGCCTTGGTGGAATTCCTTTGGCCGATATCCCCAGCAGTAAGCCAGGAGATTGGGGCTATGGTTTCAACCCAGCTTTTAGTGCCCCAGAGGCAGCGAGTGCTTTGGAGTTCCTTGCTGGCCCTTATCTAGCCAGCGAACTCATCCACTTCTCTCCCAACAAGGGCTCTCCTTCATCAGGTAGCTCTGGTGCCTTGGCGGCTGTCACAGCTGTGGTACCCAAGCCTGGTACTGCACCGACTGAGGATGAAGTATGGAACGAGTATGACGATTTGATTGACGTTCTCTCTCCGGAAGAGGAAAAGCCAGAAGATACTGGCAAGACCGAAGAGGATGGCAGATTTGAGATGGCGACAATGGCTAGCAAGGCGTTGCAGGATGAGCTGAACAATGACAATTCCCTCCAGCCGCCACCATTTTCGCCCGCTGGCGCTTCTTCTCGTGATAGCGGCGATTCCGTCCATCTGCGTCGGTCAAGGATTGTCTCGGCTTTGCATTCCTCCATTGGACCATCAACACAGGCATCTTATAGCAATCTGATTGCTAGCTATGGTGATCCGGAGGTCATGTACAGCCCTGCCAATCCGACACAACCTTCGCTGGACCCCGTTCAGGAGCAACAGTCTACATTCCTCCAGTCCCTTGCTGCCACTCCCGCACCAAAGCCTAAATCCAATGAGCTCAAAGATTTTCCAGGATGTTCGGAGCGTGAGTGGGATGTAGTCACGAGTACCAACATGCGATCTGCGTCCCTCATGACTAGTCGATGGCTATCATTTGGGCGGGTTCTTTTCAGTCCCGCGCACAACCATGTCAAGTCCGGTGCACATGGAAGGATTCTCGTGATTGATGGACTGGGTAACGATGACTGGTCATTCTACTGCTCCTTGACCTATCCGGACGCCGAGGTTTACAGCTTGAGCGGTCGTCCAGTCTCGACTGCGATTCCCCATCCTGCAGCGTTGCAGCCTCCACCCAATCACCACACGGTGTACCACGCTGGACTCCAGAATCCTCTGCCATTCCCCAAAGACTATTTCACCGTTGCTGTTTTGCGTTTCCCTGCCGCAAGTTCCGAGGTTATCCAGAACAACATCGTTCAGGAATGTCGTCGCGTTCTTCGATCCGGTGGCTACATCGAGATGAGTCTTCTGGACCGAGATATGGTCAACATGGGCGTTCGCACTCGCAAAGCAGTCCGTGGCTTGAAGGAGATGACTTGTCTTGCCAACTCGAGTATTAGTCTGAAGCCGACGAGCGACAGTATCCAACGTCTGGTCGGCACCCAAGGCTTCGATAACCTCCGTCGTTGCATGGTGCGCATCCCCGTCGCAGGAATGGTTGTCAGATCCTCCGGCTCGACAACATCCTCCTCGAACAAATCTCTGTCTGCATCAGCCACGACTCAATCAACAGCATTCTCGCTCCCCGCCATCTCTGTCTCAACCGCAACGGGCAGCCAAAGCACCCAACCCGCATCCAAGTCGTCAGTTTCAGACGACAACATCTCCCTCGGAGACCTCCTCTCCGACCCTTCCCCCTCCGCCGCCAACGACGAGTCCATCGCCAAGATCGTAGCTCGCGTTGGTCGCTGGTGGTATACCAAATGTTACGAAGAGCCCGCCCTCCACGACACCGGTGATCACGACCTTAGCATGTGGAATGACCGCAAGGTTCTACGCGAGTGTCAGAAGCGTGGGACTGGATTCCGCATGCTCATTGCCTACGCGCAGAAACCGAGTGAGAAGAGGCGCACGGCAAGCGTGTGAACGAAATTGAAACGATACCCCTGACCGATATGAATTATTTTCCTTTTGATGAGTGTTATGTTTCACGATTGAAATCTGGATTTGGATATTTAATTTGCATGATTTCTTTTTTTTGTCTCTTTTCTAATTCTGATGAATACCCTCACAGCTCTTTGGTTTATTGTTGTTGCTATTTGTGTTTGTTGTTTATGAGCATTTGGTGGAGAGGCAAGCTTTATTTCCAAGACTTGCATTGACCTCGCGGTCTCGAATATTTGATGTTGTCTCAGCTATTCTGAGAATTTTAGCGTGGCATTCGTTATGTTGTTCTATTGGTGATGACTGGTTGATGGTTTGCATCTCATGGGCTGGACTTTTGTGATGTCATTCGCTTCTATATTTTTTTTCTATACTATAAGCAGGACTTGATAGATAATAATTGTGACGAATATGCTATGACTTTCTCGGAGCTCCTTGGTAGGCTAAGTAGTAACTTTGACAGTCAGAGATCTAAAGAGAGACCTAGTCCGAGAACCCCTACTTGATTGAGGGTTGTAATGAATTGAAGTAATCAGAAGTACTATCTGATTCGCGGCTTTGAGGTCCGACTGGATGTAGTCAGTCTACAGTACGAAGACAGCATGGGACAATTCACTAGCCACAGTCCGACCACAAGGCTACTGTAGTAATACGAGCGATACCCATAATTAATTTCGACTTCTCAGCGAACCAGTGGAATGACAAGACCAGGCCCAGCATTGGCAGACGTCAATGTGTTCCTTTCCACAAGGCTGTGCTTTCCCACTAGAGAAGAACTACTGCGCCACACACGAACCCGAGGAGTACCAAGGAAGCTCAGCTCGTACCCACGACTCGCTATTTAACTCGCGTTTACCCCTCGTCTGACACCTAAACATCTCTCCTTCAGTTTTCGCATCATGTCTTATCAATACCCTAATCGTGAGTGAACCCCCACCCCCCTGATGAGGCTGCTCCGGCCTAACCCATCGGAATGCGGGGAATTCCTTTTTGCTAGTAAACTAACGCGCCTTTTTTTGCAGAACAACAAGCGCCTTACGGTTACCCTCCTCAGGGCGCCCCTCAAGGCGCACCTCCCCAGGGCTATCAACAAGGTTACCAACAGGGTTATCAACAGCCTCAGTACCCTCAACAACAATACGGTGCTCCTCAGGGCGCACCCCAGGGTGCTCCTCATGGTGCCCCTCCCCCGCAGGGTCACTATCCTCCCCAGCAGGGCTACGGCCAGCCGCCTCCCCAGCAACAGGGATACTACGGCGCTCCTTCACCTCAACCACCTGCTCCATACGGTGCGCCCCCTGCCCATCAGGGCGGATATCCTCCCCAGTCGCAGCAGCCACCACAACAGCCCTATGGCCAAGCTCCGCCGGGCCAGCATTACCCTCCTCAACAAGGCCAACCTCAGCACGGTCAACCACCGCAAGGCTACGCCCCTCCTCAACAAGGCTATGCCCCTCCCCAACAAGGCTATCCCCCTCAACAAGGCCCGCCTCATGGTGCCCCCATGCACGGTGCGCCCAACTCATACGGAGCTCCCATTGGCGCGCCAGCTCCCCCATCCCTTGGCTACGTCCCCGGCCAAGTCGCGCCGGGCGATTTCCGCGCTGAAGCCGACGCCCTCCGTAAAGCGATGAAGGGCTTCGGCACGGACGAAAAGGCCCTCATCCAGGTCCTCTCCCGCCTGGATCCCCTCCAAATGGCCGGTGTCCGCGCCACATACACCAAGCATATCGGCCGCGACTTGTACAAGGACGTCAAGTCCGAGACGGGCGGGAACCTCGAACAAGGACTGCTCGGCGTGATCGAAGGCCCGCTCATGTTCGACGTGGCATGTGCCCGGGAAGCCGTCGAGGGCGCCGGCACCAAGGAATGGCTCCTGAATGACATCCTCCTCGGCCGGTCCAATGCCGATCTTCAGGCTATCCAGAAAGCCTACGAGCGCACGTACCACCGCAAACTGACCCGCGACGTGGAAGATGACCTCTCCTTCAAAACGGGCGAACTCTTCAAGAACGTCCTCCGCGCAACCCGCCACGAAGACTCCGTCCCGATAAACCCGCAATCTATCGAGGCCGAAGTGCGCACCCTGCACGACTCTACTGCCGCCCGCATCGTCAACAATGTGACCGAGGTATGCGGGATTTTCACGCGCAGTTCGAATGCCGAGTTGCGCGAGATCGATCGCGCGTTCCAGGCGCGGTATCATGCCCCGCTGGATAAGCATGTCGAGAAGGAGTTCTCGGGTCATATGGAAGATGCGTTGTTGCATATGTTGCGGACGGCGACGGATCCGGCCATGCGGGATGCTATCCTGCTGGAGGAGTGTATGGCGGGTATGGGGACGAAGGACGAGAGGTTGATTGTGCGGGTTGTCAGGGTTCATTGGGATAGACAGCATAAGGAGGCAGTGAAGCGGGCTTATAAGCGTCGGTTCGGCAAGGATTTGATTGCTCGCGTTCGGGAGGAGACCTCGGGGGATTATGAGAAGTTGATGGTTGCGTTGTTGGAGTGAGCCACTTTCTCAAGGGGATTTTGGGTTTGGAAGGAGGCTATTTGAAAGCATTGTTTTGTGCTTCTCGATTTGGCTTTGTACTTTAATTATTTTTTCGTGATCTTGATACCAGTATATAGTGACGTTAGGGATGAGATTATGTTTGCATGACACAAATATCCTGTCGATTCATAAACTATAGGAGAACCTAAGCACTGGTAATCGTCACAGACTGAGAAACTGGATAAATTTCGTGATCGCCTAAGTTTACATGCATTCATATCCTGTCGTGATCATCATAATATTCATGCAAAGCCATAATCAAAATGCAAAATTCCAACTCACAACACCCAAGACACGAACAGCTAGCTCATTTGATCTCCCCCACAACAACGACATGAGTTCCAGGAAACAAGCCCGTCCGACCAGCATAACTACCCCAGAACCACTCATCATTGACATCATCCACTTCCTTGATCTCAGCACCCCGAGGGAAGACCAGTTCATCTTCATTCTCTTCCCCATGGAAGTAGGACCACTTAGCCTGCACGACGAGCCCGACACCTCCATCCGGTGGGAAACGACGGAAGGGTCCGCCGTGCTGGGAAGTAGGTGTACCGCTGCCGTGACCAAGATCCGAAGATGAGGCGCCGGGATTGTTACTGGTGGGTGAAGAGACGGAGCCACGGAGACGAGAAGCCTTCTTTCGGCGCTCTGATCCTTCTTTCCAGCTCCAGTAGCCGTTTCCTCGGTCCGGTGATGCGGGACTACTAATAACTGGAGAGGAAGAAGGGGATTGTCCGATGTGCTCGTCTTGAAGCGCATTGCCACCGACTAGATCGCGTACGATGACTCGTCTTTGGCCGTCATCTCGGTCCTCGAAACCGACAATGATCATCCGGTGGGAGGCTAGACAGCGTCTCCAGCCGTTATGCCCGTTCTCCTTGCTGATCTTGGAAGTTGCTACTAGCTTGAGGTAGCAGTTTGTGCAAACATCGTAATCACCGTCATTGCATTGTAGGCAATGGAAACGTGTCACCGAAGCGGGGATTGGATACGTGCAGATGTCGCAGTTGGTGGAGAAGGCGAGTGTTTTGAAGCTTTCCGAGTCTGATCGAGAGAGGGAGGTATTTGTATCGGCAGGTGTACTTGTCGCTGATAGCTTTGGGCCGCCAGTAATACGCCGAATAGGCAACAAGGGATGCGTGCAGCATCTTCCTTGATTGACGCAGCGGTTACAAAAGCCCCAATCACCCTCGTTGCACTTGCTGCATTTCCAAAAACAGTCATTGGCCGGGGACTGGCAAATGTCACAGAAGAGTCCCGATATGAGACGGCGCGCAGGATTGTCATTCGTGATCTTCCTTTCGCCACTGGTAACGACTTGTGCGTTCTCCGAGGGCCGCTCATACTGGAAGGAGCGCAGTATATGACCACTTTGGCGCATCTTGGCTGGGCGATGATTTGGAGATGCAAGGATCTTTTGGTATATCGCTTGCGCAGAGGGATCGAAGCCATTGGCGCGGGAAGAGTCTCCGGAGGGATAATCTCCGTCTGTCCGATAACACCGCAGACAGAGATGATAGTCTGGGTCTTTGCATTTGTTGCACTTTTTGTGCACATCATATTGAATGTCCGGCGTTCCACAGCGATCGCAAGAGATGGAGGGCTCCACATATTGCGCAGTAAAATGTGGGAGCACGCTCCATCGTGATGAACTCGGTCGCCTGTGAGACCTTGGCGGGACAAGAGGCGGGGAAGATACTGGTGCTGATTGATCTGTCGGCGTTGAGTTGTGGGGAGAACTGAGTTGTGGTGTAGAAGCTGAAGCCGAGGTTGGGGAACTCGTTACAGGTTGGCTGGTGACGACTCTGGAAGAGCCTCGCTCTCTTCCTGCGCTCATCCATGCGTCTGATATGCCCTGATCTGACTCCGTTGCACGTCGTGGCCGGCTCGAAGAAGATTCTGCTCTTGTTCGCGCATTCTGGGAGCTGCGCGTGCGTTCGGCTGTCATATCGCTCGAGGATCGGACGGCTGGTCGCAACATGTCTTCTGAGGTTGATGCTTGATTCACTCCGACAGGGGAGGTACGCCGGCGGCCATCACCCTGTTCCGAGTTCCTTCGGTGGTGGTTTGGCGTCGGGCGTGACGTAGGTGGATCAAATAAGTGCGGTCTAGTTGCAGGCGGGCGTCTATCGGTATTGTCGCGAGTGGATGGGGTTGGAGCAGTCTCGCTCGGTCTTTGCACTGATTGCGACCGGGAACGAGGAGTTCGACTGGAATCTTCAGGAGACTGCCTGCGTCTTTGCCCTTGCGCGCGCGGTTGTTGCATATGACTCCTACGATAGGCATCTGCAATTCGCTCACTAAGTTCTTCCTCTTGTGTAGCGCTAAGATTGTCGAAGTCAATATCATCCAGTAACCCTTCTTCAAGGATCTGTCGCAAGATCTCCTCTTGCATTGTCTCGGCCTCGGACGACAAGCTGAGTAGGGAACGCAAGCTCGACTGGTGTTCCACGCGCCTCGCACGTTCTGAATCGCCGTGGGCCCGCGCCGAGCTCTGCTGTCGCTCCGAATCTTCGCCCCGCCGACGGCGGGATCGCCCATCTTCTGTGGATCGCTCAGGATTGCTGCTCCTATCGCGTGTCCTCTCCGACTGTCCTGCTCGTCTAGCCTCCCGCCGTGCCTGTGCGCGACTCTCGCGGAGACTTAGTTCCTGAACTTCCCGCAGCACTCTCCTATCATCCTCATCATCTTCGCTATTATTGTCCTCCTGTGGAGGGGGAAGAGGGGGAAAGACCGACTCCCCGGGATTGTATCGCCCCGCGATTTCTTCTTTCTCGTCGGCAGATCTGGCACGGTCGGGGTGCGCTGCCAGCACCATGTCAAGTAAGGTTGTCACGGTAGCATTTGTTCGAGTACGAAGTACTTCAGCGCGACATGATGGACAGGTAAATCGAGGAGACGTGTCAGACGACGAGCGACGCCGCGAGCCTTGCGCCGTAAACCATTCCTTCAAGCAGGAACCGCAAAACGTGTGCAGACAGTCAAGGAGTGTGAGGGGCTGGTAGAGCAGCTCCGTACAGATCTATGCGCAAAAGGCGGTGTTAGTTAGGCTTCAATGTAAGGGACGCAGACCACAGGAATGGAAGGGTTCTGGAAGATGATCATCCCCAGCCGCACATACCGAGCATCCCAGCTCCTTCTCGAGGTCAGCCAACCCAGGCGGGGGTTGCGCTTGAGGCATGAGTAGAAAGAGAGTTGTAGAAGGCAACCAAGAGGGGGAAAGCCCAAACACGATCCAAGGAACGTGTGGCGGTGGGAAGCGGAGAAGCAGGTGAACCGAGGAAACCAAAAAGGCGGAGGCGAGGGTCAAGTGGGAGAAATTGACTCCACTAAGCTTATCGCAGTCCCGCTTTCATCATCATCTACTCTACAAGTATACTCTTATTTCACTAAATTTTCATATGTGAGATTGAACTTGCTGACTAGAATCTCCAAAATGTGCTATAATTTTAGGCACTTGCTGATTAAAAGCTCTGTATCCTCGAAAGCTGGGTTGCGGTTTCATCGTCCCACCAGGCGTCGCAGTTTAACTGGCTCTTGAAACAAAACACGGGCTTGTCACCCCACAATGGGAATTACAGACACGAGGAAGAGATGCTGAGAAACAATCCTAATCGAATCTGAATGTCTCAAATGACAGAAGTGCCGAGTGTAGTCGTGTCGTCCAAATTGACTATGCGAGCCTATGAAAAGTGGATATATAGATCTTAGATACCTACCTAATCTCTCAAATACCAACATATAGCCCTAGAGACAAGGTTCTTGTCGTGATGCTACTAGTATAAATATAGCTTCATCTATTTGCTTCAATCACCGGTTCCAATTCCTCATCGCTCCAACCAGCCTTTCGTAGAATCTTGCAAAGAATCTCCGTCTTCCCAGCCACATATTGACCAATATGTTCAAAGTCCATATCCTCCATATTACTCTTCACTCGTGCATATTCCTCCCGCAACTCTCGATCCTCCAACAACACTCTCCTCACATCGAGATGATTCCTCAATGCTAAACACCCCTCGACCACAACGTATGTATTACGCCGTAGCTCTCCGGGTGCTCCTATGCCGTGAGCTGCGTCAAGTTTTCCATATCCCGGCTGTCTAAATGCGACACGGCCAGGAATATTCATTTCACCGCAGTCAGTATACCCTGCGTCCGACAGGGCACTCCGTGCGGCCTCGAGGGAGGATGCCGGGATGATGATGTCGATGTCAAGGACAGGTTTGGCTTTCATAGAGGGAACCGACGTGCTTCCAACATGTTCGATCGAAATAATTGGCACGTCTTTGAGAATTGACGAGAGTTGCTCTTGCACTTTGCGGAACTTGAGCGGCCATTCAGGATTGTAGGGCTCCAGTATGACCTTCATTTTGGCCAGAACAAAAGCTCTGAAGCTTGATTACTTTTAGCTGGGCCGTACCGAAGGCAAGTGGTCACAGGGCAGCGTCGAGGCTAATGAGCAATGAGCTGGGAACTCGCGAGGACGATTGTCTGTCTCCAGCTCAGCAGTTCAGGGGGCATAGAAAAGGTAGATTGTTGAACAGTTGGCCGTCACTTTGGGTTTCGTCAGATCCGATGGAGTATGCTGAAAGAAATCATTATCCAGCATAAACATTCATCTGCGCTCAATATAGCTTCTTGTAGCTATTGTCAATATCACGGCATACCCAAGCCGTGTTCAGGCTGAGATATACGACAAGCGCAGCAGTGTGAGCAATGGCACCTTTTGTGAGATGAGGTGGTGATTCTGAGATTGCGTGCCTGATTAATAAGCTCTAGCGCGAATCACTGTTGTTGCCTAAACGAGGGTATCTCGTGTTTTGGGACATCGTGGTCGTCCATGACTTTGACTGTACAGATGATGAAAACTCGAAAGATAATTCAGTCATGGAAAGAGAGAATAACTTCAATGTCCATTGCAAAGGAGATTTCTCGATTGATTCCTATCTGTCTGTATGGTTTCGGTTTTCAACCGTGACCCCAGATTATGATAATCAGACTCTCTCCACTTGTTCTGTCTATTCACAGCCACTGTGTGACTTTGATTGTTTTCGAGTTTGGCTGAAGAACATTTCAATAGATATCAAAGTCTTGGTGAAACGGCCTGATACAATCTTAGCACGTGCCAACACCTTTTCTTGTTGTGGGACATTCAACATACCTAACTCATCCTACAGCAATGAGAGTATCACAGCTGCATGCTCTGAGATGTCCAATTGCGCGACTGAGTTATCTTGTAAATCTTGACAGGAGCTTCGAATCTGACTCGAGCTTCAGTTGGGTCGACCGTAAAGGACTGGATGCGCTTGATGAGATTGTTGGACTTGATGTAAAGAACAATCAGAACTGCAGCTGCCCTCAATATAGGGTATCTTTGATTGTGGAGGTCTAGTAGATATTCGAATTAATATCCCTTCTAGAATGTTTCTCTGCATCTTTCAAGACACCTTATGGTTTTGGGGCTGTCTGGGAAGAAGCTAATCTCATGAACGGAAGTCACCGTGCTTCCTGTCTTCATGGGACTTCATTTTTCAATTTGATCATGAATCTCCGAGCATGTTTGAAAATGGAACCATACTCACCGCGGGAAACCTTGAGAAAAACGCATCCGGTCGCTCAAGCCCCCCACAGACGAGACTATGCAACGAATTGCATAACGGGCAACCTATCTAGAGCACAATCAAAATTTCAACGATCAACAACTACATCAATACCCACAATCAAGCAAACATTATAGATAATTCCAGAACCAACTACTATACATCAGTGGTGGCGGAAATACTGCAAGACCAGTCCCTAAACTCATATGTTGCACCAACCTAACCCCTTCCTATTGGAAGCAACCCGAATACCTCCCAGTGACTTTACGACTACATTCCCGAAGCAAAAAGGCCCCTGCCATGTACAAACCAGTCCCAAACACTTCAGGGTCGCCACAGAAGGGGGGAAGAAGAGGGATCCAACCGCAAAGTTCTCCTCAACAAACCTCCCCTGTCTTTGCAAAGTTTTTTCAGACGTCCTCTACGGCGTTGTGGTGGCGTTGCTGAGCCAACTGATTCCAATAAAAGAAGGATCTGAGCGATACGGTGTGAAGAGGGGAAGGGTAGAAGGAGAGTGTGAATGTGAAGAATTGAGTTTCTGGTTTGTCTTTGTTTACGGGGGAGAGATAGCGTTAGCGAGGACCATTGTGGCTCTGGAAGGGCCGGAACGCCGGATCGCTTTGTTTGCCCTTGTAGATTGTGCTAGGGGTTATGTATCAGGTGATGGTTTTCCAAGAGCTCTATCTGTGTTACCGAGAGATCCGGGGGCGCTGGTTAGAGGCATGCAATGGGTCATCTATCACGGATCTCCCGGGGTGCGATGCGGGCAGGAGATGGTACTCAGCCTTCTGGGCAAAAGTTTGGGCAGAATCATCTAGTATTTCATCGTATAAACGTGGGAAATGTTAGTTGTACTGCACCCAGATATTCGGAGATTAGTTGAACGCCTGTGCCGGTTGTGGCTGATAGTATTACAGTACAGAGCGCAAGGAGGAGCTGAAGATTGAAGGCCGGGGAAGAGAGGAAGAGCGGGCCGGAGATAGGCTAGTTGAGAAGGATCGAGAGAGGAGACCAATGCTGGTTATCCCTTTCTCCTCACTCGACTATGCTGCCAATCTAGGCCACGTAAGGGCAATGCATGAGCGTTGGGGACAGTGCTGGGTCGAATAGCATAAGCGCGGGGTATTTCACCCCCCGGATTGACCTCGGAAAACAGCTAGGTCAGCACGAGAACGAGGTCAAGGGTGAAAAGTGAAAAGTGAAGTGGCAGATAGCAGGGGCCTTCTGCACCCCGCAATCCCAAAGGCCGGAGGGCGCATGCATTATGACTTGTCTCCGCGGGGGGAAGCTGATATCTACAGTTGCTATGTTGATAGCAGTGCCCAGAGCGTTGGCAATCAGACGGTTAGTTCCACTATTCTAACTACATAGTCCACAAGTACACATTGACTGATAGGATGCTCGGCAATTCCTAATGTGGAGTGTTCCGGTGTGGATGCTGTGGATATTTCTCCAACATTACTCCATATGGAGTATACAGTATGTATAGAGTATGGAGCACTGCCCCCCCCCCCCCCCCCCCCCGAACTCCAGTCCTCTCCAGAAAATTAGAACCTGAATCCTTCAAAGTCTCCGCTTGAAGATGTTGATCCACCGTGCCCGCGTACCTGTGCGGGTAGCAGATCAGCTCTTTGACTGGCTCGTAGATGGCTTGGCTGCGACAGGGAGCTTGATAGCTATGACCTTCCCCCTCACTAAGGTATATCCATGTAACTAGTATCCATGCATACTAACATGCGCAGACGGGAGATTAACAACGAGTCACAGTAGCTAACGCAGTCTGGTCTATTTTAGCAAAAAAACAGACAATCAAAGGCCCCAAGGATTGAAATGCTCCACCCGACCAGCCGGGTCTAATTGACGTTATGCAGGACTAGCTACTAGACTGGGCGTAATTGACCTCGCAAATCAGTTTCTAGTTTTCATCTATCGACGACCACCTTAGCGCCCCCAACAAAAAGGGAGCGCAAAGGTAACTTACAGCCTTGTCCTCCATTTTAGTGTGCCCTGGCACCACCGCCACACGACCGCACGGCCAGGGGATGATTCGTTGTGAGTTAGTTATCAGAAGTACACGGACGAGGGCCTGCGTCCAGCATCGTTTCTGACTGGACCTGAGTGGCACGATGGCGCGGCGGCGGCAAGCGCCTCTCCCGCCACGGTGGTTTCGAGGCGTGGAACGATAACGAAGACATTATGTATGAATCATGATGGTGCAGGAATAGCTTGGGAGGACCGATATCACGCAATTTTCCATTTTGCCTCCTGACAGCTTGCAGTGTCGCAGCCCCAAAGCTTTCCATTGGAATGGGAAATGTTACTCTGGGAAACGGTACCTAATCCATCCATTTCCTCCGAGCATGATCGCCAATGCTTCCTGTACGATGCTTTCTTTTATTGTAATTCCTTCATTACTAGACTAGGTAGCAAGCACCGTGCTCGCTGAAGAATTTCATAATCTAGCGCCCAGAGCTACGATCGCTTTAGTCTGAGACTCTGGCGGGAGCTACTTTGGTTCCGCCTCTAGGGTCCGAGGGTAAATACTTCGGAAACTTTTTTAAACTATACGAAGGGGGGTGAAACCTTAGTCGAGTGGATTGAACACATTGACTGTATACTGGAGACAAGGGCAGCAGCGCCATCAAGACGTTCTCGGTCGCGAAAAACCACCATCGCTGACGCCCGACATTGGTAGAAGTACGTTTGGTGGGGGTTTCCGATGGCTTTCTGTATGTATATACAGTGGCACTCACTTAAACTATATTGTACTGGACGTACCCCCACTCGTTATCGGGGTACACTTGCACAAAAAAGGAAGACAGTCCTCCGTGCTGTACATCCACCACATAAAACAATTGATGAAAAGCCCCTGAGAGATGGAGACCCATCCCAATCGTTACAGTCTAATCCAGATGATGCCATGCACTGACCTCCCACGCATGCAGCGCAAATTGTCAGTTCGCCGCACTAACGCGCCGCCTTATGTACGGATTGCAGGACCCAGCCAAGCTAGTCAACTACTATGTACAGTATGCTAACTGTGTCGTATATTCTCATTCGCAGCGCCCCGTTCCACCCCGCCCCACTCTCGGCCCCCGCCAACCGTCGAGTAGTCGGCCAAGGGGGCCCGGGATTGCGGTGCACTGACTCGGTGACTACCGCGCGATAAGGTCTAGGCTATGGTCGACTGTTGTGTTTGCCAGTTTTAGCGGGGCCCTGCGGGGCTATTTGGCGGACGCCGGTGGGTTGTCTTGCATGCCATGCATAAGCGTGGGTGGGAATCGAAGTATATCCAGTTTCTGATTTTCATTGCCCCCCCCCCCCCTCGCTAGTGTTTCTATTTTATCACTGTAAATCTGTATATCACTTATGACTAGGGACTTGCTGGGTCGCTGTACTCCGGACTCCTCGTACACGGAGAACACTAGCGGATGTTGTACATGTATGGAGTTACGGGGTACAGTTCTGGATTTGGTAGTACATATCTCGAGCACGGACTGGTGTCGTGGTCCCTGATCGTCTGAGCGCAAAGGTATTGCTATAGCTGAGGGGAACTCTACCCGGGCTGAGGCACCAAGTACACAACACAGGATGTCTTTCTGGCCCCATATGCTACCAGTTACTACGCGAGAATACCCTTGCAAATTCATCATCAACAATCAGGGGACAACGTGTCAGCATCCCTGCAGGATAAGATAGGAAGGTCATGTGCCCCCTCGCAATGCAAATATAGTATCTAAGGCTTGCTTAAGTGCTGCGAGATACTGCA